TGGTTAATAAAGGTTAAATCAATCAAAAAATACTACCATACGTAACTAATGACATGCAGATAACTGATTCTTATCGACAGAAGTGCTCTGGAAATATCAACTTTGTAAAGAATGATGTTCATTTGCTTCCAAATTATGATGTAAAGAAAGAAAGGCAGCAGAGAGAAGTTTGAGCAAATAATATGCAGTCCTAGTGCATCTGTTGGATGCTTTTTTAAAGAAGTGCCAACTCAGCAAAACGAAAAGTGGCTCGAGTAGGGCGTGTGAAAACACCAACGTTAAACTCTCACTGAAAGTGTCACTATTAAGATACTGAATATGCCAAGTAGTCCTTTCTTTAAAATTGATATTTAAGTTTACTACAATTTACATCATCAGCACAGTTTGTAAATAAAAAGACTGAGTTCTGGAGGTCATGAAGCACAACCTTAAAAGAAAATAACTACTACAACTTCACAGATCCATAAAGTTTGATGACAAATGACTCTCTATTCACAGCCAGTATTTATCTGTTGTTCTACATCAATTTAATGCGAGTAAATGTACACACTGATTCAGAAAGGAAGGTTTTATTTGGTTTAATTAGTTTCCTGTTGAACAAACTCAGGGCATGAGTGCACATGTGATTTGTTGTCATTGTCCACAACATTCAACATTTAAATTTCTAGACATTAGGAAGTGGCTGTCTGGTTAAAATTGTGACATAAAGGGAAGTTTTGTGGTTCAAATGGGCATCTGTAAGTAAAACAAAAACTGAAAGTCTTTGTCGAGTCTCCTACGAGCGTCAATGTCCAGTAAAAAAAAAACAGAACGAGTGCATGAGTGCATGAATGAATGAATGAATGAGGAAACTAAATGGTTGGAGAGGAAACACACAGACAGTCAGTGACTACAGGCAGCTGGCGACTGCTGCTGTGACTCTTCTGACGGTGTGAACATGTTGGAGCGTGTTGGTGAATGTTTACTGTCAGCCTGTCATCTGTTGGCGTACAGGCTCAAGTGTTACTTTCTTGTCACGAACACTTCGAGCTGCAAACAGAAGAGTTTAACACGTAGTTGAGAAGAAAATAGAAAGTAACAGGGACCTTTTTTTGTACTTGAACAGGGTGTATTTTAAGGCTGTTTAGAGTCATTTTAGGCGACAAATGATGCTAAATTCCAAGTTAGAAGCTGATTTCTGTCAATTTTAATGTAAGTTAGATGACTATTTGTGCATTCAGTGACTGCACATAAGCACCGACTTTTACACTCTCCATTGTGTGTGTGTGTGTCCTCCCTGACTTAACTCTGAAAAAGCTCCAACACATGAATCACCAAAACCTCATTCTTTGGTGCTGCTCCTCCCTGTGAGAAGAAAAAAGCTGACACCGCTCTGTCTGCTTTCCTCTCAGAAATAACAACTTTCACAGTTGTGCTATGCTGTCTCTGTAACTTTTGGCTAAAATTTGGTGGAAACTCTTTGGTTTATTTACCCTGAAAACCTCATGCTGTCTATCTTATTTCTCTCTACTTATGTTTTCATGTTACGTGATCTATTTTGGATCAGTATGAGTGGGGCCACGATTGCAGGAAGTCCTATTTGTAAACACAACAGACCATCAAAAACAGTCTTACTGAGATCATCTATTAGTTACTGATAAGACGTTTTAAGGTGCATTGATGATGATCAGCCCATTAGACTTGTTACCTCTACCTTAAACATTTCACCCTGTACACTATTTGTGAATCAAGTAAAATGAGTCAGCCAGACAAAAACCATCGTGTATCTAATTCTGCTGTAATAAATAGACCCCCCAGGAATCTGCAGAAAAAAAGTTTTGATTCCGCGGAGAATAATCCTGATTCCGCGGAGAACCACGGAAATTCGCGGCTTGAAAGTTGAGATTCAGCAGACATTCAAAAACCAACCTAAAATTTCCAGTTCTGAAGCAAACATATTTTTTCATGTCATAATAAAGAAAAAAATATCTCATGAAATGAATTGCGAAACCAAAACACTATGAAACGTTCTTATAAATAATCAATCAATATCAATATTCTCTTTGTCCCCCTTGGGCAGACTACTTTAATTTCCACGGAGGACTTTGAAATCTGCGATCATTTCTGCGATCGCAGAATCGGGGATTCCTGGAGGGTCTAAATAAAGTTCATTTTGACATAATAGTTGATAAAAGTACTATTTTAAAATGATGGATGTCAATACTAAACATGAACCAAGTTTTCCAATTGGAGTAATCACAGGTTTAGATAGCAGGCTGCAACTTGTGATGTCACCAATTGGCAAATCCTCTTAAAGGTACAGTGGGCAGAAATGAGAAAATGTCACAATCATCAGATTTACAATATGTGACATTGTCTCTTCACACTTAACTGTAGATTGTCTTATATGATCTATCCCTGTAAAAAGGAATAATTCTTATTGTTATAAATGAAGGAGTTATTTTTGATTTTTCTCTCCAAATACACCAGGATTCAATTTAAGTGAAACAGGTATTGGAAATAGAATTGATGAAAGGCACTAAACCCTTATGACCATGATTAATTATTTGTCATTTTAATTAGAAAAATACAGGAGAAGTAAATGATGATGACTTTGTTGCATAGCAACAGTGGAGGAGGCTTCTCGAGAGCTGGTGGATTGGAGACAAGTGGGCTTGCAGAAGGGTAGAGAAGGTCGATATATCTCAGACTGAGGCTGGAACGATAGTTCATGAGGCACCACCCTAAGATGAGCTGTATATCACTGCTAAGAAACCATAGAGGTGAGGCGGAGTTTAAAACCTCCCTCTTTTAAAAGCAATTTCTGGACTTTTGCAGCCAAACTCAAGTAGAAATGAAAGGAAAACCCTGTTTGTTTGTTTGTTTGTTTGTTTGTTTGTTTGTTTGTTTGTTTGTTTGTTTGTTTGTTTGTTTGTTTTTTGCACGTCTGCATAAATTTCATTTTTCAACACCAAGGCTGCTGCTCGGTAAACACAGATCACTTTTCCTGTCATGGGGAAATCTTCGTGAATTGCAGGTTTTGTTGGAGTTCTCCCAAGCAGTTCTTATTACACCCGAGTCAATACAGGTTTCAAAACAGTGTAAGATTCAGAAAGGGATTCTTTGTGAGAGGTGTATGATTGCAGAAATAAAGGATTCAGCTTGAAAGAGAGGAGAAAATGTCCAGCCGGGATGTTCGGGAGCAAATTGAGCCATGAAAACCTCTATTCATGCTCAAAGGCTTGTTTCTGTGAAGTCAACTGAACTCCCTCTCTTCCTTTCTTCTCCTCTGCTTTACACACTAACAGGGCGGTGTGTTAATGGGTCACATGTCTGTAGGGTAGTCTTGGATGACTAATCTTTCCGCCTGGTGGTCCTTTGTTTGTATGAGTCTTCCTTTCTCAGTGTTTTCATTTTCTGGACAGGATCCTGTACTGTGAAGGTGATAGATTTCAGACACTGATTACTGTGCTGTTGTAGCCAGCGGCAGCAGCAGCAGCTCTGTTATCCTCCACACCCTGCTTGTATCCTGTCGTAAAAATCTGGATTTTAAAGATGACTTTTCTGTGCTTTGATGAAAATAAGATCAGAAAAGTAATGTTGAGAAATATGTTACTGCCATGTTTTACAGATTTTGTCGTATGAAAGCTAAAGGAAGTGTTTCTCGTACACTTTTGAACATGTGTACTTGGCGGTGTCTGGATGAGGTAGCAGAGAGAAACCACAGAACTGGTTGAACTGTAAACATTTACTAAACATTACAACATGTAAAGTCCCGTGGACTAACATGTGTGCATGCTGCAAATATTTGCAGAACAGGTGTAGATACACGTTTGTGTCGTAAATCTAGTGGTTTGTTAGTGCTCAAGTCGTTTGAAAAATCTTGTTTTTGGACTGTGGTCCTTCACAGAATTAACAGTCACAGAGGATATATGACTGGTTATTTGAGGAGAACAAAATAATGATAAAGTTTATGTCTTTAAAGGTTGAAACCAAAGGAACTCAGAGGCTATGAAATCAAACAAACACTCATGCAAGGTCGACAAAGGGTATATGTGCATGTTACGTAGTCATCTGCTGCCGCTGCTGCATCCAATACTTGGATTTTAAACCTCCCAAAAATCAAGTAAAAATCAAACAATGTCACTGTTAATGGTGTGCAAAAAGACAATATTGACTTTGTCACCCATTTTGCAGAAACCAATCACAATATGCCTTTAAGAGTCAACAGATATTCCCTCTGTGCGATAAGGCCAAGTCGTACAAATAACTGTGCATGCATGATCAGCCTGTCATTTACTTTATTGGCCCCTGAGGGATATTTGCTCTGCAGTCAGGTGAAACCATAAAACATACGGACATTAAAGCTCCTGGGAGAAAAATTCAGTCTGGATCAATTTTGGCGCCTCCTGTGGACAAAGTGCACCGTTAGATTTTAGAAGGAAAATGTAAAAAGTAACCTTAACACAGGTTTCAAGGCATTCAGAGAGACCAAACAGAAATTGTCAGTTTTGTCCATGATGGCCTTGTTTACTTTGGGGTAACATTAAAAGGCACCATTGTGAATTTCGGTCTATTTCATAAATGTCAAAAAAATCCTTATAGGTGCTTTAAAAATACACACAGATACATTAAGATCACAGAGCTACAATAAGAGGTCGACTAAGGGTAAAACTGTCCCAAAAGGCACAACCATGTGTCTTTATTTAGTATTTGCCAACCTGTAAATATGGAGAGATAGCAGTGTTGTAGCTGTGACGAAGGGCAGAGCAGAGACACACACATCGGGCGACTTTAGCTTTAAACAAACAAACAAAATGTGGCCCTTTTCCATGTGTTTGTGCAGTTTCTCCGTCAGGTCAAAGCACCAAACTGAACCTCTCTAAATCTAAATGTCCAAAGTTCTTCTCTTGGGATCTCTGTCAAGTCTAAGAACAGTCCAAACTTAACCATGCATGACATTTTTTTAAACCATTTTCTCTTCTTTAGGTTCACCCTGCTCCAGGGTTTGATTGCTGAGCATGCTGGGTAAGGCTCCACCCACAACCAGTAACCTCAACCTGGTGAACGCTGAAGTTTCTGACACCACGGACGCCGCGTACGGAAACGACAATATCCAGATGGCTGACCTGGTGGAGAGTCTGGATACCAGAGAGCTGGACATCGGAGAAGGAGAGGAGATCGACTACGATGGGAGCTCCATCGGTAAGTTTGATTGGCTGAAATTCACCCCAAAGTGTGATAGAAACAAAGAAAATTTTGAACCAATTGGAGAATCTTTCACTAAAATCTAAGACTTATAGGATCAGTTGGTCTTTTTCATAATTTAGATCTTACAAACTTCACCAGAGAATACAACGTGAACATCTGACCTAACACTGTAAACTAGCTAAGCACGAAATCTTCAACAAAAGCCCACTTTTTTTTCCAAAGATGCAGCCTACTCGCTCCCAAGAAGTCCGAACAACTCCTACATGCACAAACTGAAGCACCACGCCAACCAACCGCCTCTCTCGCTCTCTTACTCTCTCTTTCTCTCTTTCTCTCCCAGGGGAAACCCGGATCCCATTTTCAGCTGTGTACGCCACAGTTGGCTTCAAGGAGGACAGCGCTAGGGTCTACCTCCCCACGGTGCCTATCACTGCCCGCATCCTGGAGGTGGAGAGATTTACGTCTGCACAGGACCGCTTCAACCTGTCGCACCACAGGAGTGTCAACAAAGTACAAGCAAATACTTGGGCAAACATTGAGCAAAGATTCATGAATCATCGCTTCATTTTCTCTCTCAGTTTTTCCTTTGCTGTCTTTTTGACCTTTAAGTGATTGGAGGATTTATTGTGTGTCGTTATAGTAACACTTTGTTTTACTATGATGATTTCAGCCTTACTAGAGATAAAGATAAGCACTTTATGTCACCCCACTCGTGTGTAGTCTCTACCAGCGGTGTTCAGGATCGAGCTGAAGCACGGGGAGTTTACCTGGATCATCAAAAGGAAAGAGAAACATTTCATGGAGCTGCACAGAGAGCTGAGGACCTACAAAACCTTCATGAGGATACCTCTGCCTTCACGCAGGTCAGCGCCCGCCCGCACACAAACGCCCAAACGCACACATAGATTAGAACTCCCACAGACACGCACATGCGCCGGGGGTTCGAGTTTGGATGTATACAAAGCACACACATCGTTGTTTTTGTCACGCTGCAATCGCTTGTCATATTTTGTAGATCAGCAGTCCAGCGTTTGTGCTGAAAGTGGTAAAATGAATGTTTTGAATCGCAGGTCAGAACTCTTAAAAAACTTAGTAGCCAAACCTGGACTAGTTTCTGGATCCAAAAGAGGGTTTAGGGAAAGTCGGAAAACCAGAGGAGCAACATGAGGATAGTGAAAACACTTTCCATGTTGGGGGGAGTTGATGGCCTTGTGGTCTAAACACACCCCATATAGAGGCTTTCGTCTTTGTCACGTGTCTCCAATTACGCTCTACTCTTCACGTTCCCTCTCTCTTTTCAGCTGCCTTGTCAAATAAAGTCAAAACTCCTCAAAACATGATGATTAGAAATATCCTCCATGTTCTCACTGTGTGTTTTTGTCACATTGTCAACAGTAAATCAGTTGAAAATCTGATGCAGTCTTTGTCCCTGATTCTTGCTGCACATATTAAGTGTCCAAAAATTCAAAAAAGCGTCATTACACCGCAGCAGAAACCAAAGTTATTTTAGAAGAGGGTGTAAATTTCAGTTTATTTACATTCTGCATATACGATTGAACATTCAAGCATGACTACAGTCCTCCATTTTTATTATTTGTCCGTCTCTCTCTTTATCTGACTTTCTTTCTTTGGGGATGGGGAAAAAAACTGAGGAATGTAGTCCTTGGACTTTAATAGGATTTACTTTTGCCCTACTCCTTCTTCCTCTCTTCCCGTCACTAAAAAAAAAAAAAACCCTCCATGTTTTTCTGTCAACTAAATGTTCTTTTCTGCCTTCCTGCTTTCCTGATTTGTATAAAACACCAGCACTCAACAGCCTGCAACCTTTCAAAATAATTCATGCTTTTACGTTTGCCTGTTTAAATACCCTCCAGCACTAGAAATCGTGTTTTAATTTCGGTGCTGGAACAGGGCTTTTTAGCTTTGGGCAATTTGAAAAGTGCTCTCTGTAAAAGTGTCCTCAAATAGCTTGTAATTATCCTTTCAGCCACACAGTGAGGAGGAGGACAGTGAGGAAGAGCGAGGTGAGGGAGATGCCCTCCTTGCCGAGGGGTGGTGGAGACGAGCTTGTGCGAGAGGAGCAGGTCTCCAGTAGGAGGGTAGGTAACAACAACGTCTCCACGTGCTTTTTTCTTTTTTCCTGCTTGGAAAAAAATCATTTTTTTCATTTCCTAATTTGATGGCAAAGAGCTCTCCTGGTGCCCACTTGTTGCCATGGCACTGTGTGTGTGTTTGTGTGTTTGTGTGTGTGTGTGTAAGCGTGTGCTGTGTGCATGTTTGTGTTTCCTCGCATGGATCTTGTCATTAAAATACTCACAGTGGCCAAAATGTAGTGTGTGTGTTTTTGCAGAGACAATTAGAAGACTATTTGAACAAGCTGCTGAGGATGGCCATGTACCGCAAATATCACCACACTGTGAGTAATCATACGAAGCACTACGAGCTGTGTCACTCCAACACAACCTCCTCATGACAGCTGGCCTTTGCACAACTTCAGGTTTATTCTTGTTTGTGTGTATTATCGATTTCTGTCAATGTGAACTAAAAGAACCCAGCCAGCTAGACACGAGAAAAACAGTAAAACATACATGCAGTAAAACTAAAATAATCCACTTTTTTCAGCATTTTACTGTCCTTCACCCTCAGGGTAGAACAGTGAGTGCAGACCAAGATCATGTCTGTGTTTACCCATAGCACCATCTGCTTTATGTTGACACACTACAGGACCCTAAACATATTATTCTGACTTTAAGTACAATCAGGAGCAAACAGCTGACAGCCAGGTTAATACTTGCAGTAAAAATGATGTGTAAATGAGAAACAAATCATTTCTAAATGTGTCTTTTCTAGTTTATTGGCTGTTCTTAGATTGTAATGAGACATCATATACCAGTTTTTCCTCTTAAGCTTATCTATACTTACTTCAGTAGACACTCCCTTTTCTGCAGACATGTCTCAGAAGACTTTCACAGAATGTGTGACACATTTATTGTCAGAGGTCAGAAAACAAGGCTGAACAGATTAAAAAAACAGACTTACCATTGAAAATAAAAAGATTATTCATGATTCAATATGAGTTTTACATCAACAACGCAGCCACTAAACATTATGCAACTCTACTTCGTACAATTATTTTTACTGTAAAATATCAAGATAATTATATTGGTGTGATATTTATGAAAAACTTAAAATTTCAATGAACACAGAGAATAAAATTGAGAAAAAGCTAAACAAGGGTAGAGTTTGTATAATTTTTCTGTCTTGTGTGTAGGTTGCTTTATCTCCTTTATTTTAAATCCATGCTTTTATTTTGAAGTGTCTTAGGATCTATAATAAAACCGTTAAAAGAACAGTTAAAAGGAAATGGTTACTTAAGTAGTAACACAAGCTGTAACATTTTGTTTGGATGTCAAAATGCATAATAATAACTTTATCTATTTATATAGCACCTTCAAAAACAGATGTTTGACAAAGTTCTTAAACAGAAGAAGCAAACAAAGACAGAAACCGAAAAAGGAAAATCATGAAATTTAGGTTTTTAAAGCTCCTCTGGGGAACTTTCAATTTGTGTGACTAAATATTCATATAACTTCTATCGGGTTGGTCTTAAATTTGGGGTGAATGATCTATTTTTTTTGACGGTCAGAGAATAAATTTGTTACTAATTGCAAGAGGCCTGGTTTTAATGTATAATTTGAGGAAGTTTCAGGTGGAACAGGGTTTGATTTCATGTTGGCAATCTGACAGGAATTGGTGGGAGGGAATGAGGCAGGTTTGGTGGACAAGTAGATCTGGGTGTCATCGGCATAACAGTGACAATGAAAGTTGAATTTACGTAAAATCTGCCCAAGGAGATGTAGGTAGATGATCAACACAAGAGGCCCCAGGACGGTACCCTGTGGAACGCCGGTCACAAGGCTTGGATGTGAAGGTTTTGAGTTGAATGAACTCGGCCTGAGAATCAAGATTTAAACTAGTCTAAGTGGTCCTGTCCAGGGGTTTGTTATGATAGATGGTGTCAAAGGCCACACTCAGATTGAGGAGGATGTTAATGGTCAAAAGTTCAGAGTCAACTGCCTGTGTTCAAAATGGGTCACATAGTTCTGTCAAAGCGTTCAACCAGCTGTTTATGAAGTCCAACGGTTGTCCATTTAAGGCAGTTTGAACCCTGAACAGTACATCGAGCTGATTTCTACACTGTACAGCCTCTGAATATGATAACATGCTCTTGAGTATACTAACTTACTGACAGAGCTTACTCACAGACCAGTTCTATTTTTGGCCACACCACTATGCCTGATACGCTGACCTGCATCATTGTGACGCATAATAAGTAGATATCTGAGGTGACGCCGCTGTTGATAATTTAAGCTATCAACTCATGGATGTTTGTGTGGGTGTTGTAGCTAAAATAGTTACCTGCTTTCAGTCACATAATGAAGCATAAAGAACTGTATGTATCCATGTGTCTTTTGGTCCGACTACACAAGCGTTGGTATGTGAAACGTCTTCCCGTCTATTCTCAGATGGAGTTTATTGACATCAGCCAGCTGTCTTTCATTCATGACTTGGGGCCCAAAGGACTGTGAGTGTTTTCTCCTCTTACAAATCTCCCTTTCCTATTCGTACAAAAGATTCAGGTGTCTGATGGATTAGCACTCAGTTGTTTCCAGCAGAGATTGCAGCATGAGATTGAGATTTAAGAATTACAAGAGGATGCCAAACTGTCAGTTTAAGAAAATTCCAAATTTCTTGTATCGATTTGTAAACTTCTCAATTATATTTTTGTCTGTTTTCAGGGAGGGGATGATCTATAAGCGCTCAGGTGGACATCGTATCCCCGGCATGAACTGCTGCGGTCACACCCAGGCCTGCTATCGCTGGTCTAAACGGTGTGTGGTTACCTCTGTACCTTTGTGCTGCTGTCGTCTTTTGTTTTCTTTGTTTTTGTAGTTTCTTTTTGAAACTTTCTTCTTATTTATGTCTCATTTGCTCCACTTTGTGCTACTTAAATTCCCTCACTCTGAATATCGCTGCTTCTCCTTGTATTTAAAGCTCCTGTGAAAAGTTTCTAACTGGTTGCCAATTCGATTAAAAACTGAGTCTTAATGAGCTAAAAAAAAAAAAAACAACAACCCCAGTAACTAGATTGAAATATCCTATAAAGCCATTTTGAATGTCTGAACATGTTGCAGAGGGTAGGTGTCAGACCAGAAGAGGCTGATTTCTTTGTAGTTTCAACAGCAAATATTCACAAGGAGGCAGGATGGGTTTTTTGGTCAGAAAAGGCTTCCTTTGAGTCTTAAAAACAAGATCAGCAAACACGGAGATGTACATCTTTGTCCTCAGGGGGAGCAAAAATCACACAAACAGGAAGTTACTGTCTGCACCTTTAAGCAAACACTGTACACATATGTGAAACAGCTCGTTTAAATATTCAATTTCCGCTCTTGGCAGCAAGTCTTCTACTTTAACTACAGCTTAAAAGTGGACTTCCTTAAAGCTCCTGTGAGGGACTTTGTGTTTGTGTTGATTTATGCGCCCCCCAAGGACAAAGTATTGCCTCTTATTCCTTGTTAATGTGGTTCTGGTGTCTTAAACAGTCACAAATTTCTCTCACTGTGAATTTTTGGTGTTTCCTGTTTGTCATAAACCATTTAGTCCGACACCGACCCCCTCACAGCAGTTTCAGGAAAAAAACAGAAACCACATTATAGAAAAAGTTATTCCTGTTTCTTTTACTCTTGTTTACTTTTGTAGCTCATAAAGAGACGTCAGTATTAATTTCCAGTCAGGTTTAGAAATATATAAAAACTCCTCACGGGAGCTTTAACGTCTCAGACATGAAGGATTAAAAGAAGTGATTAGCGTCTCATGTTGTGTCGATCCTTTTGTACTGGCAAACTTCTGAAATGTAGGTGTGATGGAAGTACAAATTTCTGGCAGAGAGCTGTGTCACTGTGGGTGTTAAAACACAGTGATTACTTTTTGCATATTTAAAAATATAATAACGATAACTTAATAAGTGAAAGTGTTGGCTCATTGTGTTTTAATTATTATTTTTTTTAACACAATTTTCACGGCATCCACAAACCAGCTGCAGTGACACACGCTCGCCTTTCTGTTCATCTGTTTGTCTCTTTCTGTCCCTCTTCTCTTCATCACAGCCAAATTATTATGTGAGCAGTTTTTATTGTTGTTTTTCCAAAGACAACACAAAATAAATCCCACACGTTTGAAACGCTCGGCCCATCCACCTACATCCCCATGTTGATTTTCTTCCTACACCCGTTCCTCTGAACAAGAAATACAAGAAACGTCGGCACACGACATCACACAGACTAACTAATCATTAATAATCTCAATGATAATGATATGAACTGTGTGTGTTTTCTGTAGCTGGCTGGTGGTGAAGGACTCCTGCTTGCTGTACATGAAGCCCGACTCAGGGGCCATCTCCTTCGTCCTGCTGGTGGACAAAGAGTTCAGCATCAAGATGGACTCAAAAGACACAGAGACCAAACACGGAGTCCGGGTCGATAGTCTCTCCAGGTTATTTTCCTCCGTGTGTGAGCGTGTGTTTGAATATTTGAATTTTATAGCAGAGAAAGATTTCGACTTTTCAGAAACTCCCTAAAAACCTCCAGAGGCCAGCGTTAACCTTTTGTACTCATGCGTGGTTTTGAGTGTAGGACGAGCGCATTAAAGCATTAGTAGTAGGAGGGAAACCCTTTTCCAGGGTTCCTGAGTATGAATTAGAAATCACTTTCTCAAATCTCAAAGACTGCAGTAAGAAAGAAAATAATAGGGATGCAGCTTAGCTCAGTTAAAAGTGCTAATCCAAATATTATTTATCAGGTGTTGACAGTTTATAAAGATGGATGGCATGTCCCCACCGCCTTCTGTTGCACAAAAGCAAAGCCAAAATACACCAAAAGAAACAACCTGTCCAGCTTTGCATTAAGTCAAGGACAAAATAAAACTAAAAATCACATTTTCCTCACTTCGGCAAAACTCATTTAAGTCCCACACTAAACTTTTTTATTTTACCACTCTAAGTGTTCTCAGTGGTCTTTAAACTATGAAGTTTTTACCAAAAATCGCGTTACCTGTGTCATTTTCAAGGACTTTTTTTCTGCAGAGCTCCAGTAGCTCATTAGCAATTCGCCTCTGAGTCGTTGGCGGAGACAGCGCTGCTCTGCACACTCGTCTTCACGTTAGCTTCCAGCCTTACATCGCCGGTGTAGTAGAAGAAATAGGTAACATAGGAGCTATGCATACGCTTGTTTCGCAATCGTCTTCGGTATTTCTCCTCTATTTGCAGAGTGTAGCCTGCATAGCGGGACTCCGGGGGCGGAGCTTGGATTGGTTACATAGGAAATCTCACTGTTTCTGAACCTGCCATAGAGATTCACAGCGATTTGAATTCAGAAATACCCAAAAAAGCAATTTTGCAGTTAATTTTCTCATGATATGTCCTCTAGCATCAGAAAAATGCCATATGAACATGTAAAATAAAAGAAAAACATGATTTTCATCGGAGTAGGTCTTTAAAACCCTCTTAAGCCGACACATTTCTGTAAATGATTTCACAGGTATGTTTGTCGGGTTTAATACATCTGTGTGTCTGTCTTTACTCATCGCAGGACTCTGGTGTTTAAGTGCAGCAGCTACAGACACGCACGCTGGTGGGGTCAGAGCATCGAGAGTTTCGTGAGGGAGAATGGAAGGGCTTTCCTCCGGGATCACCGCTTCGGATCGTTCGCACAAGAGCAGGAAAACATCCCTTCAAAATGGTAACTACTAAACAAAAGTGAGAAAAGTACATTTAGTTGTCCTCCGACTGAAATTTATAGTATTTATGTGGGATTTAAGAAGTCTGGGAGCTTCATCTTTAGGAATTAGATCTCGCCTCTGTGCCTTTCTCTGGCAACTGTGGAAATATTTGCAAAGATTGAGCAGTCAGCACTCTTAGAGGTCTTCTTTTTCTTGCTCTCTCCTCCCTAGCAGGCAGATTGTGTGAAACTGAATCATCTGTGTGATAATGTCATTATGTCTCCTTTGTAATGAGTAAAACATGCTGTGCTCCTGTGAGCTAACAGGAAAAAAAGTGTGAAATATAAAAAGGGGTTATGTCATCGTGAGACAGCATTGGGTGTAGCCTGACGCCTGTAAGGTTATGAAAGTTGAGGAAGTGAAGAGGCCGACTCACTTTCCCTCCTCTTCTCATGTCTTGCCTCATTTTTGTCATGTCTGTTGACCTCACTGTGACAAACAGACGGATTATTGTTTCACGTGGTTCAAGTTGAAACACTGCATGAGTGTGTTAACCAATGTGTAAGTGCGTCTACATGTGAAAACAAGCCTGTGTGACAGAGGTGTCTGCTTTCACAATTCCCTCAGAGTGACCGTAGATGTTTTGCAGGTACGTGAACGGAAAAACCTACATGGAGGATGTGGCTGATGCTCTGGAGGAGGCCAAAGAGGAAATCTTTATCACTGACTGGTGGTGAGTTTTAATGATATCACAAAGTTTTCTAAGGAAAGGTGATGGTAAAGTCAACATTAAGGATGCTCTGAAGCAGTCATGGTACATTTAGTGTTGAACCACTTGTCTAATCCAGGTTTAAAGCCATATCATGGATCACGACTCTGGTAATGATCTTCCTCTGCTCACTTTTCTTCATACCACAGAGGAAAAGTGAAAATCTTTCATCCCTTCCATGTGTGAAAATAATCAACATCTAAACATAATAAACCGGCTCTAATGGATTAATTTAGTCCTTTGGTTAGCATATGCTCTGAAACAGATTCCTGCCAAAGCCTGAGCCAACCTGACACTCTGATACCCTGTAAGTGTACATGCTGTCACACATTACATTATGTATTACCCACAAGTCCTTGCTCTCAGGCAGTAATACAATGGTTCTGGCTCTAATTACAGTCCATCCACACACCCAGAATAGAAACACACTGACAGTGAAAAACAGTCTCCATATTGTCGCTGTTACACCCACCAGCAGCATGTCGCTCTGAAATTTGAGTGTGTATTTACACACCTGTGTGTGTTTGTAGACACATAATTAAACAAAGAAAATTAAGAGAAAAGGGGGGAAAGGGTTAAGTTGTCTTGAGTAAAAACTTATTAGCTGATAAATAAACCTGGTTCAGGATCAGTTCCAGTGATTTGTACTCGACAAAAAAAAGAAAAATAAACAACAACTGTGTGTTCAAGTCCAGTTAAACTTTGAATGAGTTCCTTTTTAGACGGTTTAAAGCCTTTGTGCACACGTGGCTGAAATCTCTTTGTTCCAAGACCATAATCACAGGGCTCAGTGTCTTAACCAATGAGGTGTCAGCTTGTGAAATGTGAGCCAATTTTATTGTAGACATGTACACTCAGTGTGACTGACTCACAGGAATAAATTGTCATGTTTGATGACTGTATCCTTTCTAAATTTCACCAATGCTGCCCTCTTTTTTTCTGCTCCAAATAAATCTACACAGATTTTTGACATTTGGTTTGTTTGACCAGGCTGAGTCCAGAGATCTTCCTGAAGAGACCTGTTGTCGAAGGGAACAGATGGAGGCTGGACTGTACCCTGAAACGCAAAGCAGTAAGTGGGCTCTACAGGTATTTGATTGTGTTAGAAGATGCCTCTCATGGAAGCAACTGACTGTTTGCTAAGGGGGGTTGTGAGTCTTTAAGTTAGTCCCAGACTGTGGGCTCATATGTATCAGCTATTAGTGCTCCCAAAGGCTGTGTCCAATAACCAGAGACAGCCAGCAGGGTGGTGTTAACAGATGTTTTTAGTCAGTCTGAAAAACTCACTTTTAAAGACTTGCTTTTATTTGATGCCGTCTTTTATCTTTTACCTCTTTTCTCTTTTACATGTGTCTTATTTCAGCTTTACTGTCTTTTTAGCTTTTGTTATACTTCTACACTTCCTTATTTTATGTTTTTATTTTGGTCCTCATGGTTGCATTATATGTTGCAGGGTTCTTATATTGTCTGGGTTCCTTATCCCATATGAAAATGGCCTTCAATTTTAAAGCCTTGTTTTAACTGAGCTTTTTGTTTTTATTTGTTTTTATTTCAATTTTGTGCTTTATGACCATCTGTCAAAACGCTTTAAAAACCTCTGATTTTAAAAGTGCTATAAAAATGAATTTATTATTATTAGTTACAAAAAGAGCTACACGTCTGCGTGGAAACTGCACATTGCTGAACACAGTGGAAGTTTTCATGTGTTCATAGAATACAGATAAAAACGGTCATTTATACTGATGCGTCTGTCGTTCCAGATTTTATGGTTTAAAATAATCGATCAAATCTTTTCTATCCCACGTCAGAGTTTATGGTTTTTATGTTCACTTTTATCTGTAAGTTTGAATCCATCTGGACATTTCATACGCTGAAAGTTTCTTAATACTACGCCAGCTTATTCATGCATAGAAATATTCCTGTAAAGGTGAACTAAGACCCGTGCCTTGTTAGGGTAAAAGCAATACGATTACAAGATTAGATTCAGTATAAACAGTCAGAGTATGTTTCATAGAACTTCTACAACATACAGCTTCTTTTACTTTCGTTTCTTCTCTTTCCTCTTTCTGTTTTTATCTTTTCTCATCTATTTTGGTTCATGGGTTTGTTGGGAGGGGTTTTCGTTGATTTAAGCTCCATGGCGCTGAAGCTGACTATTTAGCCTCCCCAAAGGCCCAACTTGATGAAACACCAGTGAAGGGAGGTGCCCACTTTAAAACCCTGTTGATGCGCTGGCTGGATGCCCATCTTCCCCTATCTCTCTGCTTGCTTAGATCATAGGGATGTGTCGATTTGAAACTGTGAACAGTTTACATGAAATACTATTTTCACTCTTCCTCCTTACAGCAACAGGGTGTTCGCATCTTTGTGATGTTGTATAAAGAGGTGGAGCTCGCCCTGGGCATCAACTCGGGCTACAGCAAGAGGACCCTCATGCATCTGCACCCCAACATCAAGGTAACTAACAGAGAATGATACCAAAGTGTTTTTTTTAATATTTTTTTAAAGTATAATCAATGTTTTATATTTCATATTATTATTCTGTAGGTGATGCGACATCCAGACCACGTCTCCTCTTCTGTGTATCTTTGGGCACATCACGAAAAAATCGTTGTCATCGATCAGTCAGTGGCGTTCGTTGGCGGGATCGACCTGGCGTATGGCCGCTGGGATGACAGAGAGCACCGGCTGACGGATGTCGGCAGTGTGACGCGCTCCGTTGCCCTGGAGCAGGTCAGACACACAAAAAAACACACAACTAATTAAAATCCACAGTTTGGAGTTATTGGCAATAACTGTGTTTCCGCGCTCTTGACAAACGGTTCAAATCAAAGAGGAGCAAACGGTTTCATTAAAAACTGGCACGGTCAGGGGTGATGGTGGGTGAAGTGATGGAACTGCATGTACCCTCAGTGACAGCCTGTGGTCAGTGTGTTGCACTTTTGTAGTGCCAGCTTTTGCACAGGCTTTTGGTTTTAATCACACATAATTCTTCCAAACACAAGCGGCTGCCTCGAGAAACACAAAAACTTCATACCAGTGATCTCACAACCAGTATCAAGATTTTGGGGAGGAGATATTTATTGCAGATTTCACTCATGCTCCAAATAAAGTAAACCCGGTCAGGATAATCCCTTTAACCTTACTGACTCTTCCTGCAGTCGTTGTATCAATAAAAACAGACTAACACATTATTGTCTTCTTGATATCAGGCTGGCTCCACCAACGCTCCGGCCACTAAAGGCGTGTCCTTTGTTGACGGCGTGTCTGACGGCGTCTCCAAAAGCAATGGAAGAGAAACGCCGCCCGCTGCTGAAACGGTGGAGTTACCGAAGCTGAAGGGGATTGGACGCAACAGGAGGGCTCGCTTCAGTCTGTACAGACACCTGCACAAACACACCATGCAGCATGCCGACAGTGTCAGCAGTGTGGACAGCTCAGGTTTGTTTACATGTGTATATAAGAGTGTTGGAAAAGTTGATTGAAAGAACATGACGATGATGATGACCTTGTTGTAAAAGAGCTCAATGCATGGAGAGTACATGCAGTCCTTTAACTAGTGTGTTTCCCTCTCTCCTGTGTGTGTGTGTGTGTGTGTGTGTGTGTGTGTGTGTGCAGGGAGTGGTTCAGTGCAGAGCCTAAAGACAGGCGTTGGAGAGCTACAAGGCAACACGCGCTTCTGGCATGGAAAAGATTACTGTAACTTCGTGTACAAAGACTGGATTCAGCTGGAGAAACCTTTTGATGGTGTGTTACACAAATGAACACACACGTTTTGGCTTAGGCTACTTCTAAGGACACTACACAGATTTAAATTTATGTCAAGGGGACCAGTCTTTACTCTGACCTTGTCACCCGAGACAAACTGGTCTTCAGTTTGAAACATGTCCTCTAAAGTTTTTCGTTTTGCTTCTGCTGGTTTTTGGTTCCTCTGGTGTTACCTCATATTACCTTGAATAGTGTGTGTTTTCTTATTAAACTGGTGTGATGGAAAAGAATAGTCATCTGGAAAACTAACGGAAACCAGCACCGTGGACCACATACTGTATATGCTTCGCTTTTTTTCCTCTCTGCTTCAAACTCTCTGACCCCTCGCTGTTTTTCTACCTTCTTCCCTAGACTTCATTGACAGGTACACAACTCCCAGAATGCCTTGGCACGACATCGCCTCAGTGGTTCATGGCAAAGCTGCTCGAGACGTGGCGAGACATTTCATTCAGCGTTGGAACTTCACAAAGGTACTGCAAAAACACACACAGGGAGTTAAAACTTAAGTCTTTACCCAGAATTTTAAGAGCTGAATCCTCTTTGTTTGCATATTGAGTAACTTTTCAATAGTGATACCTTTTTACACCTTAATCCTCACACCCAGGCTTCCCATAAGATCACATTTCCTGCAGCTGTTTTCACTCTTTTCCTCCTTTGACTCTACGATCCTTTACTGTGTCTCTTACAGATCATGAAGCCAAAGTACCGCTCTCTTTCTTATCCATTCCTGCTGCCCAAGTCTCACTCCACTGCAAATGAGCTCAGATACCAGGTCCCTGACAGTGTCAATGCCAAAGTGCAGGTAAGAAGAAAAGCTGTTTTTTCTTTTTAGCCAAAGTAAACCCATTAAAAAAACACATGGGGTGTAATTACACAAAATTAGAAAGTGGGGTTAAAACCAGCCATTCACCAGAGTTTAAAAGACCCACTGGTAGAGAATCGGAGAAGAAAACACAAGAGCACTCTCACAGTACAAACTCCCACTATCACGTACGACTTTCCACCAGCAGGTCTTCGAGCGCTGCTGGACGAAGATAAAAGAGAGTGAGCGTTCACAAACTCCCCAGGGGCTGAAAAGTTATGTAACTATGAAGGTTTGAGCTTTCAGTTGACACTCGAGGGTTTTTTCGCCTGAAGGAATCTACCTTTGAGTGAGGCACTTGGCTAAAATAAGACAGGCGTGAAGACTTTGAATCCATCAGGTTTGGTTTGAAGCGCTCTTTGTTTTCTCTGGGTAATTTGATAAAAGTTTGTGGGCTTTGTTTGTATCTTGTTTTTCAGCTGACATCCCTGTTTGTTTACCTGTTTGTCTGCTATACTTTAGACTGATAATTTACCACAAATTACTCTGTTTTTCCATTTTTGAGCTCTAGAATTGTCACAAAGTTGGGCCAAATATTCATTAATGATACTGCTTGGACTAATAGGGGCTGCTGTATAAACATAAGGTTACCTGAAAAAAAGTGCAAAGGCCCTTTTTCAGACCACAACCATAACCCTAAATCTGTGTCTACAAGGTGTTGCGGTCAGCGGCAGACTGGTCAGCAGGCATCAAGTACCACGAGGAGTCCATCCATAACGCCTACATCCAGGTCATCGCCAAGAGCAAACACTACATCTACATCGAGGTAAAACCATTTACTTTAATGACATTCTACTTTTGTGAGTTATGTAAAATCATAATTTCTGATTCAAGTTGTTGTAATTTCACCAACATCTGCACCTAGGGTGAAGCTATTAAATGATTTTTCAGTCACTTTTGTCGGGATTGTACGAATGCTAAAAGCTAAATTGGCTTAATTAGTGTTTCAGACAGAGATGTAATTTTAAGGAACTTGCAAAGAAAATCTTATCCTGAAATGTCCCGAAATAAGGGTTGTAAATTTTGTGTAGTTGATGCAAAGTTTGCAAATGAAGCACTCCTGTCTCCTACCTTTCTACCTTAACCTACATAAACATCTGTAACTATTTCTAATTGGCTCCGCTGTGATTTGTTTCTCTTTTTCTTTCTGATCAGAACCAGTTCTTCATCAGCTGTGCCGACAACCGAACGGTCTACAACAAGATCGGAGACGCCATCATCGAGAGGATCATCAGAGCACACAAGTACTTCCCTTTATTTAAACTACGTATTTGTTTTAGGACTACTCAATCTTAAGGTGTCTTTTATGTTTGCAAGAAAGATTAGTTTCTCTTACCGCAGCAGGACACTGATGGTCTTTGTCTTTTTGTAACTGCTCTGTGTTTGCTCACAGGGAGGGGAAGAAGTACCGCGTGTATGTGGTCACCCCTCTGCTTCCTGGATTTGAGGGAGACATCACGACAGGAGGAGGGAACGCCATTCAGGCGGTGATGCACTTTAACTACAGGTGAGCCGCACAGCACTTTCACAAGTCCAAGTCAAATACTGAAAGAGGAACAGAGAAAGGGAATGAAATGTGAACCATTTTATTTGGAGTTTATTTAAGGTAGGATGTGTAATGTTTCTAGACTTTCTGATGAGTTTAAATCTCTTCCATTCCCAGAACAATGATCAGAGGAGAGTACTCCATCATTTCCCAGCTGAAAAGAGAGAGTAAGTGCAGGAAAAAGTTATAAAATTGAAGATTTTATATCTTTAATTAAATTGAAGGCTAAGATTGTGCTGATTTATTTCCCCACCTTGCTTAGTGGACGACCAGTGGATGAACTACATCTCCTTCTCCGGACTGCGGACTCATGCCGAGCTGGAGGGACGGCTGGTCACGGAGCTCATCTACGTCCACAGCAAGATGCTCATCGCTGACGACAACACAGTCATCATCGGTCAGTCTCTCGTCTGCTCTCTCTCGTTCTGTCCCTTTTTCTTTTCTCAGGTTGTTTTCACCAAACAATATTTTTAGCATGTCTGCGTTGACACCAGCAGGAATGTGTTAAATCTCAAAATCTGGCTTAAGATTTCATCTCTTGCCATGTGTGCAGCTAAAAAATGTGCATATAAATACCGGTGAAATGTTGTGTTTGCTGAAGGATAGCTCGACTGCACCCTCTGCTGGTGTGTGACATGCTACTCCATCTCTCGCTCTGCTTTTTCTTTTGGTTTTTTTAGACATTGTTTTTAAGAAATTTAAAGGAGAAGATGCTTTTCTTTAATTATAAGATCATTAATTACAATTTTAAAAATATAATGGGGTAACAATGGGGACAGAAAGAGTGTAACAGATGCAGAATTACAACTTTCATTCTCCGTTCTGTGTATATTTTTTTCAGGTTCTGCTAACATCAACGACAGAAGCATGCTGGGTAAGCGTGACAGCGAGGTGGCGGTGATCGTGGAGGACTCTGAAAAGGTTCCAGCTGTGATGGACGGACAAGAGTATGAAGCCGGACCCTACGCACTCCAGCTTCGCCTCGAGTGCTTCAGGTGTGTGTTTGCACTATTTGGAGTGTGTGGAGATCAGTCAGAGAAGTACAGTATGTCATAAACTTCTCTTTAAAATCAGTTATGTATACCTTGTTTTCCTTTTCCCAATCAGAACTATCCTTGGAGGCCACACCGACTCCAGTATTGACCTTTCTGACCCGATCAGTGATCGCTTTTACAAGGAGGTGTGGATGACCACTGCAGGCCGCAACGCTACCATCTATGAAAAGGTATGGACTTAACTGTTCATGATGTACTGACTCTTGTGACAGAGAGTTGTAGATGCTTTGATTAACCGTGGAGGGTCTTGCAACTGCCACAAAAACCATCCTGACCTCTGTTCTCAGAAGAGCCTCACCCCCAATTTCCACCGCACCCGCCAAGACTCTGATCCAGAACAGTGGTGATTTACGCTGTCCGCCAATTCCTACCGGATCCATTTGTGAGGCAAATTTCATGGCAGATTACCGACAGCGAGAATCGCGAGAACTCCCAAGAACCCGCGGATTCACATGCAATCGCTCAACAACAAGTTATCTCTATAAAGACAGCTACATAACCATATAAGCAGTAGATTGTGCCCTTCCAGGGGAGGAAATCTACTTCTAGATTTCTAAAATCAGCATCTCCTCATCCATAGTGTCATCGGGGTGAAAGGCTGTCTAAAAACCCTTCACTCGTTCGTCCCAAAGTTGGAATGGTGGGAAATGTGATCTGCCTTAAACACGGAGTGTTTTATTTTGAAAAGAAGCTGGATGTTGTATTTTGTGTCTGTGGCCAACTTCCTTTCCAGCACGGCCTAGAAAAAAAAAATCTCTTACGATCAGGAGCAGAACGGAAAGAAACCGGTGTTAATTGACACATTAACTTGAATGGTTACGATCAGCTGCGATCGGCGGATACTTCCTTTTTGTAGCGGTGGAAATTGGGCGTTAAAGACGTCAACTCACGTACTCTAGAGTTTATTTTTGTGTGTTTCCCTCCAGGTTTTCCGTTGCCTTCCTTCGTCCCTGGTGAGGAACATGGCTGAGCTGGAGCAATACCAGTCCAAACCAGGTTTGGCCCAGACAGACCTGACCCGCGCTCAGGAGGAGCTGCGCAAAATCCGAGGCTTCCTGGTCCAGTTTCCTCTGGACTTCCTGTCTGAGCAGAACCTCATGCCTTCTGTGGGAACCAAGGAGGCCATGGTCCCAACTGAGATCTGGACGTAAAGGTTCAACACGGCCAAGGACTCACACATCCGCTCTGAACTCAGGTTCATTCAGAGTCTTGAGCATAGTGTCCGCATTGAGGGTGTAATCCAACGTTTAATTATTGATTTGCTCACAAGTCTCTTCTGGACTGATGGGACAGCTGGGTCTTGAGAAATCTCTGAAAATTGTCTCTGCTGAAAACACTCAACCGGGGATGTATGAAGAACAAAAAACCAACACTCTTAGGACATGCTTTGGGACTGCACTCAAGCTGTTGGGATGAAAAACTGAACTTTTGGTTTTGGGAATCAAACTCCACTCCGGACCCTTTGAATTTCTAATTATTGGAAAAAGAGACAGTGAGGATTTCTAAGGGACCAGGATGAGGCTGGTGTCACAGTTTTGACATCAAAGATGACAAATGTTTGAAATGTTGTCACACAGACATGGAGATGCATGTGGTTTTCTGAGTTTGTGATAAGTGCTTGTAAGGTGCAGTAGTGCAATGTTTGCTGTTTTTGAGTTGTTTAGCTGCTTTGGAAAAAGATGGAAATCTAGCTGAGGCTGATGCTTATGGAGGATCTTTTTCGATCATGTGAATTTAATTTGACCGCACTGAAGCTCTTTACTGCGCGGATCATGAAGACATGAGACAATTTTACTGATTCAGCATGAATTACTAACTGTGCATACATTGTGTTAACATTCTTTCTGTATTGCATATATCAATCACATTTATGTAAATACCCCCCCAAAGACACTTTTTGTCTTAACACTTTTATGACTGAAAATGGGCGACATGTGGTTCAAAAGCTAGATCAACTCAGTTCAATCATTCTGCATTCTGGGTGATATTATAATAGCTGAAGGGGGCGTGACTAAATCTGCAGAACCAGGGGTGGATCAGACAATCGGCCCTGTAATTCAAAGTTGCTATTCCCTCTTTGCCCAACAGATGGTGCTAGTTTCTTACTGATCCTGCCTGTGCAGATATCGAGCAGTGCAGGACGAGCCTCTCAGCTCTTTAGATTTTCTTTTTCCTCAATCTTACTGCAACAGCTTTCTGAAAGTGCAGAAGCAAAGTCTTAGCAACGGCATAACCAACAGTATTTCTCATTTTGTCCACAATTGACTCTTTTATATGAGGATACAGCCTGAAAACGTTCCTGGTTTTCTTGATGGAGCTTCTCAGCGCAGAATAACATCTTCTTTGAGACTTTTTTTTAATGTACCATCCCGTCTTTAAACAGGAGGAACTCAGCTTTTCTTACGACTCTTCTTGTTTGTGACCTATTTGGCGCACTTTTCAGATTTGGTGTGCGTGAATGTACGTACTCTGTGATTCCGGAGTTATTTTGCAGAATTTTGCAATCACAGACTTTCACTTAATGTGAATTTAGAGAACCACTTCTGTAGAATCCAGGTAAGGATAATTAAACCTAACTATTTAACTGAGGGAGATTCTCATGAAGGCTTAGGGGCAAAACAAACACTGACATGGAAGAGGCTGAAAGAAGGATTTCTATCACAGCAATCAATCACAGCAGCTGGCACGGCTCCTCAATTTCCAGTGAAAGTGTGAGTCTCTGGTATTTGAAATATAAAGACACTACCTGCTTTCTATGTGACCTGGCTTTGAAATGTTGATCTTTAATGGGACCAGAATGTTTTTACAGTGTTTATTGAAGTTATAACGTGTAGAAACACTACGCCTTTTCAAACTCTTTTACATTTCAGTTTTATTTGTTTTGGACTCTTTATTCTGCAGCTTTTCTCGTCACTATTGTTTGTTATTATTTTGAATCCTTCAACGCATTTCTTTTTTAAAGGTGGCACATGGTTGTGGGTTCAAGACTAAAAATCTGTTTATTTATCAGAACCCAAATCTCAATATGTGTTCCCCTGGAGCTCACTTTATCTGTGTACGATATCTTCTTTGTATGAAAGAAAACGTGTCCATGTAACAAAGCTGTAACTCTTATTTTAAATGGCTCAAAATTAAAAAAGTATCTTTGGATTTCTCATTTTATCAATTGAAAAACATCTTAAAAGTCTTGATGTGTGATTGGAGACTGAATGTGAAATGAGGATTTTATCGTTAACCTTTTTTTTAGTTGGATTATAGATTTTTTTGACCATTTAACAACTACAGATCTCTCAAAATATTTGTACAGACAAGTTGAATGAGAAGTTCTAGTGTCTGTTTAGTCTATATACGTTGTTTCAGATTTGCAAGAGGCATTCAAAGCAGCTTAAAAACAAACAGAAATCCTGAAACACATCTTGTTTTTTCTGCTGCTTTTTGATTGTCATTGGTCCATGGTCGAGAAAAGACATTAGCCAGAGTTGCTGGTTTTCAGAAGCTCAAATATTTTAAGCCAAGAGTTCTACAAGCGCATAAGCTGATGCTGAGGACATTTTTGCACTAAAGATATTGAGCTGTAAAATAAATGCTAAACAGGATTATCTCTGTATACTGCAAGAAAGTAATTTCAATAAATTTCCACTCCTATTTTGCTAAACTGCGTCGATGGAAACTGGCCCTAACAAATAATGTAATGTGGTTTATCAGCCACAATTCTTGAGTAGAGTTTAAAAAAAGGATAAATTTAGTCTATTTTAGTGAGTGAAGACTATCTTTAGTCTACATTCCCAGATATATAAAAGTCAAAGTCAACACTTTTTCTGGTGCATAAAAAGTACTAACATTTCCCTGTTTCTTCCAGCTTTCAAAAGTTTTAGATCCAGCCAAAAATTGATCATTATGTCAAAGAGAAACCTTTATTATAGGTTTTAAATGTTTATATTTGATTGGTTTTGTTCATTTTTTTTTTAATTTAGAAAATCTCTGGTGTTCAAAAGTATTTTTGATTCATATCCTGTATGAAAGAAAGTTTTGCTCTGTTTCTAATTTAAAGTTAAGAGTAAATGCCGTACAGGAAAATACTTCTTTTTTCTTTTAACAAAAAAGTACATCCACATCATCTCCAAATGGATTATATGGCCAGTCTGTTGGTTTAGTAAGTTAAGTGGTGAGTCTCTATTTTTTCTGCTTGAGTTTTAAACCGTAATGGTGGACAATATCAACCTGCTGACTTCCACGAATTTCACCATCAATGCTGATACTTAAAAAACATTAAAAAGAGATTTTCTGACACAAACTTCAATTTTGCCACCAACACTCAAAAGAGTTCACATGTTTTATCATGACAGTGACGTAGCTGGTACTTCCGTGTAAAGCCAGTTAATATTCAACATAAGTGAAATTATTTGGAAGCTCTTAGTGCAGAATTATGCAATGGGGACAATTATTAAGAAATCAGAAGTAAAAGGATAACTCAAAGTGGATAACTGAAACCTGGGTTCCATTCACTGGAAACAGTTTATGGATCATTTAATCAGAACATTATACAAACATTTTACTTTCTCACTTCCTTGGAACCCTGTTTGCGTGTTTTACGAGTGAACGAAACAGCCTTCAGTTTTATTAACTGTGAACTTGTTCTGTCTGGCAGGTTTGAAACGCTCAGGTAGCCAAAACAAACAAAGCTTTGATTGACATCGAAGTAAAACTCCAAAACAAAATATGAATAGTATTTTGCTTTAAAATGATAAAAACAACTATCATGACTTATTAAGACAACAGAAAGTCTATCACAACTGGCTATAAATTATACTGTGTATTTAAATGGAACAAGCTACTTATGGAGGCTGTGATCCTGGTTGTAGGATCAATTGGCTTGATTTGGTGTGTGCTGCACTCCCTTCTCCACGTCTTATGTCCGAGTTTATGACTGAATGTGTTTGTGCTGATGTTTTATGTTTTGATAGAGGGGTATTTTGTGCCTTTATTTAGAAATGCTAGGACAGTTGACAGAGTTTGAAAACTGTACGTGGGACCTCAGCCAAACTGGTGCCCTAATTTCCTGTAGTTAGGAATAGGGGTTTTCAGTGTTTCATTTTTTTAATCTCTCTTTTATTTTATTATTACAAGAATTTATACAAAACTCTCAAGTTAGAGGGATATTCCGGAATAAAATTAATATAGGGTCAAACACACCATAACACAGAGTTAGACACCCCCTCAAGAGATGAATGTTGCTGACCGCTTGCTTCTCTAGTTATACCAACTTTAGTAACAACCACACAATAGCAATACAGAGTGGTCTGAGGAGCCATAACCACAAATAATGCTCAGAACAGCACCTAACTTCATCAACAGTACATATAGGGTCCCAGCCATAGCACTAGCCACCAAACATCTTTTTGATTTTGCCTAATTTCTTTAGCAAAGAGACTAAACACAACTCACCTACTCTCTTCCAGCAGCCGCTTGTTTGTAGCGAGACCTAAGGCCAGACCATTATGGACTACAGTGGGGTGACGCAGCTCAAGGAAGAACATATACAGGTGGAAGGCGGAACCAAGTTGTCCATGTATATACAGTAGATGGTTTTGCCCATAACTTGGTGTTGTGGTGTGTTTGACCCTAAATAGATGTTATGTTGGAATTTCCCTTTAAATAATGATAATTAAAAAAAAAAACATTAAAAATATTCCTAAAGAAATCAATTGCATGAGCCGTGTGAAAGACCCTCAATTTGTCCCTATATCACTCTCCATTAAAAGAGCGACTTCACACACCCATTCGTGTTTAATTGGCCGTTTCAGGTCGTTTAGTTGGAAAAGGAGAAAAGTTTGGGACTCCCTGCTGCCTCACTAAACCCCGCCCAGTAACAGGCGTGGTTTGCGGGCAGTGAACCACTTCTCTCCCCCTCCCCTTCCTCACCATGTTCACTTTCTGTCACAGCAGCAGCAGCAGCAGCACCGGCAGTAGCAGCAGCACACTCTCCTCTCCTCTTGCGCTTCACCTTCCTGCTCTGAACCGTCTCCATCCGCAGACATGGACCTGGGGCTGCTGGTGCACGCGGCGCTCTCGCTCCCCATCCTCCGCGTGTTTGAGCTCTAGCTGAGCGCTCGCGGGCACGAGGCACGAGACAGTTTTTTTTATATCGCCGCTCGCTGAGACATCACTTTAACACACAGAGAGAGAGAGAGAGAGAGGAGAGAAGGGAGTGAGAAACAGAAGAGAGAGAGAGAAAGGGGACCACACAGTCGTGACAGCAGAGGCCGTTTCAGGATATCGAGCTTTTTCTGTGTGTGTCCTCCATCATGGCGAGTGACTCTCCGGCTAGAAGTCTGGACGAAATCGACCTGTCCGCTTTGAGGGTAAGACGACCTTACAAATTTGTGCCTTTTTTTTTTAAATTCAGCTTATCGTAAAAAAAAAAAAAAGAGCCGGCTTGTGCGCGCACTCGTTTCTCCTTCCTTTTCACCTGACAGCTCTCCCTGAATAGCAAACCGGCAGGAGAGAGGAGCAGAGGAGGAGGAGGCTGCCAGAGGCGGATGTGTGGGAGACAATATGACAAATTGTGGATGAAATGTTATATTTAGACATTAACAAGCATGACAGCTGTCTCGTGTGTTTAAAGCTTTGTCTAGGTCTGAATGGTTGATGGTGTGAGTGGTGCTGAGTGGAGCTGAGATTTGCTGACCTGGATTCAAGGGTTTCTGTATCTTTTTGTCACTGGGGCAGACTGTAACAGGCCTTGAATCAGACAGCATAGGAATTTAACCTAATTCTCCTACTCTGACACACACACATTGCACAGAAACCTCTGATATCATGTCCTTAAAGTGTGTATTTCTCCTCACTGGAAGCTAAACTAGTCCTCCACTTGAGCTTTTTCTATCTCTATGTGTGTTTAAGTGTGTGAAAGTGATAGTGCCAGCCGACCTACAGTCAACTCACCTTCCGCCTAATCAAAGCAGAAGCTCTGCATGCAGCAAAAGCCACTTTCTTTTGTTCATCCGGTGTGTTGCTGCAAACCACAACACACTCAGACAGACAGACACGCACGCTAACAGCCTCCTGCGCTTGTGTTAATGCGTGGATACCCATGTTTTCTCCCTGCTGGGCATGCTGAGTGTGTGCGTGTGTGATATTCTGTGTGTGTGTGCGTGTGGGTGTCTGCCAAGGTAATGTCAGCTGCACACAAGTAAGGAGATGCTGCACATGAGAGGAAAAGAGCTCAAGTCAAGGACCTGTTTGATTCTCTGAGACAGGAAACCACATCATACACACATATCACACACATATATACACACACTATGCAGTTGTTGTCTGCCTGCCTGTTTTCACCTGCTCCTTGTCTGCTTCACTGTGCCCTTTTTTCCGCCTGTCTCTTTGCTCGTCTTCTTCTGTTTTACTTGTTCCTCCTCTTTTACATCAATTTTTAACGCCTGTTTTTCCTGCATCTTGTTTGTCTGACTGACTTTGACTGACTGAATGCACCTCCCCGTCTATCTGCCAGCCGCTCTGTCTCTGAGCATTATCTCTCTCTGCCCACCTCCTCCTCCTCTTTTGCCCTGCCTGCTGCATAACGACCCATGTTCACACCAGAGGTGAATAAATTTTGGCAACAACAGATGCGGCTCTTCAGGTTTACACCCATGTAGTCGGTGATTTTTTTAGGCATAAGAATGGAAAGAGAGCATGAAAAAAAGACGTGAAAGAGAAGGAGAAAGAGGAGAAGGAGACATGGAGGGAGACACAGAGGCAGATGAGGAGGAATGAGGAAGAGGAGGTGTCTGTGCATTGGGAGTCAGGCCATGCATGTCCTGTTCTTTTAGAGACGTGATGGCAAGTGCATGTCTCTTACTGTGACTCAGAGGCCATTGGAAGGACAAATGCACACACGTACACGTGCTCGGGTTTCCTTTTACATGCATGGTCCTAATCCTGTCAATAATGATCATTTGACACCACTTATTTATATGATTTGGCATGTTTGCATATGCACGCTTGTGGATTATTGTAGATTGGTTTGATTTGATTAAAGGATTATCAAAGTGTCCCAGAACCTAAAAAAGGAGAGTTGTGAGGCGCTCATTAAAAGTAAGGGTATGTCTTGTTGGAAGCTGTCAGAAGTTTATGCACAGAAGCTAAGCTGTGTTCCCCTGCGGATGATGTACACCACAAACTTAAACCACTCACTGAAAATAACCCTACATTTAAAAACAAACATTTCAGTTTTGCTTTGAAATTTTCCACTGCTTTATCTTTTATCAGCACCGTGTATTACTCAGCAGAAAATCCCAGTTTACTTCCACCTCTTGAACTACTGTATGTGTATGTTTTCCCTGCTCTTACTGGGGCTGCAGTGTTTGTTGAGTGGAGTGATGCTGCACTACAATACAGTAGTGCAAAGCTGTCAGTTTGATTTCTTCAGCCATAAATGTCTGCATGGTGTATTGGGTAAAGCTTTTTTATGTTAAGTTTTGCTATATAGCGTTTTGAATGAGCCTGTAATGACAAACATCTTTCTCATGCTTGTGTTAGTTGGAAGCAGAGACATCATGTTGATGGGAAGTTTTCAATCAATCTGCAGATATGTGGTCCAAGCTAGTAGATGGGTTATGGACTGATTATCTGTATCGGCCTTTTATCCTACAGTTAGGCAATGAAATGAAATGATTAAAAAACATGCTTTTTGGTTCCACTGCTGGTGTGTCTTTTTCCCTTGTTGTGTTTACTCTGATTACTGATTGCCCACTAAGCAATAGATGGCTATTAGACTTCTAGTTATTTTTTAGACCTAATTTCAACCGTCTAGATTCTGTATAGCTGTAGACGGAATTTAGACGTTGCACTTTAACCCGATATTCGATAAGTATTTATTTCAAAAAGCAACTGTGAGTTGCATGATTGATCTCCAAGTACTAAACCAAAATGATTATGATAGCCGTTGAGCAATATACTGTTAGACCTCTGTTAGCTGGCTAGTCTAAACTCGGTCTAAATTTAGACATCTGAAAACTTTAATTTTTAGACCTGTGGTAGCCTGATTTTAGACCAGTTGTCTAGACTACATTAAGACGTCTATTAGACCAAGTTTAGACCAAAAAATGCTCAGTGGGTGGCTAGATGTTGCACAACCATGTGGTAAAAATGACCTGTGAATGTAGCTGGTTGGCTGTTTTTTTTCCAATGTATGATGTGTATTGCTTCAGTTTTTGTAAAATATTTGCTGAAGATGTTTGTGCGGTAATAAGTGGTAATTGTCATAGACTGTATATAGAATGAATGCCGTCTGCCTCCTTGCTGGGTGAAGCCACTCCGAGAACAGCACCCTCTGGTGACGGGCTGCAGTATAGGTCATAGGGGCTAAGGGTTATGCAGCTGTTTGGGTGATCAGCTGGTAGAATGACAACAATTTTTATAAAATAGCATTATGTAACTCTTGTTACCTCACTCCAATTAACCCAAACTATTACATTACACTGACTGATGGTTGAACTTCCAGAGAATTCCATGTGATAAAACAGTGGAAAAACCTGTTGTGTAAACTTCAACACGCCCCCAGCTGTAAATATGCAGCGCCATTTCTGGGGAAAAGCAGTTTCCCGTTACAGGTCTAGACAAAACCTGTTTACGCACACTGTTGGTGTCTCTCTTCCTCCTTTTTTGTTGTTATTTCCATCTCTTCATCTTTTCTCTGTCCTTGACATTTACATATTTTTGACCAATCATGCAGACTCATACACACACAACCATAGACGAGTGTATACGTGAGATACACACATTCACACAAGTGATAAGTGTACAGTCAACCCCTGGACCGACTAGACAGGAAGTAGGTCAGCTGGCTCGGGCAGGGTGGAGGGGGGTGAGATTATAACACTGACCCGAGTGGTGGTGGTGATGGTGGTGATGGGGGATTGTGTTATTGTGTCTTTGTGTGGAAGTGTGTGTGCGTACGGGAGGAGGAGGTCAGGGGGCAGAGCTTCCTCTTGCACTGGGGTTCTCTTAAGCACACTGACCCTTAGATACACAAAAATACACACAAAGAAGAGACAGACAGAAAAAGAGACTAGGAAGTGGAGACGGGAGGAGAGAAGTGGCTTTTCATGTCTGCCGTCTCTGAACTTTCTTCTTTCTCTTCTTTTGCTAATGCCTCCACGTTCGCTGTTGTCGCAAGTCGACCCCCGGCAGCACCTGTTTGGGTGCTGTGTGTTTCACAGAGCGGGAGTCACGGCGGTGTCACTGCTTGTTGCCAGACTTTGTTCTGACTAACAGATACCAAAAGAACAAAAGAGGTTGAGACAGACGTTGTGGTTTTTAAACAGACAGTGGTTTTTATTTATATCGAGTGAAACACACACACACATGCGGGTCAGAGGCGTCAGAAGCACGAGTTCATCCAGTCAGCTGAGGAGAGCAACAGATGGGAAACCAGCAGGAAGTGCAGCCCCGGCACACATGAACATACACACACATACACACACAGAAAAAACACACTCTGCCAATGAGAAATGTGCTGTGCAGAGACTCAGGTGTGAGATCTGTGATGAAAGAGAGAGCAGGTGAGGATGGAGAGGTAGCGAAAGAGAGAAAAAGAGGGTGAAGCAGATGGAGTGATGGATTCTGAAAGACGACAAAGAAGAAGAAAGGGACACGGAGGCTGAGAGGGTGAGATGTGACCAGTGACTAAAGTAGTCCAAAGCAAAGATCCCACTCCAGACCCCCCCTACATCCATCCCTGTTGCCCAGTAAGGCTGCATTCCTCGGCCCCTCACCACAGACGCCATAGTAACGGGGCCACAGCAGTGCCCAAGGCTTACACAGAGCTTATTCATGAATAGTCTATATACTGTATGGCAGTCTGTCGCTGAGAAATGCCCCTCTCCCTCCCACCCTCCTTTCCACCCCGCCTGCCTGCTTCTAGTTGACCTATTTTCTCCCCCCCAAGTCACTGATTGAGCTGCACCGAGTCTTTAATTCTCTCTTACACTTGTACGGGCTCTTAGTTCTTGAAGTTGGCTCTGATTGCATGTGAACAGGAGGTTCTTACTTATTTGAATCAGCAAGAACCTTCATCAGCTGATTTCAGGAAAAAAAAAAGCTGAATTCCACTTCGGTTCCACTTTTTTTGTGCCAACACTTCAGTTCTGGGGCTCCCTGTGTTGCATTTACATGAATTTCACAGTATTTGCTGAATACATTTTCTTAGAGAGAGCCTGCCTCTCCAAGTCTATTGTCACAGTGAAGAGGATGCGCCCCTGAGAATTTAACATATCGGCTAAATTTAGGAAACTTTTGTCGTCATTCCTACACAGGATTGCATTTTATTTTGAAAAGCTATAGCAAGATAAGATATAATACAGTGGGATACATTTGTTAGGCTTTTATAGCATCACTATGCAGGACAGTATATATGATAAAATGCGATACAAAAAAAACGTATGTTACTGTATTTTTGAATACACTACAGCAGCATATGGTGCAATAAGATGTGATATGATGCATTTAGGCATGTGCCGATATGAAAAATTTGATATCACGATATTTGTGGCCCAAAATATCACGATTCACAATATTATCACCATATTTGCGCATTGCTTTTAACCTTATTAAAAGTGGCAAAAAACTGCGAAGCAAGAGGCAGCTAACGTGACGTTGGGAGCTTTAGCTATTTGGAGCTAAAGTTAACAGAAACGTCACTAACGTTGTCAATAATAAGCAGTAGAGAAGACCAAACTTGTTGCGGTCATGTTGTTTTTATCTTGATTTGGGCGAACGATGCTGGATGGTGTTCACAGAGGTGGGCACGTAGGTTTGAAGTGTTAGACAACGGCGCTGCAACTTCCTGCTCCGTCTGTTATGTGAAGCCGTAAAACGTCCATACTGCCGACAAAACCTTTTTAATAGGAGGATACAGCCAAGGCGTTTGGTTGGAAGTTGGAACGTGTGCGTCAACTTTTTTTTTCTTCTTAAAACTGTTTCCGGTTCACAGAGTGGACACGCTCCAATAGTTCTTTGGGTGACCGCAATGCATTGTGGGTGGCCACGCATTTTGTTGTAAAATTTCTTCATTTTCTCTTTTAATGTTCCTGTTTTTGTTAGGCTGGCATTAATGTACTTAAGTCAAGAGTTTGTTTTGGATTTGTGACTACTTTTGTGGTGTTTTGTTTGTACATTGTGCTACCGAGGCTTTGACACCATGGGTAAGACTACAAGTGGGTTAGGTTGGTAAGTACTCGGCTTTGCCACTCATCTTCAAATTATAATTGTGGAACAATTATTACAGTACCCTACGATTTCATCATTGTGGCCGTTTAATATCACATATCGCGATTAAATCGTATATCGGCACATCCCTAGATGCAATACAATATAAACAATACTTTACAGATGAGTAACATTAAGCTGATACACCATGTAATGGTATATGTTTTAGCATGATAAGAGTTTTGATACATGATGCAAAGATACAGTATGATGACTGATGCGTAGTATAATTCTGAGGAAAGCAGTCTGTTCAACATCATCACCAGAGTTGTAGTCTGCAAGAGCGCAGTTTGTGGGTGAGCACTGAGCAGAAGGAGGAAATGAACTATATGCAAAAAGACATCAGTGTCTTTGATTTGTAAACGATTTCTTTGAAGCGTTCAGAGTGTAAACAGCATGTAAATTAGGGGAGATGAAGCTGCAGCAGAAGAAATAAACACAAGCAGTGATCTTCTTGGATAAGCTTAATTCATAATGCTCTTTTTTACAGCATGCTTTGAAGACTTAATGGTTAAGTTTGAGCATAGACGAGACAGTCGTTTTTAACTCTTGCCGTTTCACACACACTTACACACACACACTTGATCTGAAGCGCTCGAAGGAATCATGTACAAGTAAACAAGTCCATAGTAGGAGCTGAATCTGTCCGTTGTGTCTGATCACATGGTGCAGGGCAGGAGAGAGGCAGGGAAGATGGATTGAGATGACAGAGGCGGGGAGAAATTGAGAAGAAAAGATGAATGATGAGGGGGACAGAGGGATGGACGGAGAGATGACAGGGAAAGATGCGAGATGACGGAGTTGGCAGAGATAGATGGGACGGCCAAGGAGGCGAGGAGGGGATGGGCTCATTAGTATCGCAGGACAAACTCTGCGGCGTGTATCATCTTTGGCGGGCTGTAAATCTGTGATTAAGAGTTGACTCCTGTTAATGCACCGAACATGTCTGGGTGAGACGTACTGGGAATTAGGCTACCACAGCACCTCCTTGTAAAGCAAGCAGTGGTGAGCCCTGTTGTTAAGTGTAAGTGGTTTTATAAGAGGCAGACCTGGCCCCAGCATGGCTCCCATCATCCTCTTAGGGTCTTTAATTCAATCCACCCCACTCCTCTGTAATTCACTTTCTTAAGACACTAACTGCACTCACCTGGCTGCTCTCTAGTGCATAGAAACATGTACTTTAGACACACATTAAACCAAGAGCAGGCTCATTTAACCGCACAAAAAAAACAACTCATGCGGTGTTTAGCCACCGTCACTCTCGCTAAAATATGCAGAATCAACACTTCATAGATTTTTGTGGCTACCTCGGGGCCTCAGGACAAGCTTAAAAGTTGCCCATTAACATACCCAGTAGACAGAGCCGCATTAGTATTCATTTGTAGTCCTGTTTTTAACCACCTGAGGAATGCAAGGCCAATATTTATTCACTCACCCTTCAGCTCTGTTTGGTTGCCCTCTAACTGGATCCATATTTTCACTAGCTAGCTACTAAGATTTGTGGTTTAAGAATAACCATCCACAATGCTAGGTTAACAAAAGCACAGTGACGATGAAAGTAAAGTTGTGAACTTTTACAACCAAAACACTGAGCCGACAGGTGCTAAAATAGAGCCACAAAAGCTGCGCTTACAGTGTTCAAGACAACACGATTTCCAGCTCTTTAAGCTTTAATTTATCCTTCATTTCAGCTGCTGCCTTATTTATTCTTCTTTATTTTAAGTGGTAGTAAATTAGGCAGAGGTTTGGGTTAGTTATGCCCTTGCAGGAAAAAGTCTGAGGCTAGCTGTTTGAGCCCACTTAGCTCACAGTTTAGCCAGGTTAGCACACATTAGCTACAGTAACATTTACTTAAAATGTTAAAATTTGACTTACACCTTGATGTTCTGGGCCTTACTTCAGGGGGATGCAAATCCAGCTCTCATTGGCCTTTGTTTACAAAAGAGTCAGTGAACTGAAGAGTTGTAAAAAAACAAGTTGTTGTCTGCAAAACACAAAAAATGTTGTCATTGGGAAAAGAAAATAGCTGTGATTTTTTTTTCTCACAACTAAAAGAAACACTTATAAGCAACATTATTTAACATATTTGATTGACAAAGTGCAGCCTGACATCAGGTTGTTGCCATATCTTGTAATGAGTCAATGCAAAATCGTTTCTTACCACAAATTGCCTCTCGGGGACAATAAAGATTTCTTGACTTGACTTGACTCTACAACTGACAAAGTACTTTGATTCTCCTTCAGCAGTAAGAGCAATTTATTTTAAAAATCCAGATTTGATTTTGTTCCTTTATGTAAAAACAACCCTGTAGACTAGTTCCCCATTCACCTGCTGCACGATTGGCTTTTCTATCAGTGAAATATGTTTTACAAAAACACATTTACTGTCCTTGTCATATTTCATGTCCTCCTGATCCACATGTCAACTGACTGTGTTTGATATGACAGTCTCAAACGGATGACAGGAACAATAGATGATGGATATCTTATGCCCAGGCTTCAGCTGCAAATACATTTCCATTTCCTTTTGATAAAACCTCTTCATCTGCAGGTTTCAGTCCCTTAAGACAAGTACCCTGAGGTTTTATTTTTACATCAGGACATGTTTGGATTGTTCCCATAATCACACTCAACCTCGAAATACCTCTATACAGCTGACATGCTTGTTGATTCATATCTGTCGAGCTTTTTTCTTCCAATACCAATATTGTGCAGGTAAAATACACACCCCAATGAGTCTTTTAGACCCAGATCTGATGTAATATATAAAAGTTAAAGGTGAGATAAAAGAGAAAATTTCACTCTTTGGTCAGCTTTGACTCAACCCTTCCGCTGAAGCCCTTAAATTTGGATGCCTACCTGGAAAAAATGAGGCACGTGCAACAACACACACATCTAAACATACAGACTGAAACTCCTGAATTGATGAGAAAGTTTAAGACACTTTTAGAAGGATTGTTTGTGCATTAGGACTTGGAGTTTCAAAGTGTTCATGAGTTTTTGTCTGAAAAAGTGTTAAATTGAAGTACAAATAGGTCACAATGACCCCGACACAACAGCAGGATTATTCAAAGTGCTTTTTGCTGACAAGCATTAAAGCTTTTGTTGTTAATCATGAGATGAGTCACACTTCAAATTACATCTGCTGTCTGAAAAATGTTCATTGTGTAGACTCTTATGGAAATGTTGACCTGAAAAGCATCAGCGTGTATTGTGGTCACTGGTGTCCCTCCTGAGTCATTTGTTTTGATTTCATGGCTAAGGTAAAAACTAAGCTCGTGGTTAGGTAAGAGTTAAGGTCAGGAATGCAGTGAAGAGGATTAAGGTTAGCTTGAGGAATGAAAGAATGAATGCAGGCAGTAAAAGTCCTCACACATGTTGTGAAGTGGCTTTCACAAGGGCTGAAGCTCGGCACTCTAAAAGCCATTATTTCTAATGGCATGTGCTGCCCATGGACCAACATCCCCCTGTTCAAAGAAAAGAGTGGATTCATCTCAGTGGCCCTGCGCCCAGAGTTAATCCTACTTCATTTTCCTTTCACACAAAAACACTCCACATCAAGGAGAAATGTTCAGGGGAAAAAACAAACCAGAGGCAAAAAGATTAAGACCAAAAACAGAAGTTTTATCTTTGGACGCACAAGGATGTCTGAAGACAAGCTCGCTTCTTCTAGTGTTCTTTTTGAATGTCATGCTGTCGGTGTTGCGCTGAACGCTAGCAAGATAACATTGACGCTGTCCTCCTGCAGTGTAGATAAGTGTTGAGTGAGGTGAGGGAAGCTGTGTCCTATCTAACAGACACTTATGATAAACCTATCACCGTTTATGTTGTGTGAAAGACTGGCATGTCAGGTCAGACTTTTGACTTGTCTTTGACTGTGGTTCACAGGAAGTGAAGGACATCTTTGTGGGAATAATTGTTGAAAAACTGAGACGCTCTGTCTTAAATTGTTAGATTTAAGATCATGAGGTTAGTATTTTAATAAATAGTTAGAGGAAGCTAGCTAAAAATGAGTAAGGAGTGAGTGTGTAAGGGCTCAGGGCATCACAGTCATCTATAACTTTTTTAAACACCCCGTCTTCCTCTCTTGGTTGACTATCTTGGTAGCTGTGACTCGTGGAAAGTTGGTACTGAGTCATAAAGTCGTGTTCAGCAGGTACATTGATACACAAGCATGTGAGTCATTGATTCTTTTGATTAGGTCCAGTTGATGTTGTTGGAAAACCTTTTTCCAGGTCTATGATGATTAATTTTGGGGCTTTCAGTCAAAAAACAGGACAGCTATTCCAAGGCAACATGATGGAAAGAGTGGGAAATCACATGTGGCAAAGGGTCACAGGCTGGAACTGAACCTGGGCTGCTTTGAGGACTTTGGCGTGGACTGCATGGTTTAACCACAGAGCTAAGTTAGTACCCTAAAAACCACAAAAAAAACAAAAAAAAACAGAGCTATTGTTTTCATTATTCACATGCAGTAGATCCAGTCACTCCAGATGACTGTTGATCTCCCAGTACGATCTTGAAGATGGGAAGGTAATGTACAAGTATGGAGTAAAATGCAGAATCCATGAAGGTACTTATTTAGCTCCTTGGTTAAGGTATGCACCCCACATAAGAGGCTATAGTCCTTGACTCCCTTCCCTAGTCCATTTATGCATATCATTCCAAAGCAGCGTCATCAGGTTTTGAAAGCCATCGTTAAAGTGAGCTAGCTTACAGACGGGCAGGTTGAAGTGGTTTGCCAGGAGGCCATCACAACTCCAGCTCTTTGCCTATTTTAAAGTTTCATTTTGGCATTTTTGCCTTTACAAGGAGTCAAACCAGCGACCACTGTTAAAGGGACTATAGTCTCTGTATATGAGGGTGCTTCAACTGCCAGCCCATTGGTACCCTAAGTCCTCCAATTTGATATGGCAACTGCTCGATTTGGCTTTGTAATGCCTCTGCAGAAACCAACTGGTGACGTCCACATAATGAAAGTCAACCACATGTATATTTTACACAGTCAATGTCTACACCCCTGTCTGTTCTATCAAATAAAGGCAAAGTGGCTCAAAAAAAGTCTAAAAAATGGGGCGCCACTTCGGTTAAGCAGGCACCCAAAGTGGAAGGGTTGTGGTCCTCTTGACATCGATTCCTGCTCCAGGCAGAATTTGGTAAATCACATCCTGCTCCCTCCCAATACAGTACTTTTGATCTGCCTTTAAGACTGATGTTTTGTTTTGTGATTGCTTCTAAGACTGCAAATGAAAACCACAACTTGCCTCTTACCTTTACATTAAACATAGTCCATAAGTCAAAATAGTCCTTGTAAGGTAACCTGCTGAAAAACTGCACAGTCATCATCAGGGTTGACCAAAACTTTGTTTGTTTTTGAGTTCTATTTTTTGCTGTAATTTCAGCAGCCTCATGGAGACATCCACTCAGACTCACCGTGATTCATCCGCCACCAGTGAGGTCATGTGGCAGTCATGTGACGCTCAGAAGAAACACAAAATAAGGAGAAAAAAAAAGAGGAAGGGGGGCAAAATTGCTCTAGTCATTGGGAACTACAACCTGCACACACACACACACACACACACACACACACACACTCAGATGCACTGACAAAGCCTGGTACACGCTGAGAGCTCATTCTGCAAGTGGCCTATAAAATATGAATGATATCGTGCTATATTTTTATCAGCCAGCCGGAGGACATGTATGAACTGGAGCAGCAAAAACGCTCAGTTTCCCCAGCCACAGCGCTCGTTCTGTATGTTACGCATGGAGAAGACTCTTCTCCACATGCATGCATGCAAACATCATGTATCTTCCAGATATTTGGGTTCCTTTGCACATTCGCATGAACATCACGCGCCCCTGCGTGCATGTGCGTTGATTTAATATCATCTGGATGTTTTCACCGTGTAATAAACAGCAAGGGAAAGAAAGTGTATCGTGAGACTCGTCTAGGGAGCTGCTGTCAGAACTTTGTATGCAGCTCGGAGAGTTAATTCACACAGCTGCCAAACACAAACACGCAGTTGGAGAGCGAAAAAGAAAGTGAGGGAGGAAAAATCTACCTGCATAGGCCTGATAGGGAAGCGAGCAGACGCACTGACTGCAGAAGGTTGCTGTCTGCTCTGCTAAAAAAGCCTTGCAGCCTCTTTTCTGACTATCTGTTTTTGCACATGGGTTTAGTTGGACACACACTCTTCATTTTGAGCCCACTCAAACTGGTTAGAACATTTGAACAGTAGCCTTTGTGTAGGAGTGCGCTTTTGGCACAGTGTGCGAGTGTGTGTGTGTGTGTGTGTGTTTGTGTGTGTGTGGTTGATTATGAGAGTGCGAGAGAGCGAGACAGCGGGAGGATGTACTTGAGACAGAGTGTGAGAGAATGAGTTTGTCCGTTTTTGCTCGTGTATGTGCAAAGTGAATGTGTGCAGGGGACGCACACACACACACATGCACGCACATACACACACACATGCACGCACATACAGCAGAGAAAAAGGGGTGAAAAACGACAGGAAAAAGGAAGGAGAGCAAGAAAAGCACAAGGGCCCGTCTTCAGAAAGCGCTGACAGGTTGACAGGTCTGCTGAGACGCGCAGAAACAAACATATAGAGACAGCAAGGGAGAGAAGGAGAGAGAGAAGAAGAGAGAGAAAGACACCAGGGAGAGAGAAAAATGAAAAACATACCGATGAGAAGAGAAAGTTCGCTTTTATGAAGACAAACGATCAAACTTTGGGCATGCAGATGACGCATTTACTCTACAAACTTTAGCTCTACTCAGTTGTCTTCTCTAATTTGACTGTCATCCTGAGTTTTTTTTTTTCAGATCTGCTTTTATGCAAAAAAAAAACACAGAAGTGGTGTTAAAATGACTAAGAGAAAGGAGAGAAAGGTGTCAAAATGAAAGACCCCAAGAGAGAAGTGATGGGAGGTTAGAAAAGACAGAAAAAAAGACGTGAAGACTTGTCTGCGGACAGTGATTTTCTTCTTATATCATCTGGACCTTAGTTTTGTCCCAAGTTAACCCTCTTCGGCTTGTCCAAATGAGCCAAAAAGAGGCCAAAGAAAGACCAAGAAATCCGAAATAATGTTTTGAAGTCACCTAGACAAAGCCCAAAACAATACCCTGCAAAATGTCACCCTTGTGTTAGTAGGTCACATACAGCGCAGGATGTGTTTATGAGAACAGGCACTGTAAGTTTGGAGTCCTTGTTTAAGTAAGACGCTTATTGCAGCTCAGACATGTCCAAAAGTCAAGTTCAGAAAGGCAGAAAGTAAAGCGGTAACCTCTGATGTCGAAAAGTGAAGCTGTTTGGAAGTGTAAAAGTCTTCAGTTCCCATTAGTGGACACTGGACACTGGATTTAAAAGCCAGGGGGACCCATTAGAGCCCTGAATAAAGTACCCCTGTTTGCAGCCTGAGACACAAAATAGCTTTAAATCACAGACTGTGTAATAACTGGATGTAGCATCACTGACGTCACTTATTTGTTTAGTTATGAAGCCTGTCGTCTGCGGTTACCAGTGGATCCAAAATACCAAACTTTTCAACCAATTAGCCAAATATTAACCCCAGTTGAATTTACCTCATTTATTGATTCAAAGTGCATTGCAGCGCAGTGTACATTTAAGAGTTCCTTTTTAAACAAGAAGTCAACAGTATCTTCTCCAGTAAGGTACAAACAAAGCTGCAGAAAGTTTCAACTGTCATAATGAAAAATGGCTCGTAGCTTTTTACTAAACTTTTAAATGTCAGAAGGGAAACACGGGGAGAGAAAAGAGACATCGCCAAAGCTGGTAAAGAGTGTGAGTGTTTGTGGGACTCTGCTGGAATGAGAAGAGCTTGGAAAGAAAGACTTGTCCTGGACTGTGTCAGCAGTGAAGGAGAGAAAGAGAGAACGAGCAGATAAAAGGGCGAGAGAGAGAGACATAGATGGACTTCGGATGGTTGGAGAACAGAAGCAGAGAGTGTGAAAGAGAGAGAGAGAGAGAGGAGGAAAGAGTGGGTGAATACCAGCTATTGTTGGAATGCCGTAGCAACGCGCAGTGCAGATGAAGGGGGAGGTGTGTGTGTGAGTGTGTGTGTGCGTTCAGGGGTCAGTGGGTTTTATGCTGTGTTCAAGTTGTTCAAAGCTAGAGATGTGTCGACTTCTCTGTTGGCAACCTAAAGCAACTCTAGGCTTAAATCATTAGCTAGTCCGGATCCAAGCTTTAACAGAGTCCAGTCCTGTATTTCAGACTCATGTCTCAACACCTGAGGAGCTTAATTAGTCCAACAAAACATGCACATGGGATAACACACAACCCACTGTTCAGATCAAGGTATTCACTGTTGTGATAAGGCATGAAGACATGTCTGAGCGTATCGGCTAAAACTCACACATCAGCCCTTATCTCTTCAATAATCCTGCTCTGTTTCTTTTTGTCTCTCCAGGATCCCGCCGGCATCTTTGAGCTGGTTGAGCTGGTGGGAAACGGCACCTATGGCCAAGTGTACAAGGTGAGACACACACAAACAGACTTTGATACACAGTAGTCCTGACTCTGATGGTTTACTCTGCTATATTATCATTAGCATGTATGAAGTAAAGACAAGAAATGTGCACTATGACTGAAGGAAACTGAAGCTTCAGAGAAATGGAGCAGGTAAAGGTCCTTACACACCGAGGCTGACACGAATATAGAATATGGTATGTCATATGGTATGTTGTATCTGAACAGGTTAGCTAACGAGCTAAAGTTACTTAGCACAGATGAAAGTTAAAACAAAGATGTTTCGCAAACTGTCAAAGCACACAAACCATCGTCATATGAGAAATCCAATGCTATGACTCTCCACAAGTTATCCTTCAGGTCGTTATCTTAGTAATGTTTGTGTCTTTTATCAAAATGCACTGTGTTCTCCGACATGTAAACAATCAACCAGTCGGCCATGTTGGATATCATTATACGCAATCTGATCGGTCAGAAGTGGACACACAGTCTGCAAAACTTGTATTGACAGGATACGGGTTAGAAAAAAAATATATATTGACGTTCAAAATAAAAGCACGACAAAAAAGGTCCCAATGTGAAAGGATTTTAAGACTGTGGCGATGCAGAAACTGGGATATGTCTGAGTGTTTTTTGAGAATATTTCCCACACACCTTGTTTCTCCTCTCTATCCTCCTGCTGTACTGTACTTTACTGCGTGTTTTTCTGCACTCTTCTTTTCTAACTGAGGTATTTCAGGAGGAAGTGTCTCTAAGAGACACAGGAAATGTTGCGCTCAGCGTCTGATGTTGTGACATCACTGTGGTTTGTGTTTTTGGCTGTCAGCTGTGTACCCCTGTCATTTAAACCCTATCTCATGGCCCATGTCACAGCCTGGACTTCCTCTTCTCGGGATGATGGCTCTCTGCTCTCTGGTCCTCAATTCCTGTTTCCTGACTCTGCTGCCTCATCCTGTCACTCTGCAGGATGTGGCAGCGGGCTGTGACACTGTTTTATCGCCTGCAGCAGCTGTAAACATGTGTTTGTTAAATGTGTATGGATGGTTTGAGTATGCGAAAACCCCTTGAGTGCATATTCTGTGTGTGCACGAGTGTGTGCATGAGAGAGCGTGTCTAATGGAGCAGGAAGTCAAGGTCAGGTGGTGATGGAGAGGGGCTGTTCTCACACCTGATTGGACAGGACAAAGAGGTCAGGTAGAGGTTAGATGTTTCTTGAAATAGTCAGACATCCTCAAATGTGTGATTGTATGTGTGTGTGTGTGTGTGTGTGTGTGTGTGTGTGTGTGTTTGTGTGTGTGTGTGTGTGTGTGTGTAAGGTAAACAATAGAAGAAAACTTAGAAAAAACACAAAAGAAGCAGAGAATAGGAGAGTTATGTGGATCCTTGTATTGCTGACTCTGCTGTCTTGGTGAAAGTCACGGCTCATTTACTGGCTGACATTCAGCCGGCTTGTTCCTATACATTACCGGGGTGCGGATCGCCCATGGCAACAGCACCGGCCTGTTGGGTCAGTTTCACATGCAGCTGATCTACTCTGGTTTAAGTGCAGATTAGTATGATGCTCAATGGAGACGATAGTAATGTTGGTTTAACCCTCCTCCTGTGTTAGGGTCTGCACTGACCCGTATTTGTTTTTTAAACGCTTAAAAGAACCACTTAAATGACCTTTTTTGCATCAAGATTTTTGACTTTGTCAGGAAACTCTGTATCAACAAAATAAAAATGAAAAATTGAAATTGAAAATTATGGCATTTTTCTTGTTAGGTTTGACCCGGTTAGATTAATATCTTATAATTAGAGCAAAAACTGAAATCATAAGTGCACTGACAGGCACCGCACTGCACAAAAAACAACATCGGGCATGTCCAGACATGTGAGATCAATTCAGTATAGATGTCTGTATGAGGGGTATACTGACAAAGAAAGTCCCCAGAGGACCACAACAAAAACTATTATCAATAATACTTTCATGGATAATGAAGCCTAACAAGGTAACCTAGAGATGAGAACCAAATTGGATGATAGAGAATTGTTTTTAGTGTAATTTACAGCTGATTTAAGACACAGGTCAAAACCGACCCTTAACATGGTGGGTGTGTGGTAAAAGCTAACACAGGAGGACGGTTGATCTGCTAAATCAAAACAATAATATCTGTAACATCTAACAATAACATTGAACACACTTGCGTGCAGTTACATTGAGTATAAAATCACCTTTATTTACACAGGCTTGGTCTTCTGAGTTCACAGGTCTCTTTAACAGATGAGCCCTGGCCAAGAATAACAACATCAGAGTCAGAGGGTTTCTAAAAAAACAAACCACATACCACATTCAGAGCGTTAAGACAACAGCTGATTAAAAAAAAAAAGTCCAGGGTGACTTAAGTTCAAAGTTTAAGAACAGTTTGTGGTTGTTTCATGCAGCAGGTGTGTAAAACAGCTTTCTTTCTTTCTTTCTTTCTTTCTTTCTTTCTTTCTTTCTTAAGATTAGAGTCAGGGAACAATGAATTACTCAACGCAAAACGAGCAAAGGTTGTTATTTCTATCCTTCAAGATTGAGAAAGAGGATTTGCAGGTGGTTATTTGGCACAGAATGTTGTTTATGATTGACCACTTACTCGCAAATATGACCTTTTTTATGCACACTTCATGCTATATTTGTTGGTCAGCATTTTAATTAAGGAATGATTCAATTAAGATGTCTTCAGGTAAGATCTAATAGAAGAAATAATATCAGTTCAAACCTGCTGCACTCTCAAAGCTCTTTCTTCGGTTCTGTAAAACCAGAAGAGATTGGATTCATACTCACAGATAAGCGGCGGAGTCACTTGAGCAAAAACACTGTCTATTTTAAATTCCTCATGCGGTTGAGGTCCCTCGTCTCTGCCTGCAGAGGATCAGCTCCTTGTGAGCAGGTGAATCTGTGACTCACTCAGATGATAAATTGACCTTCAGCTTGCTGGGTATTAGTGAACTGGAATTGCTCAGGCTCCCTCTGAAACCATTTTTAGACACCTGTTATATCATAAAAAAAAAAAGCGCATAAGGATGTATAGCTTTGCCCTGTAGTGTCCTCGCTCTGGATCAAAAAATACATGTGAGGAAACACAGGAGGAATTTTGGCTCTCGATCAGAGACACGAGCCAGGCCGGCTGTAAACAGGAGTTTACTCCTCGTTTTGATTCCAAAAATAAATTTAATTTGCTGAATGGCAAGGGGCCAGTTTGACTTTGATGTGCCTGTGTGAACATACTCCGCAAGTTTACAAGTGATGCTTTGATTTTCTTCTATTTAATCATCAGAGAATTCCTCCATCCAAATTATGGTTTATTTATTCCTGGTGGAGTTTTATTGTAGAAGTTATGCAGAAAATATGGAACATAAAAGTGTTATTTGATCTAATCATCTCTGCTTGAAAGTGGCTCAAAACCTGAATTATTCATGTCTGCAGAAAACTCAGATGGAGTCTATCTTATTGGATCATTAAAACCTGATGGCGTGAAAAATACAGCAGGTTTAAGTTGATACCTGCTTCATTCCCTGAGCAGGTAATGTTTTTTTGACATTTTAAGATCCATGCAGGATAAAGTATGTGTGACTTTTGTGATATTTTCTCATAGGGCTGGGCGATATGGCCTCAAATCAAGATCACGGTATATTGAGCAGTTCACCTCAATGTAACGATAAATGGACGATAACTACTCTACAAGCTGCTCACCCCCTCACACATTAACTTTGTCTACTTCAACCGTCCTCCATCTCCTCACCTGTCTTTCCCTCTTTGTTATGGACTGGATGGTGTGGAGCTTGGGCGAAAATTTGATTTCAAAGGTGGAGGGGACACATGTGGCTTGAGTCCTGTTGCGTACTGTTGAGACGTATAGCCTAGCAAACAGCACATCTCACACACACTGTGACAGAGGAGGCAATGCGGCCAGCGGGTGGATGAAACCTCCGATGAATGTGACGTTACAGAGGTAAAATGAACGCCACCCCACTGTAAACTTACATCGGCGAATAGCGATGTCCACGGACTGACTCTTACAAGCAACTTGCAAAACACTAGTCCAGCGGGCATGGAATGACTGACAGCAGGGATAACCAATCCCACACAAAAAGCGGCCTTGTGGGCGGTCCAAACCAAGGGGAACTAGTTTTCAGCTTGAGGGGCCATTTGGTCCTAGTTCCTGACGTGTATCGGTTTGCTGTAGAGTAAAGGAAAATAGCTTTCAGACAGTTAAAACTGCAGGGGACACAGGGATATGGGGGACTTAAAGGGACAGTGTCTTAAAGGGACATGGGACCATAGCCTACCTACACACATCCAAAACCAACTTTTATGTATCTATTTATTTTAAATTTTTTCTACACCAAATATATTGACACGGGCATAATGACGTTGGTTATTCTTGTAAATTTCGGTATCTGTAAATTTTTGGTTTACCGTCCAGCCCTATTTTCTTAGTTCAGATGCTGTTGTTTTTTTTTGCAGCAGTCTGCTTTGTACACAATGTGCCGGAAAGCCAGAGATATAGCTCTCAGTATACTCATGCATGCATCCTATTGTCTGTGCACATGCAAAAGTATCGGGCAGCAGCACAGTGTTTTATGTTATAGGTGACCAGTAAAACGCCACATCGCTGCACTTCAGTATGTCTGCGAGTGAGAGATAACAGGTTTATCAACAATTCCATTACCCTGTCTAGTTAAATGATACAGATCTGCTCCACATTGCTCTTTTCCTCCCTCTCCTCCTGCTCCCTCCCTTTTTTCTCGCTCTCTCTCCCTCTCAAAGTCTCATCTCAATTTAAAAAATGTGATGAAAAGTTGATCCAGGTTGTTGTTTTTCCTCGCAGCGTCCCTGTCAGCAAAAATAGTTCGGACGAGAACAGTGATAGACGAGTAGCCGCGGCGCAAAAGATAATTTTAGCTCTGCTTCTCCCCTCCGTCTCCCTTTCTCATCTTACATCTCCTTGGCAGTTCTGTTTCCTTGTTTTCCTTTTCTTCCTCTGTCTTGTCATCCCCTCCCTCGTTTTCTTCAACGCTCACATCTGCACATTTCTTATCAATATATAATCAGGTTTTTCTTCTCGTTTCCTGTGTTTTTTGGCCTGAATCTTCCCTGGTGAGGTGTACTTAAGGGAGCAGCCTGTGCCTACAGTTTGTGTATATATAGCTGCTACTGGCTGCTCTAAAAGGGCCATAAATAGAGAACACGGGTAATGCTGAATAATTAAACACATTCTCCTTCCTCTCTTCTCCTCTCTCCGTCCTCCTCTTTTACTATTTCCTCCTTTAAGCTGTTGTAACTCTCTTCTCATCTCCTTCATCAGTGTTTCCTTCCTTTTTTGCCGTCTCTCCTCCTCCCTCACCCTTCTCTTAGATCTCGAATCTTTCTGCCCTGTCTCCTCCTTCTCTCCTTCTTTCTGATGCCTGTGAATATTTGATAGGGATGATGGGAACTCTGGATTTACACCGGTTGGAAAAGGGACCACCCCCTTGTCAGCGATTGGACAAAACTCGCCCTGACTAACCGACTGACTGGACGACTTATTGACTGACAGACTTATCGATCGGCTAATTGATTAATCGCAAACACCCCCTGTCAGTCCCGCGGGAGAAGTCATTTTTCTCCCTGATGCATTCAAGGACGATTTGAAAGGGCGACAAATCATATTTTCGGACACAAGAGCGCAAGTACACACAAGCATGTGAGGGATGACACACGCAGACCATTGTCTTCTTAACCGTCTCCTCGCAGTAACAGATTTCCTGCGCTTGTGTGCGGCGTTGTGTACGTTTCCTTTTTGTTTTTTTCTTTCACCCTGACTCTGCTGTCGCCATGCAGAAGAGGAGAAAGAAAGGAAGAAGAAGAAGAGGAAAAAAAAAAGGGGCAGACCAATCTTTTTCTCCCCGATGACAGAACACATCCACTCTGCTCCTCCTCAGGCAAAGTGCTCCACACACTCTTTAAATATTCACCAGCCTCCCTCTCTCTCTCTCTCTCTCTCTCTCTTCCCCTCTCTCTCTTTCTCACACACACACACACACACACAGGGACGTTTGGGACTTGGCCGTATGGGCTTTTATATGCTCACCCACTGTGACAGCAAGTCTCTATAAAGAGCAGCTGTGTGGTTTCCATTTACTGCAGCAGAGAGTGTGCATAAACCAATATATGTGTGTGAACAAGGGGTCTGAAGACGCGTGTATGTAGTGACACGGCCTCCGATTGATGTGTGTGTCTGTTTGTTTGTTTTTGTGCGGACGGGACTCAGTAGTGTGTGTGTGTGTTTGTGTGTGTTATGTTGAAGAAGCTTCCTCTTGTCATGGCGCTCTGAAAAGTTAATGAGCCGATGAGATCACACAAAGCAGAAGAAAGGGCCTCGCAGTTTAAGAAGGAAGCACGCTCTCCGTGATGTCAAAATTACCTTGTTGCCATGGTGACACAGGTTCCCAGGAAGTAAACAAACGAATGGGGTGTAGTTTGGGGTTTAAGGTTAGCTTTATCCCATTATCCAGTCATATCTCTCTCCTTTCTTCTCACCCTCTGAACCCCTTCACTATGTTTCTTCCCTTGCTCCCAATTTTTGTCTTTCTTACATCTCTCTTTCCTTTTGTCTTTCCTTTTGTCTTTCTTCTTGCGTTTCCCCCTTTTTTCTCCTGCCCCATTTCTACTTCTTTTTTTGCCTTCTCTCTCCCTTTCCTCTTCTCAACTCTGTCCTCCATTTTCTCTTTCTTTCCTCTCACCCCTCTTTTCTCTTCTCTCTCCCCTTTCTCTCCATCACTTCTTTCTTTTTTCTCACTGTCAGATTTCTTGCTTTCTCCCCTCTCTCCATCATTTTGTCATTCTTCCCTCTCTCCATTTTTTTTTCTTTCCTTCCTCGTTTCCTCGTTTCTCTCTCTACTCTCTGATCTCCTTTCTTTTCCCTTTCTCTCCTTCAACCCGCTTTTCTCCTCAATTTCTTTCTCTCCCTTCACCTTTTTATCTCTCCATCTCTTCTTAACCTTACTTTTCTCCATCTTCCCACTCTCTCTCTTTTCCTTCTGTCACTCTCTGACTCCTCCTTTCTCCCTTTCTCTTTTTTCTCCCCTCTTTTCATCTCCGTCCCTCTCCCCTTTTTTCTTCCTGTCCCTCTTTAAGTTTTTATCTCTTCTTATCCTTTTATACCTGCGGTGCCCCCTCCTCTTTAATACTTCTGGACCCTCAGTTCTTCTCCTCGTCCTCCCTCCTCTGCTCTCTTAAGAACCTCTTAAAACTTCAAAGTTGTGTCTTTATCTTTTTTATCTGCTGGAAGTCACGCTGCAAAGGACTGTGGGAGTTTTCTTCCTCTCTGCGTGCTCGCCACAGCCACTTCTCTGCCTCCCATTCACATGCTCCCGCACACACACACAAACACAAACACACACTCAGCTCAGAGAAGCAGCATGAGGTGTAAAAGCTCAACTGGAAAAGGATAGAAGACAGAGTGACGTCATGTTTCTGTCTTTGTTTGATGTCCCCAAGTCCTCCTGCGAGCGTCTCTCAGCGGGACAGAAGATCAAACCAGCAGCGTGTGGAAGAAGAGACTGATTAAACCGAAATGGCAACTCCATAAATCAGTGTTTGACATGACTTTGTGCTGCCACTTCTTCCAGTGGTATTAAACTTGTTTTAGTACAGCTGAGCTTTTAAATGCAAAAGGCTGGCATCAGTCATTCTGCACAGTCTGAATATATATAACAATATATAACAATTGATTGGTAATTAAGGGGCTTTAAACTTGCTCTAATTGCTTGTTTTGCATGCTGGTGAGGAAAAATATAGAAATGTGTAGAGCTCACAAAGCCAGAATCAGTCAGACACCTAGATAATGCAATCGGAATTCGATTTTCTCTACCATGTAACCAGCCTAGTCAGAGCATGATCGGACAATGCATGTGCGCCAACCCTGGAACAAAAACACCAGAGAAGAGGAGTAGCGTGCATCTCATCTGCAGAAAAAGTAGTGCGTACATCACGTACGACAAAAAAACGCTGTATGATGCTCCATCTTCTTGCTCAAAAATGCCCAACAGCAGTTGTAGCCACTTCTGACGTCTGACATGGACCTGCTGTTGTTGCTGACCCTTATATAGGGTCGGAAACAGTACCGCTGCAAAGACCCACATCACCCCCTAGTTCTGGGGAGGAGGACACGCTAACGTCAATATTCAATTTTTTCAGCTGCATGCATACGCGGACAAATAATGAGCTTAGTCCGATTAAGCTGTGCATGTAAACGCACTGACTGTTATCTGATAAAACAGTCCTGCGTTAAAACTCTATTATTGTGAAGGCAGAGGGTCCTGACCTGGTGGAAGCCATTCAAACTGGAGTCCAGTGGATGTGGGTGGGTCACCTGCACTCTCATGCCTCTCATAGAGTGACTCCTGTGGTTTCCCGATTGACTTTACTGGCTGTATCGACCTCTTTTGTCAATATCTGACATTGAGCGCCTGTTTCATGCAACCATGTTGAAAGAAAAAGTCATATCATTTTTATAATCAAACATCATTTCATGGATGTTTAGACTCACTCCAAAAATCCCTGAACTCGAGTGAAAACTTATATTCTTAACACGGAGTTAGACACCCCTCGATAGCTGAATGTTGCTGACCACTTGCTTCTCTAGTTATACCAACTTTAGCTCAAGGAAGATCATTTATGCCTCGGTCTGATTGCATTTCCATGAAGAAATGATCATAAATGTTCTTCCTTGAGCTGCGTCACCCCGCTGTAGTCTGTAATGGACTGGCCTGAGGTCTCGCTACAAACAAGCGGCTGCTGGAAGAGAGACAGTAAGTTGTGTTTAGTCTCTTTGCTAGAAAAATTATGCAAAGTTAAAAAGATGTTTGGTGGCTAGTACTATGGCTGGGACCCTATATGTACTGTTGATGAAGTTAGGTGCTGTTCTGAACATTATTTGTGGCTATAGAGTGGTGTTTTGGTCGAGGTTTGTTTATGGCTCCTCAGACCGCTGTGTATTGCTATCTTATGGTGGAGAAGCAAGCAGTCGGCAACATTCACCTCTCGAGGGGGGTGTCTAACTCTGTGTTACGGTGTGTTTGACCCTAAATTAAATTTACGCCGGAATATTCCTTTAACTCTTTCTTGCATTGTCCTCTGGAACATAAATATGTTCGTAATGCTGCTGTATCAGTTGGTGCTGCAGTTAGCGTGATAAGAAGCCAGCATATGTCAGTATAAAAAATTTATGAAGAACTGTATGTTAGCATAAATGCTAAGGGCGTGCTGCTGGAAGGTCTCAGATGGGATCATCTGCAGGATACGAGGCACAGTATGGTTTGTGTTCATGTGTGTTCAAGTGGATGTATATGTGTGCGCCCTTTGTCATATAATGCACTCTGACACTGTGTAGATATGTTATTTACCTACACACACATGCTCCTCAGTCCCTTTAGCCCCCATGACTGAACTGTGAACCATAACTGAAGTAGATGATGCCTGTTACCGTGGGAACAGCAGATGTGAACGTCCTGCCCCCGTTCGGTGACGCGCACACACAAACACGCTAACGTTCACACCTGGCAGTTTGTTCATTAGCCTACATCCTCACTCTGCCTTCCCCAAGGCCACACGCCCCACTTACCCACAATGCACTCCTGTCACCCACACCAGGGTCAATTATCTCTGCTCGATGCCAATAACAATCCATCATTCCCTGTTTGTTTTTCACAGTCCTTTCCCCCTACTCTCTTTAAAAAACTTTAAAACGACCCTAACGCCCGGGAGCACAGGTTAACTATGTAGGAACAAAATGCTGTCTTCTGTATCATAGTAAAAAAATCTTGAAAAGAGTTTGCTGGATATTTCGATGCTTTTAAACCTTAAATAAAGCATTTTAACAGTTTCTCCGCGCCCCACCTCGAGCTCGACGTCAGACAGAAACGGCTCACTGTGAATCCGGTCCTCTCCTTCTTCCTATATACCCTTGCTCAGCTCTTTCTCCCTCTCTTTCTCACCTCTACAGTCTGTACAGTAAATCAGCTCGGCCTTTCGTTTGACCCCCGGAGCTGCTGGAGCATGATGCTGATGTGCTGAACCTGCCGCTTTGCCTCTTCCCCTCCTCCTCCTCCTCTTCCTCTTTCCTTGAGTCAGGAACACTCTCGACTCTTTGTTCTTCTATCCGCTTGCTTTTTTATTTCCAGCGTTGGTTTGTTCCTACCCTGAAAACATTCAGGCGCTTTGATTTGAAATGAGAGATAAGTGGGTGAGTGGGTAGGTCAATGGCTAACTCAATGAATTAGCCACTAAGTGCGTTATTGAGCGAACCTATGTAAATGAGTTAGCGACTCAATGAGGTAGCATGTTAGTTTGTAGACGGGGCGGAGTTTTAGAGGGGGGGTTGCACAGATGTTTAGATGGATTTCAACAACATCCAGCTGAGATGCAACATTAGCGCGCAGCACATCTGTTTCTATGGGAGTTTGTGTTTGGGATAATCTGGGTCAGCCTCAAATGCCTTCCATAAATACGCCTCGGACACACATACATGCTCATCCAGCGAGCGGTTATCCTGTTAGGGTTGATTTATTCCCATCACATTAAAGGATGTTTTATGATGAGGACAGGCTTTTACTGTTGTCCGCGCGCACTCAAACCGACAAAAACACATGCACACACGCATCCTCTTTACATTGAAACATTGAAATAAATCATATTTCTTGTTGTGTGATGATGGATTTTCAATCTCTGTGTGAGCGCCTGCTCTCTTTGTTTTCAAACACCATCCATCACACGGCCAAAGGGAGTGACAGATGTTTTCTGTGATTGAATTTGTGGGTTTTTGCCTGTCGTCAGACTTGTGTTTGTCTTATTTCAATCCTTTGGTCGGCCCGCCTGCATTTGTGATTATTTAGCACTGCAGCAAATCCTCTCCCTGACCCCAGATTAGTCTGTTTTCTGTACATTCATCCGCCTGCTGCTTTGCTAATTAGCTCATGAGCGTGCAGGTTAATGAGCAGCTACATTTCAGGCTGCTGATAGATTATTGTTTCATCGGGCTTGAGCCGATAACACCCAGTTCATTCAGAGTGGCATCAACACTCACTGTCTGTCTCCGTGCCACTAAAATTCAGCTTCTCCTTCTTGCAACAAGCCTCTCTCTTTCCCCTCCCAGTCCGTCGATAAAAGCCTGCTGGACTCTTCTACAGATCATTGCTCTCATCTTTCTCCCTCTTTTATTTCCTCTTTTCTTCCTCCATCACCCCTGCCTCTCTTTCTTTTACTGCCTCCTTTGCCCACAAACTCTCTGCTTGTATTTGCTCCCCTGTTCGCTCTTTGTAAATCTCTCCCTGTCTCAATCTGTCTCTCTTTCCCTCCCTCATGTGTGAGCAGCCTCGGGGTGCTTCTATATTTCCTGGCCAGTGCAGTGGTAGATTGGAATGGAGGCCTTTGTCACTTTTATTTACTGCCTCACTGATTCCACAGCAGAGCGTACGTATGTGTGTGTGTGAGTGTGTGTGTGTGTGTGTGGGAGCACGTGTGAATGCGGAGTGATTGCAGGTGTTTGAACTGCAATGAGGTGTGTCTGGGAGTATTGCCCCCTTATTTCTTCAGACTCCTTCTAGCAGAACCGTGTTTGTATCGTTCGTTAGCTGAAAGTAGCTTTAATTCTCTGGTAGCATGCTGGGGTTGTAAGCCCGCAGACTAGAACCAGTGGGTGTTGATAGGAGGGTACAGACTGAAACCCCAGTTGTCTGAAATCCTTCAACCCTAACACAGCCAAACTGCAGATTGGTGTGTGTGAGTGTGTGTGTGTGACAGCAGTGGGAAATCTCCTCCACGACCTGCCTGTCACAGAGCGACAGACTGAAGGAGACAAATACAGAGTGAAAGCCCAGGAGCACACTCCTCCCATATGATACAGCCAGCATCCAGTCAGTCCTCCCCTTATGTCTGTGTATGTTTGTGTGTGTCTGTGTGTGTATGTGTGTGTGTGTGTGTGTGTGTGGATTACCATGACGGAACAGATTAGGATTATGGTGTGACCCATTTCCTTTTCACAAAGAGTTGGCTACCGACTCTGGCAATCTGTTCCTCCTGAGTGTGTTTGTGTGCATTCATGAGCTTCGTACAGAACCATTGATGTAGTCTTTGCAAGCAGGTGTAGATGTGGCGGCTGTAAATCCTTGTTTGGTCCATAAAAACTCATGAACTAGAGGAACTGGACTTCTAGTTCTTCTCTGTTTTTACAGTGACCTGTTAAGTAAAGTACATAAATATCTGTTTCCGTCATCAAAAGTTAGGAAAGGTTCCCAGATAGCTACGTCAGGGTGTTTGGGCCTCATAACAGAAAAGAAAAAAAGACATTTAAAGAGATAAGATTCATTAATTCACAAGAAAAAAAGAGAAATAGACGGCTATTAGACGTCTAGTTTTTTTCTAGACCTAATTTCAACCGTCTAGATTCTGTATATTTGTAGACGGAATTTAGACATTGCACTTTAACCCGCTATTCGATAAGTATTTATTTCAAAAAGCAACTGTGAGTTTCATAACTGATCTCCAAGTACTAAACCAAAATAATTATGATAGCCATTGAGCAATATACTGGTAGACCTCTGTTAGCTGGCTAGTCTAAACTCGGTCTAAATTTAGACGTCTGAAAACTTTCATTTTTAGACCTGTGGTAGCCTGATTTTAGACCAGTCGTCTAGACTACATTTAGACGTTTATTAGACCTCTTTTAGACCAAAAAATGCTCAGTGGGAAGTCATTGATTTAGTCATTAATTAGTGTTTTTTTGTCAGTGTAACTCATACTTAAAGCTCCTGTAGGGAACTTTTAGTTTTTGTTAATTTTGGTGCCCCCCTGTGGGCAAAGCACCCTGTGTTTATACGCTTTTTTTAAAGTCCTTCTAACAAAAATTTTACCCTGGCCTCACTGACATCAACCCCATTACAACAATTTCGGTCATTAGAAATTACAGTATCAGTATCTGTATACCATCAAGAGGCTCCAATATGAGTTCCAGTCAGTTTAAAAAGTTTCGAAAACTTCTTACAGGAGCTTTAAGTTCAATTTAACAACATACTCCATGTTTCTTATTTGGGTACAGGCAGCTAGCTGTACCATGAACCAAAACTACGACTTTATCACTACTTTAACAACTTGATTTGGTTATAATATCCTGACTTTACTACAACTTTAATTTCACAACAATATAACATCAATCTTGTAACAATACAAGTCAATAAATAGAGATTTTCTCTGTAGTTCCTCAGACTTGAACGAGGCTTGTGTAGAAAAAGAGAGCTGGTGGTCATTAGAAACTAGGATACGAGTTTGTTGGTGGTGTCTTGATTTGATGGACTGATTACCTTGGCGTCTTGATGTGGTCAACTTCAGCTGTTTCGGTTTCATAGTGTGAATGGAGAAACATTAAAAAAAGCCTGTGATGTGGACTGTGTAATCACTTTTCTTGTCTCAAACCTGTTTCTGTGTGAAAGAAGCTTCGCTGCTTTTGAAGGGAATAAATGACTAAAAAAGTATGAGATCAATCTTTATAAAGTCTCCTTCAGTGTGTCATTTTAAAGTAAAATTTGGATGACCTTGCAGCTCGGCCACTCTGTAAACACACACTGAGGAGGACAGATGCCGATGAAATCCAGCTCTTACTGCTCCTCATCCCCTCCCTCATTTCTCAATCTCTTTTCCCCCCTCCTCTCGTTTTACCTCCCTCCTTCCCCTCTTATCTCGTCTCCTAATTTCCGAAAATCAGGACAGTAGTTGCTTAGTCCTTATCTTTCACTCTCTCTTTATTAAAGTGTGTGTGTGTGAGTGCAAATGCCTTTGTGTGACTACATTTAAGTGTCGTGCCCACTGTACCCAGGCCAGGAAAGACTGTTGCTAGGCTACGACAGGAAGTGTCCTGCATAGTCAATGTGTCCAAGGAGGGGTGTCTGTGTAATCGACTCTGCAAGGGCATGGAGGTGCGGGTACAGTCAAAAAACAAACATGAAACCAACACAGAAGCTTTTGGTGTCAGGATTTCCTGCAGGTTCTTTTGGGGCGGGTTGGTCCAGCCTTACTGAAGCTTCAAACGGGGGAAAAGATGAAAAGATGTTCCCCTCCACGGCCGCAAATCCTCCACCTATGTGTTTGTGAGCATCTGTGAAACATTCATCTCTTCCTAGCAGCAGGAAAATGCTAAAAGGGCATTATTACACACATGCCTCCACGTACCTTCTGCACGTAATGCTTTCCAGGCGTTTCACCTCCGCTTGGCAGGTATGATTAATCATTGTTATTGTGTTGATGATAACCAGGGGGAGAGGTGTACTCTGTGTCAGTCTGACACGTCCCTCATGGTTCAAAAGAAGGGGACAGATGAGATGAAAGATGAGATGGTATTGGACAAATTAAACTCTGTTTTGCATCTCCGCAGATAAACAGACAACATGACGAGCTGTTATCTAAAACCAGAGCTTGATCGTCTGGCAGAGTGTTATCAGACTTAAAAATAGATCTTGTTGTAACAAGATAACAGTGTCTTTACAGCTGAGTTTGAGTTCTGTGAAATAAAGACGGAAATTTTTTAAAAAGAGATTGAATGATTGATTCATTGTTAGTGTATTTTGTTTTACACGCACGCAAGACTAAAAAACAAGTCTGAAGCACCTAATCTTGTTTAGTGCTTCTTGAGAAAATCAGAGTGACGTTATTTCAGTTTGATTGACATGTTGGCATGTTTTTTTGAAAGTTCAGTCATAGATGGAAAAACCCTAGTGATTGAAAGTCTCTTAAAACCCTGTTATGAGACATTTTAACATGGGTTCTAATAGTGATTCCTGTACTTTTAGAGCTCGGCCTCAAGTGGACACTCAGGGAACTGCAGTTTTTTTTGCACCTCTGCATTTCCTGCTTGGTTGCTGTACATTTCTTGTGATCTAGGGACTTTGTGTTTGGCATTACATAGCATTAGATTTTCAGTGAATTTTCTGTTTTCTTGCCTCCAAGCAACGTCCTCTGAAACAATTATCACCCCAGTTTCATTCAAGGATTCATGGAAATTCAAGGAACTGTCTGTGGTACGAAAATTAGTACTCAGGTCTGTTTCCGAGCCAGAAATAAAAATACAATGCAATAAATAAAATACAATAGCTAAGATGCAATACAATAACAAAGAGCAAAATGTAAACAAAAGAAAATTTAAGTTGGCTGAAATTATCCCTGTTACACTAAATTCATCTAAAGAATGATTATTGTTTCGTACTCCTGTTGTTCATAACCATGTTGTTTTCCTCTGAATGAATATAAGAACATACTCTCATAAATGATCCTCCTTTCTAATTCGCTGCCTTTAGAAAAAGACCTTCTCTCCATTTTGAACCGCAGTCCATTCAGCGGTTTAAGAGCCACTGACCCGTGGGGATGAGAACTAGAAATGAGTCTTCGATGATGCGGCCGCCTGAAGGCTGATTGGAGATCCAGTTTGGTATCAGTTTGCTGCCTCCACCACAACACACCCATCCGAGCGGAACAAACATAGTCAATTTGGTGTGTTATCGCTCACACACACCTTTGCTGGCGGCGTCATGTGAGTGACAGATGTTGAGCCGTGGTTTTTTGGTCAATATAGCTGCAAAGACGGCGGATGAGACACATAACACACATCTGATTCATTTTGATGACAGGAAGTACTAGATGGAAGCAGTTGTCTGAACATGTACTGAGTGTATGTTTTGTTTTCACTCAGGCCCTTGTCAGTGCGTTGCAGTTTGCAGGAGCTTGATGCATTAGCAGAGGCAAAGTGAAAGGGGGTTGCAGAGGTCCTCGGTTTGTGTCATATTTGCTTGTCGGGTCAAAGCTGAACGCTGTTTTCGCCGGCATTAGCGTTCAGCTCAGTCATGTTCATCCAGGACCGGCGTTTCACAGGCTGCCGGTCTGAGCTACAGAGCATGAGAGAGGAAGGAGACAGAAAATACAAGGGACAGAGGAAAGTAAGCGAGACATCCAAGAGGGAGGAAGGAAGGGAAGAATAATGAGAGGCATATAAAGAGGAGATTGTGAGAAGTTAAGAGGGTTAGATAATGAGAGAGAGAGAGAGAATCAGAGGGATAAGGGAGAGAGACGAGGAGTGAGAAGGAGAAAATGTAGATCTAGGTCAGAGAGGCAAAGCAGTCAACAAACAAGCAGAGAAAGGGATGAACAGGCCTGTGTGCTACGAAGCTCCTTTTTTCTGAATGGGGCAGCCCGAGGGATGAAAGGAAGATGACAAAATATCAAAGGGGAATCTGTTTCTAATCAATGTTTTCAGTCTGATGAAGAGAAAAGTGAAATATTTGAGGGGAAACACGCTCACATGCTGTCTTGCAAAAATGTTTGACAGTAAGTTTTAAATAACTCTGAAGGTGCAGTCTTGAATCTGGAGCTGCACACCTGAACTTTGGCAATAGTTTTCTAACAGAGACACAAAAAAAGCATTTTATTTTAGCCAGAAAAAAATCACTTATAATGAGCAAACTAATTGATCGTTCCTTTAATTTGTCCGTACCAGTTGTTGTGATAGCGCCAGTGTTGTCTCCTTAACTGCTAAAGCGCTATTTCATTCGACATTCATACAACCAAGATCCACCCTTGTCTTATCTTTAAATTTGCAAATAAATGAACAGGCCGTGGACAAAGAAAAAGCGAGAGATGAAGATGAATAGACAGCGCTAATTCCTTTCTGTTGCACCTTTCACACTTGGTCATTTAATAAGGCGTGATGACATTCCTGCTCAGGGAAGAGAGGAGAGATGAAGGTTGTCAGGTGGCTCAGAGTAATGAATCTTTATCCAGCGCTGATAATGTCCACGTCCAATATCTTTTTGACACTCTCTCTCTCTCTCTCTGTGACTCCCTCAATCTCGCTCATCCTCTCTTTTTATCCCTCTGTGTGCACATGTGTGAGTGTTTGCAAGAGTTCCTCTGTCTGTGAGAGAGAAGCTGAAAAAGGAAATCTTTTTGTACTTCATATGTGTGTGTGTGTGTGTGTGTGTGTGTGTGTGTGTGTGTGTGTGTGTGTGTGTGTCTGTGTGCGATTCTGGTTTGTAAGTGGCTGTAATTCCTTTGTTGGTCTCCAACAAAGCAAGTCCTTGTGCTTGTGGAATTGGGGCAGTCTGATCCTAATGAGAAATCCTTGTTCAATCTTTCCAGCTCTTTCACTTTCACAGAATCTGGACTTTGTGTGTGTGTGTGTGTCTGTGTGAGAGAGAGAGAGAGAGGGAGAGAGAAAGAGAGAGGGAAAAAGCCTTGATCAGGGTGTTTTGCCCTGGGCGGATGCTTAGTTTGCTGGATTCAAACACAATGAGTTATCATACTGAAAACCTTACATGTCTTTTTCAAGGACTTCAGCTCAGGTTAACATGATACCAACTATGAAAACATGCTAATTTTGTTGCATTTGTGCATAAAATGATAGCAAATGAACCAAACCTATTATTAAATCAGTCTTAATTTTGATATTCCTGAGATCTACATTCTAAAACCATCAATTTTTGACCCTGTTATTATAGACTTAAGGCTAAAAGTAATGTTCATTATTTGAACACAGAGCAGCTGTGAGAAGGAAATGGAAAGCTATTGAGCTTCCTTCATCTTATTGCCGTTAAGAAGTGTATATACCGAATAACTTCCTACTTAGAAGCTATTCATCAAGTGTAATGAGTTTTAGTGGGCCTGTGAGAACAATTGATCTTTTGAAACTACATAAAACAGGGATGTGAAGAGCTGATGATGAGTAATGACCACTGGCTGTAAGCAGAGTCTGTCCTTTCACAGAAAACTCATGAAACGGCTAACTTTAGCAGCGTTATACCTCCTATGATGTTGTTGTAGCATAGCCTCTGTTTTGGCGTTAGCGCCCATTATCAGAACAGCCCTTCGATTGAAAGCCCCCCAGGAGGCGCTTCAAAGCCGGACCATTAATGCCATCTGGTTTACGAGAATCCCACCAGGAAACAGTCCTGTCCTTGTTTTTATTTTGAGTCGGTGTGTGTCTGTGGCTGTTTCTGTTTGTTTCTTTGGTGTTGCTGCTGCTGCTGCTAAGCTGCTCCGCTCAAAATGTGACATGCTAATCAGTGAAGTCCAGACAGGTGGAAGCAATAGCCATCAGTGGTTTGAGCATCTCTTGCCCCGTTAGCGCCATTAGCTAATCACAAACACAGATGCTCTGATGAAAAAGAAAACACTTGGGCGTCCATTCGCCCCCCCAGCGTCCAATCTCTCACTTCTTTGCCTCCTCGCTCCCTCGGGCAGCTTCTTAGCCCCAATATTACACAAAGCTGCCAAGTCTGAGCCGGCCTCTTTTGTTCCTGCTTTGTCTTGTATATCCTCGTCTGTCAACAGTGTTTTTATCCATATTTATGTTTGAGTGATGCTGGAGAGAACAAAATCATAGTAGCCAGTGTGTAGGAGGAAGACCATCGGATCCACTTACCCACTGAGGAATAGACGGCTATTAGACGTCTAGTTTTTTTTTAGACCTAAATTTAACCATCTAGCTTCTGTGTATTTTTAGACAAAATTTAGACGTTGTACTTTGACTCATTATTGGATAACTATTTATTTAAAAAAAATAATTACGATATCCGTTGAGCAGTATACAGTGTAGTAAAGATGTAGCCCAGATTTAGATTAAGTCTAAACTTGGTCTAAATTTAGATGTCTAAAAAACTTTCATTTTTAGACCTGTGGTAGCCTGATTTTAGACCAGTCGTCTAGGCCACATTAAGACGTCTGTTAGACCTCTTTTCGACAAAAAAATGCTCAGTAGGTAGGGTTTTGACTGCTGCTGTCGACTTTTTTTTCTTTTCTTTTTTTTTTGATATCTTTATTGACTTTCATTTGACATTATACATACAATTTTTGTAATGAAATTCTGTGTTACAAAAGTCATTCTTTTTCCACCCAACCCTCGAGAAAAAAACAAAAACACGAACACTAATTGCCCTCTAAAAATGAAATAATACACTTAACTAGTGATGCACGATATGAAAAATTTCAACCGATACCGATAACCGATAATTTTCTTCTTCTCATGGCCGATACCGATACCGATAACCGATAAATTCATATTTTTACATTTATTATAATCTTCATATAATCTGCAGTTTGTGCACGATGCAGTGATTGAAAGCTGATATTTTTGTTGCTCTGGCCCATCTAGAACTAAAGTTTTTGGCTCTTCAAATGTTTATTTTTTCCATGTCATCACAAAAATATGTGGTCATTAGCTATAAATAACAATAACAGAGCAAAAAGCAGAACTTCATTTGACCAAAACAGTGCATCCCCTGAACTATTCAACAGTACTGTAAACTGTAAAGGAGCTATTATGAGACGTTAGGATTCGCATGCTGACCGGACTAACATCTGACGTCCATATGTCTGTGGTAAAACTCACGTGCAGTCCGTTCTTGTCGATCAGGTTGTGAATGTATGTGGCGACAATATCATACAGTGCAGGAAGGGACACAACCGAGAAGAAGCGGCAGCTTGGGAGAGTGTAACGTGGCTCCAAGTGTGCTATGAACTTAAGAAAACCCGGGTTCTCAACGACGGAAAAAGGCTGGTCGTCGACCGCTATGAATTCCATCACTTTGTCGTTAATGGCTTTAGCCTTTTCGCTGTCTCTTGAGAAGCTTTTGCAGTTTTCAAACAGCTGCTGAATGGGGACATCGATCCTCCATAGTGTTGTTGTCTTAGCTTTAGTACCGCTAGCAGCTTCGGCGGCTGTCTCATAGTCCTTTAATACTGCTCCGCCGTGATGGCGACTTTTCAGATGAGCTATCAGATTCGTTGTGTTAAAACTTGACGTCTTCATTCCGCCTCTCGGAATCCCCGCTGAACAGGTGTTGCATATAGCAGCTGTTGTCATCTTCTGCCACTGAGAAAAACGACCATGCTGGTGAAGACATTTTATTATCAGTCAGGTAGTGACAGGGGTCAGGCTTGGGACCTGCGGGTAAGGTGCGACGGGCGGCTACTCCGCCTGCAAACGTTACTCGTAATTTCATTAATATATCGGATCTTTCTATCGGAAAAATGCACCTATCGGACCGATAAAAAATGACATAATTTTCCCCCAAATCGGCCGATATTCTATCGGTCCGATAAATATCGTGCATCCCTACACATAACATAGCAAAGTACTTTTACAATCAATAAAAATCAACAATTCCTTGTTTGGGATAAGTTGCGAAGATGGCACATACATTTTCAGTATTATTTAGTTAGCTCCTTTTTGTTTTCGTAGAAGCCCTTCTATATCTCCATTCTTGATATAGCTATTAAATGGTTTCCAGATTTCCTCATCAAGCGCCAGTTTGTTTTTCAGGGTATATTGCTGTCAATTTCTTAAAACCAAGTGTTGCCCGAAACTAATCATAGCTAAAACCACTAACTCACAACTACCATTAAATTTGCATTGAACAGGCAGAAACCTTGTGCAGAACTGGACACATGTAAGACAGTCATCTGCTGCTGCTGCATTTGGTTTAGAGAGGAGATAGAGGGCGATACAGAAGTGAGACTGATGCATGTGGTTGAAGCAGGCGGGTCCACAGTGATCCAAATGGCATGACTCAGTATTAACATAGCCCCTCAATCCCTTTACGGCCCTCTCGGATTCTCGAACTCTAAGGTGAGTTAGCCGTGAATGATATCCCGCGGTAAAGTCATCAGGCGTGTTAGGGCTCTGATGTAGACTCCATAAAGCCTAATCACACGCTCTCCATGAGTCAGCCTTTTTTTGTAGACTAAACCAGAGTTTATTGTGGTCTTGGGGACAAAAAGGATGTGATTATACAGCCTTCTTAACTTTTTATTGAAATATTAAAGATAGTGTTCAGTAAAGTTTGAAAACAAGCTTCAGGGTGGATTTAAAAACCACTTTGTCATGTTCACCACTCTTTTTTTTTTTAATGCTGAAAAGTGAAAGACGTCAAACTTTCACACGTGCTTCATCTACTTTCGTGCAGACTGTTCGTCACTGACTGTCCCTTTCCTCTTCTCCTCCTCTCACCAGGGTCGCCATGTTAAGACCGGGCAGCTGGCAGCCATCAAGGTCATGGATGTCACCGGGGTAAGACACACACACAAACACATACATGCCCTTTCACACTCGTGCGCATACCCACGCACGTCAAATCATCTCGAGTGATTATACCACCGCCGACCGTGTCATCTAATTATGAGCGATGAGTCAGAGCCCGCTTTTGCGTGCGCGTGGAGAGGAAATGAGGACAGGCCTATCGCCATGGTAATATTAGCTAGAGGTATTAGGACAGCAGTGTGGTCTCAGGCGTGTCTGTAAAGCAGGAGGGAATCTCAGCTATATTTAGAGATCCTCTCACCGAACGCCTCGCTGTTCGCGCTCAGCTGCCAGCAAAACAATGGAGAGCTGCGGGGATGAAGTAACAAAGGAACTAATGAATGAAGGAGCCAAGGAGCTGAATGAATAAAGTAGCACAGGTGTATGCGGAGGGATGAGGAAAAAGTCAGAGTAACGGGGTACAGTACAGTATGAATGACCGTGCTAATACAATCGAGATTAGACAGCGATAATTGATGATTGAAAAACCAAATGAAGGGCAAAATTGCTGGCTAAATGAGCCGCTACTGTACAAAATAGGCTCGCTTAAAGAAGTGTTTTTGTTTCCATGGCTGATGAACGCCACATTAAAGCAATTAAAGCATAATTCTCTGACATTGTGTATAATTAATATGAAAATTGCAGTTATAAGTAACCAAACTGCTGCCATTACGACTCATTTCAAACACTGGCTTTTGGCTGTGTGTCAGTCACCCCCCTCTGCAAATGAGAGTAATTAAAAAGTAATGCTGTTATTGTGGGTTATTTAGAGCCCAGCTGTTTGCATTGTACCCCCACTTAGCTCATTATAAATGGATTCAGAACGTAAATCCATCCGCTTTATCCCCGCCGCACCACCGCCGTCCTATAAAGGCGTTTATAGGGTCACAATCAGAGCTCATTTGTGGTGTTGCCTCTTCTTCTTTCATACTTGCAGGATGAGGAAGAAGAGATCAAAGCTGAAATCAACATGCTGAAGAAGTACAGCCACCACCGCAACATCGCCACCTACTACGGAGCGTTCGTGAAGAAAAACCCTCCCGGCATCGACGACCAGCTCTGGGTACGGCATCATTTTTCCTGTGTGCATGCGTGTGTCTTTGTCAGCACTTTTGCAGCTTGTGTGTATGAAATGGAGTGTGACACGAAGAGAAAATAGCAGCAGAAAAGCGGCGCTCCATTTTTCACTGTTATAGTTGTGTGAAAGCAGCGAGTGTGTAGTTACATTGAGGCCTGTGTGCATTGGAATGTATATTTAACATGAGTTTGTGAGAAATATAGAGTGTAAGAATGAGCCCGTGCTGCTATAAATCATGTGTTAACTTGATCTAAGGGAGCTCTCTGCTCACTGATCTGCTCGCATCCATCACACAAACACACAAACATATGCGTTCACAAAGCAGCCAGATATAATGCATGCATAATTCCCCTTGTTTTGTACTTATAGTGTGTTAATGCGTGAGTTTGCATGCTTTGTCCTGCTTCCCCTGATGCCCATGTGTTTGTCATCCATCCTCGCGTGTCCGAGTGCGTGTGCACAGCCGGGATCAGAGAGGGTTTCGGGTATTACTCGCCAGCGTCCTCTCTCTTCCTGTAATCCAGAGCAACGATGAGGAGAGCTTGAAGCAGAGCCAGAAACTGACCGGCTGAACTTTCGCCTGCATATCTCTGCGGATGTAATGCCGGGGATGGATGAAATGAGGGTCAGAGAGGAGAGGAGAGGAGAGGAGAGGAGGGATGGAGGCATGAGGCGGCTCAGGATGGAGAGAGGAGAGAGATGGACAGAATGGACACTTTGTGTTTGGGTCAAGAGGCTGATTTGATTCATTTGTGTGATCCCGTGACCTCATTGAGTCAGTTTGTGATTAAGATTGTCGCGTCTGTGTGTTTGTTGGAGGTCACAGAGGAATAGTCTACAGCACATACATCTCTTTATACGTATTCCTAATGTGTACTTCTGCAATAACAATATTTTCTCAAATAAATTAAAGAAAGTACATTTCCAAAATTAAATTGTACTATTTTGTCCTGTCCTCCACACCATACATAGCTCTGCAGTTTCTTGTTTCTTGCTGCAACTGGGAAGCACAAAAAGGACACAACTAAGCATCTGATTGGCACATCTTACTCTTGTGGATAGTTCAGTTCACAAATCAAAAGAAACATGCACTTTGCCCTGAACAGAATTAAAATATAACTGGAGTCTAAACTACCACCCTTAAGCAAAGCATGCAGGTGCAGACTGACGTCAGCCGGCATCATAGAAGTAAGCAGAGTTTTGAAATGACAACAGACTTGAGGACAAATCATTTTAGAGCTGCTTATCTTTAACTCCTGTTTTAAGACCAGACTGCTGTAGTGGTGCAGCATTTATATGAATAATAAATGTAATTGTCAAGATCATAAAATGCACTTTATTGCATTCATTTGACTCGAAAATACCGGTAAGAGTTGCCTGATGTGGTCAATATGGACTCAAAATATGTTTAAATGCAAAATAATAGAGTGATATTTGTGTAATCGCAATAATAATAACCATGATTTTAAATTGTAAGCACTAAATAATAAAAATTCAAGTATCCTGTACTTTTAAACAGTCTAGATTCTTTATATCTACACAAGAAGCTGGTCTTCTTCCACAGAGGGCGCCATCTTGCGCCGCCATATTTCTACTGTTACAGATACATGCTGGTGTCATATGTCCGTGTATTGATATGGATGATGAATAAGTTTAAATCAATCAGCATGATAAAAAACAAAAATAATATCAGGAAGCATGTTGAATAAAAGCTTGAAATGTTTTGGCCTTTCCTTTAGGCGGCTGCTATGTCATCCATCTTGTCATAAAAACCTCGCGCAGACTTCTCTATAATGATCTTTTTTGATGTTTGTAGCTGGTGATGGAGTTCTGCGGAGCCGGCTCAGTCACAGACCTGATCAAGAACACCAAGGGCAACTCTCTGAAAGAGGAGTGGACCGCTTACATCTGCAGAGAGATTCTCAGGGTGAGTCGGATTTTTTGACCCTCATGTCTACAATCTTTCCCTTTCTTGCACAAGGAAGGACTATTGTGTGTAAATGCAGAAGGAGATCCTTGACAGGGATTGTCTTCTGTGACTGCATGAATAATATTGCCTGTGCTGCGTGGGGATTTGCACTTGATGTTAACAAGAGGAGTCCCACTTCAAGCAAAAGGCTGCCTGAGGACAATCGCACATGATTTATGGAAAAATTTTCACTGCAGCGTTGAACATTTTGGCATTTCTGCAGCAAGATATTGTCCGTTTCTGCCAGACTTCTGATTAAAAGTGAGGTCCTCGACAAACAAAGCCACCCAGCATCTAAGTTCCTCTCTGTTTTGTTTCCCAATAACTGAAAATCTCTTTAGTTTTACGCCTTTTCCCCAAATGACTTTCCTGTCTTTACAGGTATAACATGGTTCAACCCAACAGGCTGAGCATTTGTTACAACAAAAACAACAAACCCACACTATTTTACGATCAGGCATAATTCTCTTCATTACAGCATCGACAACAAGCGGGGATTAAATGAGAAAACCTGCGCCTCAGGGTAAACAAATGCAGTAACTCTCAGCTCAGGACAAAGTTCGCTCTCAGAGCAATGGAAAATTGAGTTTCTGTCAGCTATGAAATAATGAGTTAATCCATTTGTAATTTTGCGCGGTGTTTAAATTGCCCACTGTGCACTGTAAGCTAACAGCTTTATTATAGTGAATCACAAGATCTGGCAAAGCCTGTTTGTATGAAAATGAGTGAAAGCTTCAGATGACAGCAGCGAGAAAGCAGCGTGAAACAAATGAGGTTTCCCTGTCGTCTGAATTAAAAGGGATCAATCCATCAAATCTGACTTTTCTTTCCATTTACAGTGAGGTGGATCACTCTCTGTCCGTATATGTCGAGCAAATTAAAACCAATTTATCTAAAGCTCCTGTGTGGAATTTTCGGTTTGTATCGACTTTGGCGCCCTCTTTGTGCAGAGCAGTCCTGTCCTCTGCTGAGAAAAATCTCAGTCTGCTGACTTCTGATGATAAAAAACATAAATTTATGAGAATATTTTATATGAAAATTGTAAAAAACTCAGCTGATCCCCACCTCCCTGCACAGGTTTGAGGCATAAATACACTAGACTGAAATTATAACACGTCACTGATGGTCTTGCCCGCTTTGAGATATCATAAAAAGGCATCAAAATGTGTTTAAGTCTGTTTGATAGATGATGATAAACTGCTCAAAACTGCTGTAAACCAACTCATCTGACATTACAGTAAAGAAGCTGCTCATCTTCTAATTTATAGGTTATGAAAAGGCGTCTCTGTAAATTCAATCTGTTACATAACCAGTCAGAAACTCCTCACAGGAGCTTTAACTCTGATTTACTGTCATATTTCATAACTCCTCTCAGCGATCGTCATTTTTCCAGATTTGGCACGGACTCTTTTGTTTGATAAGCATCACCAAGTTGTTTGCGCTCCATCAGACGTGAGTTTCCAGAGAATTGAATCTTCTTGAGAACAGCTTATCTCCACTATCTCTTGTTTTGTGTGGGGGTTTTTTTCTCCTTGTACTGAGGGCCAAAACCTCAAACAGTGAGCAGTAATATCACTGCATCTTGTCAGTACCTGCATTGCTGCTCTAAACAGAAAAAGAAATACTTTCTTTCATCCACCTTTATTTCGTTTTTCACCCCTCTCTGTCGACTTATTGCTTTTCGCTTTCTCTCCCTGCTCTGATTTAGTCGTCTGTTGATTCTCTCTATGAGCTTCAATCTTAGTACTTTCTTTCTCTCCCTCTTTCTCTTGTCTATACTAACAGTTTTCTTTGTTTTACTTCATGTAGCTTCCTTGAAAAAGAAACTAAACTTTAAAGCTCCTGTGTGGTGGTTATGAAACCGACTTAAAATATGAGCGTGGCCTGTCTGTGACCTATAAAAGCGCAGATACCATCAATAAGAAACTACTTCTGAATGTCTGAAACCACAGGCAGGGGTAGGTGTCAGATAGAGTTATCAACTACAAACTGCCTGTTACAGCCTGTTACATAAGTTCAACTGCATGTTTTTCTTGATGAGTGTGAAACTTCAGACCGTTTGAAGAGAGCAGGGTGAAGATTTTTGACTATAAACACCTAAACACACACACAAAACAAAGTCAGATAGACAGTTTCGTCCTAAAAAAGGCCTCAAAATCCACACAAACACAAATATTCCTTTTACCTAGCTCTTGATTGGTATTTTATATTTTATATTTGTTTTTTATCTACCTAGGCATTTTATATTTGTTTTTATTTATGGTGTATTTGTACCTCAATTTTACTTTGCTGTATTTTAATCTTGTATTCTGTGTTTTCGATCATATTGTTTACTGTCTGTTTTATGTATTTCGCTGTGTCTTATTGACCTGTACAGCACTTTGGTCAGCTTCGGTTGTTTTTAAAGTGCTCTATAAATGAAGTTTGAGTTGAGTTGAGTTGAAGAACGGACATTTTAAGAAAGTACTTCAATCGATTAATCATATAAATTAATGATTAATCTCGATTTGATAATTTTTTTATGCCAATGGCAGAAAATACACCAAAAACTGTGGTTCAGGACTGCACACTATATGCTCACTCACACTTCCTACCCGCCCCGCTACCGTAATGACTAGTGCTGGGCGATAGGACGATAGATATCGTGGGCACGATAGAAAATGTCTATCGTGCCATTTTAATTTTTATCGTTTCGGGCGATAGGCTGTATTTAATCCATACGGCTTGTGCCATCAGATGATTCATAGTAACAACAACAATAATTGCACATTCTGTAAGTGTATTTGGTGTCGAACGGGAAAGAAAACAATATTTTCTTACAAAGAAAAGGATGCGTTGACATGTAGGCTTGCATTTCTCTTTCGATTTTGCGACATGAAGCCGTTTTACGTGCCCTCTTTGTGTCCAGCGTCTCCCGCCGTTGCGGGTTACCTGAGTTACACACGTGAGGGGATCATTGTAAGCAGTTCTTAATTTGTGCCGGAGCGAGTCGGAGCGCGATCCGGGACCTCTTTTGATCGGATCCGGAACCTATTTCAGCCGTTCCGGCACCTGTTTCATTTGCTCCGGGACCTTCCCTGTAGAGGATGACATTTTTCGGAAATTCCCGTGGGTCACGTGATTCCCGCGGGAATCCCACGGGATGGGAGTCATTTTTTTAATTAATCCCTTGATCGGGACGGGACGGGAAAAAAGCAACGGGAGTGGGCAGGAGCGGGAACAACATTAAAAGATGATCATTTTCAGCCGTGTTTAACAACCAGATGAACAGGTGCGTCCATTTTTGTAGTCATCTCTCAGTGAGAGCCAACACTCTTGACCGCGCTAGCAACACAAAAAAACTACAACAGTGGTTTGACTTCCTGTCAGCTGGGAGCGCGGCTGCGCATTTCTACCCTTCAAGCCAGCAGCGAGGAAACGTAATTTTGTGACATTCTGTTGTTTTTCAATCATTTCTGGAGTCGTGGCGAATCAAATCACCTTACCTGTCTGCTCCTGATAGGCGAATAAAGCGCTCGGATTCATGCTCGGGTCTTGCTACGTGCTTCAAGAGTAAAGTAAACAATGATGGAGGCAGAGAGCAGCTTTGTAGGAGAAACATCTAGCAGTGTGAACAACCTCTTCAAAAGAGCCCTAAAGACCTAACCAAAGCTTTTGGTTAGTTTTCCTCTATGCTTTATGCTTTTACTACCTTGCCTCTTACATTGCAACTCTATATTTTTTATTGTTTTTAATTCTTTTTTTATGCCAATCTGTGACTGTCATTCTATTGCTTTTTTTATTGTTGCTGCTCTTTTTTTACTGTGTACTGTAGCACTTTGAGATTTTTTGTAAATGTAAAGTGCATTACAAATTAAATTTATTATAATTATTATTATTATTATTATTATGGAGTGCTTTGGCTCACACTATCTGCGTTTTCTGTGAGTGTTGCATAACTTTGGGTGAGAACAGACATGAACACACTTCAGCCACGTATTTATTCATTTTTCTAGTTTCAAGTGCTGGTCTTGTACTGGAACTGTAATAGTGCAGCTGTATACACTTAGCATACCATAGCTATATCGTGATATATATCGTTATCATGATATAAAATGATCCATATCGTGATATACATTTTTTTCCATATCGCCCAGCACTAGTAATAACTGTTGTTTTTTTCTCAGTCATGAAACGCTTAAACAGGGGACATTTCCAGGGACAACTTTAGCCTTGGATAGGTCATCCAAAACGGGGACTGTCCCCTGAAATCAGGGATGGTTTGGCACCCTACAGTTCCTCCTTGCCAGCAAAGAGTTATTGGTAGTTTGAGACTGAGAGCGCTCAGAGGATTCATTAACCTCAGTCGGGTTCAGTGTTGCCAACTCCTCCGTGAGGAAAGTCGCTAGTGGCTGTCATAGAAGTCGCGAGACGATGTCATCGCCTATTTGCATAATCTTTCAGTGTAAAAATAGAAATGAAAATAGACTTCTGCTGATGTGTTTTGGCTGAAACAACCTCGGCTTCATTTACTGCTGTGTGAGCTAAAATAACTTCCTGATTTATGATGAGTTTGATTTAAGTTGATTGTTTTGTCATGCATGAATAAAAAAACAGCCTAATTAATAAAGAGAGACAATAAATCAAAGTCCACACCGTTAAAAGAAACACTTCTTTTTTGCTTAAGCACCAAAATCAGCCGACTTTTTTTGGCATTGTATGTTTTCATTTTTGAGGAAGGTCTTTTTTTAGCAGCCATGGGGACCTTAGCTCTTCCTCTCATAGTAATGGTTATAATAGTTTACTCAATACTGTGTTGTTTGCCTTCATCGTCTGCTCGTGTCTGTGTCTGCAGGGTCTGACTCATCTCCACCAGCACAAAGTCATCCACAGAGACATCAAGGGACAAAACGTCCTGCTGACGGAGAACGCAGAGGTCAAACTAGGTCGGTCTGATATCTAACCTCGACTTGACAAAACAGCTGTAGGACTAGGAAGGCAGGAGGAGTGTAAGGTTTCAGATGGCTCAACTGAGGTGTGTTTGCGTTAGTGTGTGTTTGTGTGTGTGTGAGGCTTTTCTTTCTTCTTTTATGCTGAATACTAGCCGACTCATCTCTGACGCTCTGCTGCTGCTCACGCTGCAGACTGCTGAAGAAGGAACTCTCTCTCTCTCTCTCTCTCTCTCTTTCTCTCTTGCTCGCTCTACCGCTAAAGCCCAGTGAGGAGGGGATTATAAACTCTGTGTGTGTGTGTTTGTTTGGTAATCAGGCCAGATATTGCAGGTTGGGTATTTTTCCCATTTAGAGTCCATTATAAAATCCAGTGAAGCTTACAAAGCACACAGCGAAAAATACGATTCAAGTAAAATGCCGACTAAATCCTGAATTACTGTTGCGCTTGTGTGTGTGTGTGTGTGTTTGTATGTGTATTCTCCCCACACAGTGGACTTTGGTGTTTCAGCCCAGTTGGACAAAACAGTAAGCAGGAGGAACACGTTTATCGGGACGCCATACTGGATGGCGCCGGAGGTTATCGCCTGTGACGAGAACCCCGACGCCACCTACGACTTCAAGGTGCTTCACCAACCTCCAGTTCAACAGGAGTGTGTCTGTTGTGTGTTTTTTTGGAGTGTTGATACACTTTGTGTCTGTCATTACAGAGTGATTTATGGTCACTGGGAATCACAGCGATAGAGATGGCGGAAGGAGCCCCGCGTATGTACCTCTCCAGTATCTGTTTGCAAAATTAAACTTGTTCAATAAGGAAGCGGTTGAGCAAAAACTGCAAATCTCTGAGTGGGATAATGATACAAGATCCAAGGATACAAGGTCGGAGTAGATTAAGTTGCATAAAGTGATGAATTGTTATTAGTATTGACAACTTTATTGATTCAGTGGGGGTTAATTCAAACAAGCTTCGACTTCACGTCTTGATTATGTTGAGCATAATAAGCCACATTCACCCTGTTTTCTTCTTGGCTCTTCAGCTCTCTGCGACATGCACCCAATGAGAGCGCTCTTCCTCATCCCGCGTAACCCAGCCCCCAGACTCAAGTCAAAGAAATGGTGAGTCTGTTCCTTTAATTTAGCTTTGCGTTTGTTGTTGCAGGTCCTAGTAAGCGTATTTGTTACACGCAGCAGTTTAATCGCGTATTCGTGTTTGCTTTCAGGTCCAAGAAGTTCCAGTCGTTCATAGAGAACTGTCTGGTGAAGAGCCACGACAAGAGACCAAGCACAGAGCAGCTCCTCAAACACCCCTTTATCAGGGACCTGCCCAACGAGAGGCAGGTCCGCATCCAGCTGAAGGACCATATCGACCGCACCAAGAAGAAGAGGGGAGAGAGAGGTGAGGACGGAATGATGCAATACTCTTACCCCAAAATTTCCACCGCATCCGGAACGGCAGCGATTTTCGCCGTCTGCCCATTCCCACCGGATCCATTTGTGAGGTGAATTTCGTGACGGATTACGGACAGCGGGAATCGCGAGAACTCACAAGAACCCGCGGATTCACGTGCAGTCGCGTGATAACAAGTTGTCTCTATCAAGAAAGCCACATAACCATCTAAGCAGTAGATTGAGTCCTTCCAGAGGAGGAAATCAACTTTGAGACTTCTAGAATCTGCATCTCCTCATCCGTGGTGTCATCGGGGTGAAATGCTGTCTAAAAACCTGTCACTTGTTCATCCCTGCCCATGTTTGCATCAGTGTTGTTTTCGTTGACGATGATGATGAAAATATTTCGTCAACGCCCCTTTTTTTCCACGATGAAGATGTGACATTGACGAGCTAAACATAAGTCTTAGATGACTAAAATGTGAGGAGACGAATGTGCGTTTACGTTGACAAGACAAGACTAGACGCAAACGTTATTGGTGGACGACAAACAGAGTTGCGAAATTCATGAGCATTTTGTCAGTCAATCGCTAAACATATAGGAGCAGCTTCAGTCCGCTCTGACAGCTGTCATCAGCCCACTGTGCACAAAAACAACACTTGTTTGCATGGTGTGAAATACGATCCGCCTGAAACACGGAGTCTTTTATTTTGAAAAGAAGTCTAATGTTTTATTTTGTGTCTGTGCTCGACTTCTTTCCAGCACAAGTTAATCTGTGCTGAATTTATCCAGCATGCTCCGGCATCTGGAAAAAATAGAACTCTTGCGATCAGCTGCGGAGTCCGCCGATCCACAGAGGAACGGAAAGACGCTTGTGGAAATTGACACATTAACTTGAATGGTTGTGATCAGCTGCGATTGGCGGATACGGCTTTTTCGTAGCCGTTCCAGATACGGTGGAAATTAGTGGTTACAGACTGACGCACAGTTTGACGTGAGAATTTTGTTTTTAGAGAAGCAGAAAATAAAAGTGACAAACCACATTTTCAAACTCAGTCTGAGTGACGGACTGACAGTTGCACACAGTAAAAACCACATTAACTGCTTCAAGAAACAAGACGGACTGCTGTCCCGCTGATGATGTATAGAAACCTCCTGTCACCACAGACACACTGTGTCTCTCTCCAGCTGTCACACTGAGAGGACAAGTCTGCGTGGATTTTTCTCTGGAAGAGCCAGAGTCTCTTCTACGACTGTTACGCTCTCAGACTAAAGCTGAAAGAGTGTCGAGCTAATGTTCTTCACCTCGCCACACACAGTCAAATTACAATTTATGCTCTTATTCAAAGCGGCTAAAAGAGGGTGCCTTGAAGGAGTGAGGATCAGGGGATGCCAAAATCGTGAGCGGTTTAGAAATGAATAAGAGGAGCTCAAGTGAAAATGAAAAATGGGAACGGGAATAGATTTGGTCTTTGGTTATTTCCTTTATTGTGTTATTTCTGTTACTTTTACTATTTAAGATTTTCCTTTTCCCCCGTCAGATGAGACCGAATACGAGTACAGCGGCAGTGAAGAGGAGGATGAAGATAGAGACATGGGTGAACCAAGGTCGGTGTCTTTTCTCCAGGATGTTCTGCTTCTCTCAAACACTTTTAACATCTTCTAACTAACCGATCCGTTTCCAGCTCCATCATAAACATACCAGGAGAGTCGACCTTGAGGCGGGACTTCCTGCGCCTCCAGCTGGCCAATAAGGAGCGCTCGGAGGCGCAGAGGCGGCAGCAGCTGGAGCAGCAGCAGAATGAGGAGCACAAGCGCTTACTGTTGGCCGAGAGACAAAAACGCATCGAAGAGCAGAAGGAGCAGAGGAGGCGCCTCGAGGAGGTAAACGAGACGAGGTTGAAGTAGAAACATGAAGTCTAACCTTTGAGATTAGCGAGAGTGAATTCTCGAGGTACAAAACAGACATCGCCCTGTCGTGGTCATCCTCTGGTTTCCAACTTCAACATTTCGGTTTCCTGGAGTCAGAGGAGGCTTTATTTGGTCAAGAGTTCTGATTCTTGAGTTATCAAAGTTGTACAATTTGTGCCTGCGGCTAATTCACAGCACAGACTCTTCGAGTACAAACTCAGCCAAGAAGTGAAGTGACTAATGTGTAGCACACAGCCAGCAGCATCTACCTGTCAGACTTTAGACTTCTAGTATTTCTCTGTAAAACTCAAAACCTTAATCAAGTCTAAATGATGTGAATCCTTCCCAGACAAGCAGGTTATATAACGCGACATATGTGAGTTCACACAGATTCAACCCTGTAATTTTCAAACGTGGACAATTGATCATTTTTAAACGCCACCGTTCTTCACCGTTGACAGCTCTTTGCTCTGCTATCAAAACCCTCAGACCTGTTTATGAGCCTTTTGGAGTACAGAGGGCCGAAACCGAGACAGAAACCCACTCTTCCCTCTGGGTCTCTCTCTTAGTTCCAGTCAGCTGGCTAACAGAAGGAAATCCTCTGCCCATAATCTGTGCACTCTGTCTAAGAGTTCGCCTCCCAACGCACAACTGAGCGCCATGACTCAACTTAACTATGATGACCCCTCCACTAAGGGGCAAGTGCGGGTCTGCGAACACATGCGAGAGAGTGTGAATGCACATGTACATTTCTTCAGTTTCTTCCGGGCCCGTTGTGGAGGTCCTGAAATTCAGCAGGAATAATCACACAAAAAGAAGCGATGATCAAACGTCTTCACATATCAAAGTTTCAGCATTCGTGTGACAATCTCCGCTGAGACGCGGTTCCTTAATTTGCGCGAAAACAGATAAACCCCCTTTTGTTCAGCGATCCTGAATCCTCTTGTGCTTCTGTTCTCCTGACAGCAGCAGCAGCGAGAGCGGGAGCTGAGGAAGCAGCACGAGAGGGAACAGAGGCGGCGCTACGAGGAAATGGAGCAGCTCCGCAGAGAGGAAGAGAGGAGGCATGCAGAGAGAGAGCAGGTTCATGCACTCACTGTTATATCATATTAAAAACACACTCAAGTTTGTAACGTCATGACGACTCGAGTCCAAAATCAGAGATCTGCCCTTAAACTTTTCCGTTGTTTTCTTTTATTTTTCTTCTTTTTCTGTCTGAGTCACTCTGATTTTTCTCCCTTAAATTACTTCAGGGTGAGATTTTTCCTTTTTTTTCTTTCTTTGGTGGAAGAATTTAGTTTTAGACCCATGGAGCTCTGACAATAATCTGATGACACATCATTTTCTGAGCTCATGGGTTCATCCACATGGGTCGGACATGATCTTACTCGCAGCATTTTGATCTTGGATAAAAAAGACTAAAACAACTCTTTCATTATGTTGCTCAATTGTTAACTATGAAAGCCTTAAAGGTACAGTAAGCAATTTTTAAAGGTACAGTAAGCAGTATTTAAAGATACACTTTGCAATTTTAAAGGTGCAATCCGTAATAATTAAAGGGGCAGACTGCGAGATTTAAAAGGTAAAGTGTAATATGTTTAAAAGTGCAGTTTGTAGTATTTAAAGGTGCAGTGCGCAGTTTTTAAAGCTTATGTGTGCATTATTTAAAGGCGCAGTCTGCTGTATTTAAAGGTGCAGTGTGCAGTGCTTATAAGGTAAAGTGTAATATATTTAAAGTTGCACACTGCAGTTTTAAGGAACAGTGTGCAATATTTAAAGGTACAGTCTGTAGTAATAAAAGGAGCAGACTGTAGTATTTAAAAGGTACATTGTAATATGTTTAAAAGTGCAGTTTGTAGTACTTAAAGGTGCAGTGCACAGTTTTTAAAGGTTAAGTGTGCATTATTAAATGGTGTAGTTTGCTGTATTTAAAGGAGCAGTGTGTAGTTTGTAAAGGTTAAGTATGCAAGTGTTAAGTAAGTAAGGTTAAGTATGCAAGAGTAATATAGGTGCATCCTGCAGTATTTAAAGGTGCAGTCTGTAGAATTTGTAGTTTCAGTCTGCAGTATTTATTGTCATTTATTAGAGCAAACTTGTTAGATAGAGAATATATCATCCATCAGTCAGTTGAAATTTAACCTGGAGTAAATATATGGATGCATGTCCCTTTAGGGCTCCTGTAATAATATTGCCCATTTTGCTAATAACTGAATATGATTTTTTTACCAGGTGACGCCAAGATAAATTTGTGATTGTTGAAATCCACTAACACCTCACTAAATTACGTGTACATGGTGGTGCTAAAAATCTGCAGGCTACTGTTGCATCACTGTCTAGTCTTGGCCTTGTTTTATTTAGAAACTTATTATGTAACCGTTAAAAATACAACAAAAATGACATCCTAGACTGTGACTGCTGAAGATGTGAGTAAGCCCTCACCTTGGCTGAGGCTGCATGCATCCTGGTTCATGCAGGCACTGCTGGCAACTTTGCACAATCAGATCTCAGCCCTCCCAGTGAGTGAAGAAGCGCTGAGGAAACAATCAAACAAGTTTTCCATCAGCGCTGAAACGCTGGATGAGAAAATGCATCAACATCTCTGTCTAAAAAGTAATCATCTGTTTGATACAACAGCTTGTTTTATTGACAAGAAATGAGTGTGATTTGGAGATGATAAGACACACGCCGTCTTTCTCCACTCTCAAACTAAATGTGCTCAGGCGTGCGTTAAAATCTTGTACTCGGTAGTATCCGTGCTTGTACATCTTCCTGGCTGTGAGCAGTTCTTTCTCTTGTCCTCCTACTGAACTTACTGTTTTTCTGCTGTGTACTTTCTGTCTTTCCTGGTCTGTCTTTATCGCTCCGTCTCTCTCCTCCCACACTATTCAACTGTTCCGGAAAGATATGTTCAAAGCTATTTTTTTCTCTGTGCACGTCATTTTTTTTTCCTTTGTAGCACATTACAATTGTTCGAGAACATGGCCTTCTTTCCTCCATCTGCCTTCTGATTCCCTTTTCACTCCTCTTTATTGTCACCTCGAGAGATTAACTCCTGTATTCTTCTTTCTATCTCTTGTCTGTTATCTCTCTGTCGGTGTTTGGATGTTCAGATTTCCTGATCTTGTTCTCAGTCTATTTCTATCTCCTTGTGCCGACATGCCGCTCAGGAGTATATCCGTAGACAGCTGGAAGAAGAACAGAGGCAGTTAGAGATCCTCCAGCAGCAGCTACTACAGGAACAGGCATTACTCCTGGTAACCACAGAGCTACTACTGCTCCCCATCTGTGCTGTGTGGCCCCCTTTCCCCACTGCATGCACCCATGTGGCACCCATGTTGCACAATGGATCTGACTGTGTGGGAATCCACAGTCTGACTCTTTAAACCACGGATTTAAAGAAAAACATGATGCAGAAAAAAACAATTGCCTTATCTCTAATGTTTGTGGTGAATTTATTCCCATCACTGATTGCATGTACAGCAGCATTAAGTTAGCTGGATCTCAAAAGACTCCCCAGAGGGTGCAGAAAACTGCTTTGTCAGCCTCGATCATGTCGGCCTACACCAAGTGCGAACATCCAAGAGAAAATAGGACACTGTTATTCTCCAAGGAGGGTTTCTGTGCTGCCCCAGTCTTGTCTAGGGCGACAGCTCTGTGCATTATTTCTGAAAATATGTCTTTTACATTTATCAGGCTGAGTCTTACATCCCATTTGAATAGAAATTTGTCCAAGGGGTTAAAGAGAGAGCCTGTTAGGAAAGCTTTTGAGATCCAAAACGAAGCAGTGTTGTCTGAAAAACCATCTTTTTCCCTCTCCTTTTGCATCCTTTGCACCTCCTTTCCACCCAGTACCAAAACTTGGTGTTTGTTTACAGCACCCCAGTTGTCAATATTGTGCCCATCAGTTCTGTTTGCATGATTTGTCATAGTCACAAATGTCACAGTCCTGTCTCTCATCTCTGTGTCCTCTCTCCGTCTCACCCCCCCAGGAATACAAGCGAAAGCAGATAGAGGAGCAGCGGCAGGCCGAGCGGCTACAGAGGCAGCTCCAGCAGGAGAGAGCCTACCTGGTGTCTCTGCAGCAGCAACAGCAGCAGCAGCAGCAGCAGGAGGGAAGGCAAGCTGAGAAGAAACAGCTCTACCACTACAAGGATATCATCAATCCTAATGACAAGCCTGCCTGGGCTAAAGAGGTAAGTACCAACATGCATGGCTTACAAAGAAAGGCGAGCATGCAGTGAGTAAATAAATCTTAACCTTTGAGGAATGTAGTTCACTGAATATGTGCATGTTTTCTCCCTGTAATGATTTGGACATAAAACACACCGAGTTGCCTTTAAGTGCTGTTCACATCTTATCCAGCAGGTCCAAGTAAAAGCAGCATTAAAGAGGTGGAAGCGGGGAGACCTCACTTTTTAATATGAATATATTTAAGAATGAACTGTAGACTGTGTATAAGAAATAATGGCTAGTTTATGAAGCCCCTGAGTGAGCCTGTATTCGACATTTTATTGATTATCAGTGTAGAAGTTTTTCCAGCAAGTCTTGCGGGCCGTTCAAACCAAGCGCAAGTAAAATCATCTACTTGCTTAATTCACGCATATCTAGACGTTTGAATAAATAGTCTTTATTCGCTTCATTCGCGCGTCAACTGTAATTTCAACGGTAATCCCTGCCAAATTAACTGGCAGGATCAAGTGATAGACAAAGGCTTTTTTACAATTTACCAGGTAATCTGACCCCCTCACTCACTTGCCTCCAGGCGAGCTCCTTTTTATTCCGGTTTCGCTAATCTGAAGAAAAGGTATCATGTAATTCGGGGCACCTACACACCGACTCAATCAGTTTGTCCTCCATTTTAGAAACCAGTGAACAACCGTACATTTTCATATGTAGGCCTGGACGATATAGAAAAAAAGCATATCGATAAAAAATAAATCATATTGATCGATATCGATAATTATCGATATGATTATTATAATTATTTAACATATATTTTAATTGCAGCCCTGGATGTTTTTATGCTATTGCTTAATGACCTACTTTTAATAAAGAACACACAAGCACTGAATTCAAATTCAAACCTTTATTCAACCACCTTTTTTTTTTTTTACAACTGAAAGTTTTTTAAAAAAGAACTAAAAAAAAAAAGAAATCAACTTAAGTGGCCTGAGTGACATCAGTAAATACTGACAAACATAGACTAAAGTGACCAGAAAATCTGATAAATAAATATTTAAATAGTCTTTTGATGAAAATAAACAAAACAAACAAATATATAAATAAACAGAACAGCTTTAGGTGGGAATAGCATACTACCAGGTTTAACTGTGTGGGAAACTGCCCACAGCCTGGTGTCTGAACACTAAAATATTTCTCCCGGGGTCGGGAGATTTATTTTTTTTTAATTATCATGTGATTGACTTAATACACAAACTAAGCACGAGAAGCAGGACTTATCCACGCCGGTGTTGTGTCGTAGAATGCACCCCTGCCGAATGCACCCCCTGCTAGTAGCCATGATCCAAATACTCGCGTCTTTGTAAAATATGAGCTCATTTTCTTCCACTTTAAGAAGCTAATGAGTGGACGGGATACAGGGGTGCATTCTACGGTACAACACCGGAACGTATTTCCTCCGCACCCTTCTCACCTTTTCAACCCCTGACCCATTTTCATGCCTGAAGCGCTGTGTTTGAGAAATACTTGCGGCCGGGCACTTCATATCGCGGGTCGAGAGTGGCTAGAAGCTGGTCGAAGCCAGGCTTTTCAACGGTAGTTATTGGCAGTATGTCCCTCGCTATGAAGCATTTTACTGCATGGGTGATGTCCTTATGCCGCTCGAACGCTTTGTCGTATTTTGGCAAGAAACGAAGTCCAGTTTGGTCTGCTTCACATGCTTTGTGCTGGTGCTGGCAGCGGTTCCAGAGGATTCCTCCTCCGACGACGTGGAGCCGCGGCGCGGCCGACACAGCTCGTACTCCTGCGGCTGCGATCGGTTTAGATGGTAAAACAAGTTGGTTGTGTTACCAGACTTGGTTTTTACTAATTCTCTGCAAATTTTGCAAACGACCGCTGTTCGCTTTTTGTCAGACTTCTAAAAACCAAAACATTGCCATGCTGGTGAACTACTGAAACCTTTTTTCGGGACAATGTCCTCCGCTTCTCCTTGCTGTATCATTTTTTCTAATACACGTGCTGTCTGTTGTGGTTTGAGAGGGGCTGGGCTTGGTGCCGTAGCGTACCTGGGTCTGCGTTTGTGATTGGTTGGGAGGAAGTAATGACTGTAGTAAAAGCTACATGATAGGCTATGATGAAAAAGAAAGGGACACTGTGTTTTTCTATCGAACTTTTTATCGACCCGTTTTTTTTCTATCGTACCACACGTCTATCGATCGATATATATTGTTATCGAATTATCGTCCAGCACTATTCATATGTCACCCGGCGACCTTCGTGCTGATCAGTTATCGCAATGTGAATACCCACTCAAGTCGGGATTTGGAAATTTGCGTCATTCATGCCGCCAGAGTATTACAAGCGTCTAATCATGTTATTCATATGCACGATTGGTTTTGCTCGTGCTTGGTGTGTGGCGACAGTAACTCCTACACCATTTTGACACAAAGTGCATTTTCCTGTTTATTTGTCACTGAGCTATCATGCAGATTTTTTGCAGTGGTGTTGTTATTTACCATTACGGCTGCAGCTCGATTTAGGAAGAGGCTGCAGCTGCTTAAGTATGGTGTGCCAAAAGGGACAAAATAGCATGCAGTTGAAAAAATACAACAGCACATTAATTCAGACACTAATACTGATGCTGGCAGCCTCAAAAGTTCAATCAGCCATTTTTTATACACAGTCTATGGACTTGTTTCGTGTGTGTGTGCCTGTGTTGTTGCTCACCCTCCTCTGACTCTGACTTCTAGGTCCCGAAGCCGCAGCAGCATGTTCAGGGTAACCCACCCCGCCCTCACCTTCGACATCATCAGTCATTTTGTCAACCAGCTTCATCCGCTGGCTTTCACGGCCAATCCAGAGCTCAAGCACCTAGGCGAACCCCGTCCCATGCTGCCCAGCTCCTCTCCAACAACCTACCCCATATCCGTATCTCACTAGACCCTTGTGAACCCCTAGATCCAGGGCTGAAGGAGGAGATAAGTCAGCAGGTCAGGGAATTTAGGGCTCAGAGACTCAGTCAGAGGAGCTGCAGCCCAGGTTCCATTCAGGAGCACAACCAGGCCGCTGGCCAAAGACCCAGTAGAGGGCCTAGTAAGATTCATAAAGAGCATGCAGGCCAAGGGCAAGTCAGCCAGTCTAATCCAGCACAAAACCTTCATCCTTCTGGGCCAAGTAATCAGAAAGAAAAGCCAAGAGACAGGCCTCTCTCTGCCCCAAGTCAGGGGGCCATTCATGGCCTAATGTCTCCAGAGCCTCAGCCTAAAGTCCTTCAAGCTCATCCTCAGTCCCCAGGACAGGTCCAGAAACCTCAGTCTGGACCTTACCCTGTGGTCAAACTGGTTAGTGCTCGTCATCGTAGCAGGTCACACTCGCCTTCCTGTAGAATAGATGTAGAAATAGAACCAGAGTATCAGGGATGGGGGCAGAAAGCGATGAGGCCAGTTTCCAGTTACGAGTGTCTCAGGATGCCCTCGGACTGGGAGGTCCCAGAGTTACACTCAACTGACCCCCTTTCTAGATCTTTCCCTGACAATGCTCTGTACGCCTCCCAACCTCTCCACTCACCTTATGGCAATTTCCTCCAGGTCCCAGATAACCATTTCCCAGCTTTTAACCGGGGTAGAAGAGGAGAGGGATGGGGGCAGAGATCACTAAGTGCTAGCTCCTCTGAGTGTGACCTTAGTGCTTCTGCCCCAGCAGACATACTCAGACAGCACATGGGCCGATCTGTTAATGGCCGCCCCTGTTTTGCAGTGAATCCTCCAGCAAGTCCACTGCCTTGGTTGGGTCTCTCTCCTCGTACCTCCCCCCAAACCTCACCAACCCTCTCCCCCTGTTCTTCAAAGTTGTCCTTAAGTCCTGTGTCCTCTCCATTCTCCCCCGATGGCTTTGTGCCCATCAACTCCCACCGGTCACCTTCACCGAACCGCATCCCGTCCCCTCTGCCCTCCCACATCCGCTTTTCTTATCTTGTCTCACCTGACTCCACCCCTCGCTGCTCCCCATCTACCTCTCCCTTTGGATCCCAGACCCGGCTTTGTGTCAGATCTGTTGAGTGCTAGTGCCAGTGGAGGACACACAAAGAAACACACACACACACACACTTAAACACAAACACACTCACATTTTTGTACTTCCATATTTGTGACTGAAATACTACATTCTTTGGCCACAAATCCTACCCTTAACCAAAACAACTACACATCAGCTTAACTCCAGCGTTTATCCTATTTGCCGTAGCTTGGGTTGCTCGTGGTACTAGTTGACACCATTTTTAAGGTGTTGGTACACGCCGTTTCTTTGAGCACTTCATTTGAATGTTTTCTTGGCATTAAAAAAAATGTAAAAATTTTTGATTTTCTTATTAAAAAAAAAAAAGTAACACCCAATAACTACAGTCCAAAAACAGTTCCCACATTTGGTTTCCAATCAAATCTTCTCCTGCGTGGAAAACAAAAAATCTAAACTCGATCCTGTTCTGAATAAAGTTCCAGGAACTTTTTCTACCCCTCTAAAAGGACGTTGCTCTAGAGGTGGTACTTACCAAGAGTTCAGTTTTGCCTTTACACAGGTTGACCAATCTGTCTAATTTTCACACATTATTACACTTAAATGGAAAAAAATTTGCAACAGTTAGCTAGAGCAAACGCAAAACCTTAAAAAAGGTCCCAGGACTTAAAGGTAATCCTTTAAGCCCTCTAACCCTAAAAGTTAGAGTTGAACTACTTTTCACAAAGATGGAAGTACAACAGCAAACACACATGTTGAACTCACATAACACACAACATTGTACAGTTAATTATACATCTGTAAGTACACGTATGTTTATCTCTGTAAAACAGAATTGGTTTATGGGTAATTTTTTAATCTAAATAGCAACCGTTATCGCTTATCTGTATTCATCCTCTGCTGGGACTAAGACCCAAATGGAAGAAGTTGATAATAGGGGACAGTTTCTAATAATACCTCAGTCCATTGATAGTGTAGTTAACCAGAGCCCCACCCTGAGCCCCCACCCTGCCAGCCCTCCTATCACCCAGTGTCCCATCAACCATCATGGCAAGCTGGTTCTAGCTGAATTGGTGCTCTTGCCAGCGGGGATACCCGCCCATCCATACTTCCTTTTAGGTCAGTCAACCAGTCAATAAAATCTTGGCTTGGTAATGGGTTCGGACCAAATGGTGATGGGATCCTTCTTGAATTTTATAGGATGCCGTCTGTCCTCCATCTCTTCACTCTCCCAATACTTTTGTCTTTCTGTTTCGTAGATACTACAGTAGCCGCCATCAACTTCTTCTAATGCTGTGTTTTGCCTTTTGGGAATCTCTGCCATGAGCTTCATTTCCACCACTAAAAGTTCCAGGGACTTTTGGGGCAACCCACTGCATTTCATAACAGAGGGGCCAAGTCTCAATAGAGTACCTGGGACTTAATTTTCACTCCTATATGATAACACAAAGTCCCTGGTAATTCTTAGCAACCAATTGGTCCGAGAAAAGAAGTACTTTATGATATTAGAGGAACTTTTTATGTGACACTTGCAGCACTTGAAATATTTGATTGGTTGATTACCAGTAAAGAAATTTTAGCTTGATGGAAATGCAGACAACATTGGCCGGAAAGAACCTTGTAACCCCATGAAGAAAATATCTAGCGCCTGGTTCAAATAGTTCTTGGCACTTTTGGTGGAAATGTGGCAATAGCTGAGAGAGGTCATCTTGGCAGACACAAATAGGGAGCAGTTTTGCACTTCCTAAGGTTTCTTCATTTCTTCTGAGGTTCAGTTGATGCTGATTCTAACCTTGACCACAAACTACCTCCACAGACACTTCAGCAGCAGTTCTCCTCATGAATCTCTTGGTTTCCCCTTTTCTGTCACTTCCTTGTATTTAGTTGTCCTCTGTCTACAGTCATTTGTCCGTAGTTTCACTCCATCTGCAGAAGTCTTTTTTTGTAGAAAGCCCCTCGTAGGAAACTAACAAATGACACAGCGCGGCATAGCTGTTCTGACCCAGGTCATAATCTTGGATAATCTGACTAGATCATGCAAAGATCATGCTTACCTGGGAGCTATCGACACTATGCTTTGCTGAGCCATAGCCCGATCCTACACTAACCGTTGAGTCGATTGTTTAGAGATGGAAAAGTGTGATTTATGCAGCTGGGAGCATTCCTCAGAGCCCCCTCTCTCTCTCTCTGCACAGCAGATAATCTGATAATCTGATTACACTGGCTGCAGGAGCTTTCTGCCTTACTCACTGTGCATAGATGTGATGCTCGGTCAGTAGAGACAGTTACACAAACTCTCATTAGCACTAACAATCAGACGTGGTTTAAACATGTGCGCACACACGACATTCACTTGTGGTGGAATCATTGATTTCTGGGTTGAATGTGGTGATTGTTGATTCTTGACCTTTTCCCAGCAGCCATCAGACACTCTGACCTCTCATCTTTGTGTAGAGACCCACATGCATGGATAATAGCGTCCACATTTTTGCTTGCAGCTGTCTTTTGTTGTGATTTATTACATGACTTGCCTTCTCAGTTTGATTTACTCAAAGCTGCTTTAATGATTAAAGTTGGAATTTTCCTCACAGCAGTTGAATCCTGTCAGGGATTCTGTGGAAAATGTGGGTTTTTTTTCCACTTGTGGATCACAGGGAAGATAAGACTTCCACTGAATCTCACAGCTGTTGAGTCATGATTTGGAAAAACAAGTTTAGACGAAAAAAGAAAAGTGGGCAAGGCGTGGTCTCTCAAAGCTGAGAAGAAAAGACTGTCTGGTGGTTTTTATTGCACGCATGACATTGATTGATCGATCGATACCCACAGCGGATAAAGCGTGGTGATTGGTTGCTGGCCTGTGAACTGTGAGTGACAGTGGCGCGTGTGTGTGTGTGACCCCGTCTCAGGTGGAGGAGCGATCTAAGCTGAACAGACAGAGCTCTCCAGCGCTCCAGCACAAAGTGTCCAACCGCATCTCCGACCCCTCTCTCCCTCCCCGCTCCGAGTCCTTCAGCAGCGGGGGCATGCAGCCCGCCTGCACCCCACCCATCCACCGCTCCGTCGAACCGCAGGTGTGTGTGTGCGTGAACGTGTGTGGGAGGCATGGGAATGTTTGGTGTGTTTTCAAGACACCGGAAACATCACAAAACCAAGTGCCTTATCACATGAACTCCTCTGGAAGTTCATGTCCCTGTACACTTGTGTCTTTTCTTCATTTCAGATCAAATTTCTCTATTTTGTTTTCCACATTATTGATGCGGCTGTCTTTGCCTCTGTTCATTTCTCCTTCTACATATTTGACCTGATTTCTTTCCTCATCTTTCCTAACTTTGGATCTTCATCTGAATCTAGCCCAAACCTTCATCCCTCCACCAACAGGCTCTCTCTCGATTAATGTATTTCTTTCTATCGTTGCTTCTTTCTATCTCTGCTTCTCCATCGACCTACTTCCTTCTTCCCTAAACACCTTCAACCATCCATCCACTCAAACCTGTCATTTCTCCCTCACCAGATGGCTCACCTGGTCCCTGTGAAGACCCACTCTAGCTCCATGTCTGGTTCTCAGTCTCTGCAAGACCAGACGGGCTCGGCTCTGAGTGAGGGCATCAGCATCGGCTCCCCGAGGCCTGATATGCCTCGCCAGAACTCAGACCCAACTTCTGACACCCCCGGGGCCCCGCTGCGGGTCACAGGAAGGGAGGATCGGGACAGAGACAGGGAGAGGGATCGGGACAGGACAGCCTGGCTGAGAGAGGAAGATATCCCACCCAAGGTAGGAAATCAGGGACTGGCAAACATGAAGCAGAGTTTTTCTTGTAGAAGATACCTCCCAAAATCAAATGTTTGAGGTTTTTATTTGTTCTACTCTTTGGATGAATCGTTTCATGTGAATTTATCTGCATGACTTTGCTCTGTTGTGTTCTGTTGCAGACATGCATTCCTTCTGAATCAAATTCACTTAACACAAAGCGTCTTTGATTGATGGTTTCAACAGGTTTGGTTTCATAGCTGTTCGAATGTTGACTTATGAAACCTGAACTCACAGTGAAAGGATAATTAATGAAAGATTTCACAACACGTAACTGGCACTTTGATAACTTCCAGAGAACTGCAGGGCTTCTACTGTTGACTTGAGTGGAAAAACAAACATTATAAAACTCACTGCCTATAAATCAATCAGATTTAACATCGTGTGCCAGACGTCTTTGAACAATCAAAAACATTTTGTATGAAACTTTGAAACTCTGGTTACACTTTACAATAACCATAACTTATAAATGGTAAAACGTCCATTTGTAAATGGTAAGCAGATAGTTTATTAATGTTTAATCATTATTTATAAATAGCATATAGACCATTATCAAAATGTAAATTTACAATAACCATCTAAGTAATGTTTATAGATGGTTTAAAAACCAAATATTAACTATTTACAAAGTGCTACTGACACACATTTTAATCTAGATGTTTTACAACCAATATTTAAACCCTATATAAACCTTTAATAAATAGTCCATTAATAATTATTGAAAATTATTAATCATAATTTCATTGCTTGTTAATGGTAAAATCACTATTAACTTACAGTAAACTATCTATTTGCCATTTATAAATTCCGGTTATTGTAAAGTGTTACCGTAACTCTTTTATTAAGTAAAGCTAATACTGTGACCTTTTTGTTTGGGGTGTTTTTTGATGTCCAGGTGCCACAGAGGACCACGTCCATCTCCCCAGCCTTGGTCAGGAAAAATTCACCTAACGGAGGAGTGGGTCTGGGCCCTCGCACAGGCTCTCAGCTCATAAGGGCCAGGTAAATATGAAAGCAGCCGCTTATTACCCTGCTAACATAGTAACTGAACAGCAGCATTATTTGACATTACTGCGTATTCATATGTCTAAAACATTGAAACAATGTTTTCCTCTTGTTTTAGTAACCCAGACCTGCGGCACTCCGAGCTCTCCCTCGACGCCATCCTGCAAAGAACTTCCTCCAACTCGTCATCCTCCTCTTCCCCTTCATCTCAGGGAGGCTCAGCAGAGAGGAGAGGTACAAAAACACCAGATAAAGACCTACATAAATCCATACATACAGTGCTCAGCACAAATGAGTACACCCCTTCAGAGTTGTCAGAAAACCTTTAGTTTCCCTTCAAAATCAACATTTTCTGTGTCAGACTATGTTTCAATTTAAAATCAGGATGTGAAAATAAGTACACCCCAATCAAAGTTCTGGGAGAGCTAAATTTTAGTTACCATATCACCCTTATTTTCATCTTATGGTAAATAAAATGTTATGTAAAACTCAGCTTTGTCAAAACGTTGGAAATTGTACGTTAGCTCATCTAGATATTGAGTATATTAATACATTACTTTTAATAGAGGGTGTACTGACTTATGCTGGGTACTGTATATGCGCATGCACTCACACTGTTCACAGCCACGCTTGCATGCAACACCAAAAAACCAGCTCATGTACTTCTTCTTGTAAACATGAAAATTCAGACACCAAATCTTACCGACGCCTACATCCACTCACACAGCTTGAGCGGGTTTCAGAGGCTATCAGCCGCAGTTCTGCTCTGATCAACCTGTCTGATGTGCCCTGTTGCTCCCAGCCTCCAGAGAGATAGAGGAGAGGAAATGAGGGAGGAAGAGAGAGAGAGAGGCGCACAAGGGAGTGTCAAACGACAGGCCAGGGGGGATAGTTTAGATATGCATGGAGTCCCCTTTGATGAGCACATAGCATAGAGTGGTGAAAGTGAGGTGTGATTGGTTTCCTTCAGGTTTGTCAGGTGTGTTTATCATTTAACCCTAGGGTTCAAATCTAACAGGAAGTATGGAGACAGAAAAACCTGACAGCTTACATCTTTTTGTCGGTTAGACTTGCAACTTTTTCCTTCCTCTGATAGGTCAAGCCAAGCAGGAAGGATCCCCTCCAGGAGCCAATCAGGAGGCCAAACCCAAACAAGAGGAGGGCCGTGAATCAGCCAGACCAAGCAGACCTGCTGTGAGTCACACAACACACAACACACACACACACGTACACACACACTCTTTTTTTCTGTCGCAGCAGTCTCCTCTCTCTAAAGAAGAAGAAGAAGAAGCCTGTGGAGGACTTCATCTTCTTCTTTTTTCATCTTGATTCATCTGCTTCTCTCTCTCTCTGCCTCCCTCTCTTTGTCCTTTCATTCTTCAGAGCTATAAGAAAGCCATAGATGAGGTTAGTGACACTCGAGTCCCCCCCCCTCCTTATTTTAAACCCGGTTTTCATTTCCCCTCGTTCTTCAGAGATCCTGTTTTTCCTTCTGGCATGGTGGAGTTAGTCGTTTTTTAGAGAGGATGATGTTTGTTTCTTTAACCTGGAAGCATCAGAGTGTAATGGCGATGGCAGTGCATGTGTGCTTCTACACACACATACCCGAGAGTATGTACAAGAATGAGTGCTTGTGCGAGTGTGCGTGTGTGTGTGTGTGTAAATGCATGAGTGTGTGTGTGAGAGTGAGAGTTGGGGTTACGTGACCTGCCAAGCACCTGATAAGTCTCTGCATCTCTTTCTCCTGTTTCTCTGTCGTCACTGTTACTGGTCAGGAGGAGCTGGTAAGAACCACCGTGTATGACGGCTTTACCCCCCGTCCGCATGACTTGGTCTGATCCATCGGCGGGGTTGAACAGGGAGGGTGGGGAAAGGGGAGGATCCACAGGAGAGTTGGCATGGGGGTGAAAGTCGGAGGGGTTGCAGTGTGATGCAGTTGAACATGGAGCCTCAGTCTGATTGTACTCCTCTTTTCTAAAGACCCCGTTAAAAACTGCTTGTGAGAAAAAAAGTGTTTTTCTGCGATCACTTCTTATCTCACAAATTTAAAGCTTTCAAACATCGGTCAGATGAGGTGGTCTCAGATCAGCACTTTTACTCAAGGACACCTACAGTTTGTTTCCAAGCCCGGATGTTTACGTGACAACGCTTGAGTTGTCTCCTTGTCATGATGGTTTGTCCTTCTCTCAGCCCCTCTTTCTCTCTCCCCTGTCTGTGTGTGATTTTCCTTCAGTTCAGAGACTAATGATACAAAAGTGATCAGTTTTTTTTTTAACCCATTTTCTCTCTCTCTCTCTTTTCTGTTCCTCGCTGCAGGACCTTAGTGCTTTGGCTAAGGAGCTCAGAGAGTTGAGGGTAGAGGAGGGCAGCAGACCTCCAGTCAAGGTACAGGGATCATTATTATTATTATAATTATTGAACTAAAAGTCAAAGTTTTGCTATAAAAGGCAAAAGTGTGATAAAAGTTTATCATAATGAGACAATACTTTATTATAATTCTGACTTTTTATTCCATAAATTCAACTTTTTATCTCCCAGTTCAGAGGTGATCTGCGGTCTTTGACTTCCTTCTTTTTCTTGTTTCTTTTGAATATTTTTTTATGACTTTAATGAAGAGGATGAGACAGTGGATAGAGCAGGAAATGAGTGAGAGAGCAGTGGATAACATCGTCGAAAGGGTCCGCAGTTTGGCACAAAACCCATCATCTTGTAGTTAGAATTATCCACCAAGTAAACAGAACTTTAAACCTCAATGTTGTGAATTTCTTTTTAATAATTTGGACTTTTTAGCTGATTATTTACTTTTTTTTTTTTTGAACAAGCACAGTGTTTAGTCAATAGTGAACATTTTACCAACATATCACAGGTGTTTTTAGAGTCCCCATGATACGGCACTCTTATTAAAGCTCCTATAAGTAGTTTTTTGACATTTATTGAAGAGACTGAAATTGATGTTTTCTTTTAATGATATACAAAATCATACGAGACCATCAGCAACAAGACTGAAGATTTTTATGTCCTTGTTTTATTGTTTTATTATTTTATTGTAAAGTGTTGTCAAGTTTTATTGTCTGAAACCAGGGCCAGAGGGTAGGTCCACGCCTCACAGTAAATGAAACATTTGTCTGTCAAAAGCCATCAGGAGGAGGTTGATTGTCCCTCAAGCATGCAATGAACAAGATAAGGAAACACCGCTTTGTCCACAAAACAACAAGTTCCTCACAGGAGATTTTAAACAGGAGGTTAAAGAAGGACTTTTGCAAATATTGATTGTCATTTTTTATGGTTTGGAAGTCTCGCTGCAAGTCTGCACCTGACCGAAAGTACCGAAACAGATGAATACGGTAGCTAACAGAGCTGAATGTGAGATTATTATAACAACAACATGACAAACATTTGATAAAAGTCCTAAAAAGCACCTTGTGATTTATTGTTTGTTTTTGTTAATTTAATGTCTGAAGGTGACAGACTACTCGTCCTCGAGTGAAGATTCAGAGAGCAGCGATGATGATGGAGAGACGGTGGGACACGATGGGACTGTTGCCGTTAGCGACATTCCTCGCATCATGTAAGACGTCGCCTCTGTTTTCATTTCGTATCCTCCCTCATGCTGCAATTGTCAGCGTTGATTTGTGTCCAGATATTCACATCTTTGGAATGTGCGCCGTGCCAGCAGCCTGTCAGGATAGTTTTGGCAAAATTGCTCTGTAAATAATCTGGTTTATTGTGTGTGACTCTGTGTGTGCGTCTGTGTGTGTGCGTCTGTGTGTGTGTTACAGGCCGGCAGTGCAGGGCAGCAGCGAATCATATGGAGGGCTGACAGAGGACTCTCTGGGAGACGCCTATAATAGCTCCAAGGACGGCACTTTAGTGGTGAGAGAGGTGATGAATGTGCATAGACACACACAAACACACAAATACACACAGTAGCCACCTGAAAAAAACTGTTTTTGTTTTTCTTCCTGATCACTTTATCTTTATCATTTAAAACTTTATCTGTTGTTAGTTTTCCTCTCATTCCTTTCTCTCTTTCTCTCTCTCTCTTTTTGCGTCTTTTTCAGGCTGAGGAGAGGAGGAGAGGCGGTCACTCTGAGAGTAATGGGTTTGGCAATCACAGTAACCATGGTAACCTCCCGGACCTCGTGCAGCAGAGCAACTCTCCCTCTGCCACACCCACCTCAGCCCTGCAGGAACTCGGGGAAATGGCTGAGGTCAGATTCAGACACTTACTCCGTGATATGTGAATGAACATTGAAAATCACAGTCGATAAAACTCTTCTTTAAAATGATTAAACACAACATGTTTACTACTATTTTCTTTCATACAGTTTGGCGTGGGCGGGTCCAAAGCATCCTTTACCCCATTCGTGGATCCACGAGTCTATCAAACCTCCCCAAGTGACGACAATGAGAACTCAGCAGCAGGTAAGCACAGCAGAGAAAAGTACTGGTTCATTTTGCACCTTCAACGCTTAAATTAAAAAAAAAAGAAATGACTTCCTTCTTTCTCTATATTTGGCAGCCATGTTTGCAAATGAGCTGCTGAGGCAGGAGCAGGCCAGACTAAACGAAGCCAGAAAGATCTCCGTGGTCAATGTCAACCCCACGAACATCAGACCTCACAGCGACACACCGGAGATCCGCAAATACAAGAAACGCTTCAACTCTGAGATCCTGTGCGCCGCACTCTGGGGTAAGAGGAGCGTCCTCCATCTTTGATTTGTTCTTCCTTTATTTTGTCCTTTCTGTGTCTCTAACTGTGCGTGTGTGTGCGTGCTGCAGGTGTGAATCTGCTGGTGGGGACGGAGAACGGTCTGATGCTGCTGGACAGGAGTGGACAGGGAAAAGTCTATAATCTGATCACTAGAAGGCGCTTCCTACAGATGGATGTACTGGAGGGGCTCAACGTGCTGGTCACCATATCTGGTAAGTCCGATTCAGATGAAAACACATTGTCTAAGTAAATAAATAAGCATCTATAGTCAGAGATCTGGGCTCTTTTATTCCCCTTAAGTCCATGACCAAATAATCTGCCTTTTTTGTGCTCTGAGCTGCCAAGTAGGTCTCTAAAATATTTAAGAAACCTCTCCTCATCTCTCCCGCTCGCTCTCCTCAGGGAAAAAGAATAAGTTGCGTGTCTACTACTTGTCCTGGCTGAGAAACAGAATATTACACAACGACCCAGAAGTGGAGAAGAAGCAGGGTTGGATTACGGTCGGGGAGCTGGAGGGCTGCGTGCATTATAAAGTCGGTGAGGATCTCTGTGTTTGTTTTCGCGGTTCGATTAGATTAGCCTTCATTGTCTCCTTTAGGATACATTTCACTCATGAATGAACACATGAATTTAAGCCACAAGTGCTCATATTGGGCTCGACCTGTTGTCAAAGATTGAGCTGATTTTCTTTCTTCAAATTCAACCAAACATGGCGAGAGATTATCGAACTTTTCTTTGCCTTAGGCGGTGAAGATAGTTTCTGTTTGCTCAAAGAAGAAAAATGTGGCGGTTCATGTTCAAACTTAGCATTTTTCCTCCAAAGTTGACTCACCTTATTCATGCGTCTTCATCTTCCCTCCAGTCAAATACGAAAGGATTAAGTTCCTGGTGATTGCTCTGAAGAACTCTGTGGAAATCTACGCCTGGGCTCCCAAACCCTACCACAAGTTCATGGCCTTTAAGGTACAGAAACACAAACACACTCAACCATGGATTAAACACCAACTTAATTACTGTTTCAGACTTTTAATCGTCTTCCTCTCTTCTTCAGTCGTTCACTGAGTTGCAGCACCGTCCCCAGCTGGTTGACCTGACGGTAGAGGAAGGGCAGAGGTTAAAGGTCATCTACGGCTCCAGCGTGGGATTCCATGTCATTGACGTGGACTCGGGAAACCCTTACGATATCTACATCCCCTCACATGTAAGAATAGAGCTGATCTCGCTTGCGTCTAACTATCACTCTCTCACCGTTGATTTATGAATGAATAAGGAAGACTGAGTCGCTTCAGAACTAAGCAGAATCGTTTGTTCTCTGTCTTTATCGCCCCAAGTCCTGCGCCAAGTCGAGCAGTAACTCATTCTCTGTCTCATGGGAATAAGCTCCCACATATACAGAGACTTTTGAATGTCATGTTCCCTCTTTTGATTGATCCCCTGTCATGCAAGTGAAAGATTGATGGGTATTTACCTCCTTCGTCAGACACTTTTTAGTCTGGGATTTTGCTGCCTCAGCCGATGGGCATGTTTTTGAAAAGCCAACATTTGTATTTGTAACATGCAGCCAGTCATAACTTGAAGTCGCTCAAAGAGGCCGAGTCAACCGCAGCTCCCTGTTTGCGTGCCTGAATGTTAATCAGTCCTCGCATGCAGATTAGTTTTTCCACGGCCGCGTCCAAAATGTTATGCTTTTACTCAAATCAAGCTCAACACCGTTCAGCCAAACTCATGATTTAGTGGCAACATTTCAGTGAAATATAAAACCCCAAACATGGATGTGAGTACACGCAACTTCAGCCTGATGACTCAGGACGCTGTCGCCCAGTCTTTATGTCGAGTCCACGTGACGGTGTGACTCTGTGCCTCTTTAGATGATTGTCTTTTGCTATTTTTTTTTTCCGCCTTTAATCAATACTCCCTCTCTCTCTCCATCCCTGCCAATTTTTCTTTCAGTGTGCCAAATCGTTGAAGGTGACACCCTGCCATCCTCCCTTTAGATCAGACCAATAGATCTTTAGTGAAGCCCCCGCTGTAGACGCACAGAAGCACGACACGTGTCTGTGTGCCGCGCAGCACATTAGATTAGAGATTAACGACAGTTTAGCTAGAAATGTGTGTGAGTGAAGAAATTCATCTTAGCCGGCTGAGAGTCATATAAATGTACGAAAACTGGAGTACATCCCACCAAACATCGGACGTCGAAGAGACGGGCAGATCAAGTCAGTATTGGGTCCGTCAAAGACCGAATTTGACTTTTTTTAGACGTCACTCTGACGAATTTAGAAATTGGACGTCATCGAAAGACCAAATCTAGACGTCGGCACAACGTCCAAAATAGATCCAAGATTTCGGCGTCATTATTGGACCTCTTTTAGACGTTGAAATGACGTCCACATTTGTACCTCATCGTAGCAAAAATACGATAAATAAATGTCATTTCGACGTCGCATTGCGCAGTGGGATAAGTTGAATTCATTGAGCGTTGATGCATCTTCTCATTGGCTAAGATGAGTTTTTTTCATCACTGTGTTAACGTCTTTTTCTCTGAAGTCACAACTTGGAATAGCCTGCCATCTAAAATAGTTCACTTAAAAACATGGCGGCCATTTTCCTCATGGGAGAAGCTAAAATGTTGTTACAGAGTTACTTCCTGATAGTTAGCATCAGTTTAAAAAACAATAGATGATGCAAATATTTGGGTTAACATCATATCTGCAGCTAAGACGCTGTAAGCTAACATAAGCATGCAACCAATTCCTTGCTAGCTTTACCTTTAGCTAACTAACATCAATGTTAGCTGGAAATATCCGCCTTTTCTTAACTAGATGCTTAGCGGAGGTTGTATGCTTTTGCTAGCTGTCGTCTGACTGCAGTAGGTAGATTATTTTTTCAATCACTGCCTCTCTTAACGACTGAAATATTTTTAGAATTTTTTAACTCTTCTCCTTTAAGTGACAATGAAGGAAAATGGTTGCTGTGTTCAAACAGTGAATCAGGTTCATTTTTCAAGATGACACCTTAGTAGTTTCCACCAATTTAATCCACGTGAGCCCGTTTTTGTTTCTTACGCTGGAATTTCTCTTAACTTAGGTCGCTAAAATATATTAAATTTCATTTATTTAACAGAATTTTCCAGACCAGCCAAAGTCCGACCTTTCCGACGGGCTCACGCTCTGATATTTGGCAGCCTTTTCCATGTCCACGGACTTGCTCTTTAGAGGATTACAGGCAGCAGGCTAAGAGCCAGCCAAATTCTGTTGCTCTTAATGCCTGTGATGAAACCTCTGTAATATTTTAATCTAATGCAGATTATGATTTAATGTGACAGATTTAAAATAAAGCCCCTCGCATGTGTGCATCTGTCACAGATCCAGAGCCAGGTGACGCCTCATGCCATCGTGGTGCTTCCTAAAACTGATGGGATGGAGATGCTGCTGTGTTACGAGGACGAGGGCGTCTACGTCAATACCTACGGCCGAATTACCAAGGACGTGGTGCTACAGTGGGGAGAGATGCCTACCTCTGTTGGTATGCTCAAAAAAATCATGTCTAGTCTAATTCAAAGGGCTTCTTATCGACTCTGGAGCTATTAAAACATCTTAAAGAAACAGCCGGTTCAAACAACCCAATTTAAAAAAATCTCCAAACTTGTGATGAAGAGTTTTAAATAACTTCAACGATTACGCTAGTTCCAATTTTAGCGCTGCTGCGGTTGCGATTAAGGGTGCCTTTAATCCTCAGGGTCATTTTTGGTATAATTGCGATCAGATATGAGTTTGTAATATCACTCTTCAGAGAGGGGCTTCAGTTCTGCTTTGAAAGGAAATCAGGAGGAACACATGATATTATTAATAGTCGATATAAAAGAAAAACAGAGAGAGTCTGACAAAGAGGGTGCATGTTCATGTGTGTGTGCACTGCGATAATAGAAAACAGCAGCAGTATCTTTATTTTTACCGCCCTCATGTGGAGGCAAGAGGTGTAACATGTCCTTCTTTTGCAGCCTATATCCATTCTAACCAGATTATGGGCTGGGGTGAGAAAGCCATAGAGATCCGCTCTGTGGAGACGGGTCATCTGGATGGAGTCTTTATGCACAAGAGAGCCCAGAGGCTCAAATTCCTTTGTGAGCGGAACGACAAGGTAAAAATTAAAATCAATACTCTCATCTATCTGCTTTAAATTACCGTAAAACAAAAATGTATGTTTATATCCTGGCCTCTCTTCCCTGAGTAATTATTGGACAGAGTACAGCCTAGATCTATAGACATAGATGAGCTTGCACAGACTTCTTCACCACAGACACTGGAATGAGTTTTTCACTGAGCCTCTATTCTTGCCATTACAGTAGAAATACCTCGAGTTAAATTAAAATAATTATTGATGTTTATACCGTTTCCTCTCCTCAGGTGTTCTTTGCATCCGTGCGTTCGGGAGGTAGCAGCCAAGTTTTCTTCATGACCCTCAACAGAAACTCTATGATGAACTGGTGATTGGTCGAAATGCACCGTCCGCTCTCCCTCACTCTCCCCATTGGCCGGTCCGGTGACACACCTCGGCCTCTACGCTCCATCTCACAAAGGAACCCGACCAACCGAGAGGCCACAGGAGAACTCCCTCAACTCCAGAAAGACTTTTACAGTGTAGAAAAAAAAGAGATATCGTAGAGAAAAACAACAAAGACTTGCTCAAAACTAGAGAGATGTGTTATTTAGATTATTTCGGGTCATGCAGAAGCCATCGACTGACTGGCAAACTGGTGCCGCTGACTTTCCAAATCTTCCTCCTTTCTCTGTCTCTGTCTGGGACTCTCTCCTTTTTCGTCTGGTGTGTTCAAATGTTCGGCCTGTCTCCTCCTGTCTCTTCTTCTAATCCTCTGCCCCCTCCCCTCTCTCCTTCCATCCTGCTAGATCTACTCATCACTTTTTCAATCCTTTGACACCCGCATCCTCCATTTTCTTCACTTTCTATCGGCGGTGTGTGGCAGAATTACACCTCAGAGGTCGGAGAAAAAGGTGAATGAGATTTAATATAAATTTAAATGTGTGCTTCTGAATAAGACAGTGCATGGAGGACAAATCTATTCTGGATGGCAGACAGCCTGATTGATTTTCTTCCTCCCTCCTCTCACTGTCTTTCCGGGTAAACTGAATCCCGGTTTAGCTCGATCGCATATCCCTGATAGAGACGCTTCTGTCACAGGCGGGCGTTACAGTATGCAAAGATGATGTCTGCGTCCCTTTAAAACCACATCACGGCTCTGTCTTTTCTTCTTCCTTTTCCTCCCGTCATCACCTCCCATCCCTCTGTTTTCCACTCTCCAACTCTGAAGGTGCTGCATCAGATTTACTGTAATATTAAATGAACAGCGAGCGCGTCATCCTGTTCATTTCTGCTCTTCTTCTTTCTCCGTGTGGCTCGAGAAATGTACAGCACATCTGTGTCTCTGGAATCAAGTGTGTGTGAGTGAGTGTGTGCGTAAATGTGTGTCTGTTTGACTTGATGTTGACATGAGTCCCATTGAAATCAAACTTGAATCAAAGTGGGATTTCCAAAATCAACGTCCTGGTAGAGAGTGAAGTAGTGCAGTCTGCGCGTGAACTTTCACCTTAAAGCAACATTGAGCGTGTTTACATGCAGGTTTATCACATGACCTCCTTAGGATGGACTTTAAGAGGCAATATAAGTGGTGAATCTATGGGGGTGTGTCCCTTTTCTTTCTTTAACACAGCAATCTATAACAGCCGTGTTGCTGTAGGGATTTAAATATGCATACAAACAGCGTATCCTGAACGCAACCTCAGCGCTGGATGTGGCGCGCAACGTTGGCGCCTCTTTTTTCGAAAACCATGCTAACGGTTTGATTTGTCCGATTTTTGGCTCCGAACTGTTTGTACAGTGCCTAGCATGATGTAAGCAAAACTTAAACAGAGGCCAAAATATTAGCGCTCACATTCACGTTCTGATTTTATCGCTTTATTTCTTGTGTTATTATCTCACTTTAACACACTGCTGGTGTTGTTTAAGTCGTCTGCACATTAACAAATCCGGAGTTTATTAAACCTCGCCAGTTTCTTTTTAAAGTGTGTAGTTCAGCTCAGATGTTTTGTTCAAACTGTATTTAATGAGTAACACTATTGAGGGGTGGGGGCTTGTTTATGCGTAGGTATCCATGTTGGAGAGCACTGTAAAGCAGATTTTATTCTGATGGGCACACTGTAGTAACAAACCTGAGGTTAGACACACAAATGAGACACTTTCCCTGCTATCATTTGGATTATTTTATCTCTTCTGTTTGCAAAAGTTTTATATTTTAGACGACTTTTTTACACATCCACACTGTAGCTGTTCCTGCGCAGCTGTGAAGTTAGGTTCGCTGATCTCCATCACCGGGAGCAGGCTAACATTTTAGCAATAAAAAGCCGAGCTGAAGAAACCACCGTCTTCCCTCTATGTCTGTGTGCGTCTGTGTGTGCCTGTGTGTATGTGTGAATAACTAAAATGCGAGCGTGGGTGCGGCGTCATTAATGTGTTTGTTGGTTGTGGATTTCACTCTTCCCGTGGGAAAACGCTGACAGTCATTACACTGAGGACTCTCCTTTCAAAGATGAAAACCACTGTATCCTTTACTCTTGTTTGTTTGTTTCTTTATTTTATTTTGAAAGAGCATTACTAATGTCCTGTTTGGGGATTTATTTGTTTTGTAAAAGAGATGCTGTAAGAGAGGAATAAATGAACTAGAACATTAAAGCCATGAGTCGTGTGTTTTTTTGCTCGTCTGTTTTTGTGCAAGGGTGCACTTTTGCAACAGCTACCCTCAGACTTTGCCCACCCCGAGTGTATCATTAACAGGGAGTGTGCTTGTGTGTGTGCACGCTATTAGGCAGTCTAATAGCAGAGACAATTAAACAGTGTTTTTTTAACTTTAACGGAGAAAAAGTCTCAAAAAGATGAGCAATACTCCAAAGACTTCAATAAAAAGTGATTTAAAAAGAAATTATTATTTAAAAGCATCATTTTAAGAGGAAGATTTGAATGTTTTTTACAGGCTGTTTTCTCACTTTGATTATTATTTAATTCCTCCCATCCAAAAGAATTTGTGCACAGAGGACATTGTGCACATTTTCCGTTTACATTATCTGTTGGGAACTGTCCGTGTGTGTGTCTATCATTTAAGTGGACTCAGTGTGATCAGGCATGTAGCTTTCATTGATCATTACCTCCACACTGACACTCTGGACCCATCATGGAGCAGGGGAAGGTGAGATAATCCTCAGCGGAGGCTGTTTTTACACGTGTTTTTAACAAAAGTTGAATATTCTGAATAATGCTGGTTGAATGATGGTGTCGCTTTGTTGCTGACAGAGAATGAAAGGGTTAAATTTTGTCACTTCAACATGCAGAGGAAAACAGCTTTTTCATGAGTGTGCTGTGTGCGTGCGTTGTCCTTGAGTCTCTTTAAAGCACATTCAAAATGTTTCAACTGATCAGTCATGTAAAGTTTGAAAAATATACGATTTTTTATTGTGAAAAAATATTGATGAGTTGGCTGTTTACTGTATTCTCTTTCATATGAGTTAGTATTACACAACTGCACCTAAGAGTCTAGTCACACACACTCCTCATTAGTGTGTATTTGTGCATGCATTTGTGTGTGTGTCCTTGTCTGATTGATCACCCTGCTCTCGCTCCTGCAGCAGCTAACAGGTACTCTGGCTGTAGCTGTGTTTACAGCCGTACTGGGATCTCTGCAGTATGGCTACAGCCTCGGAGTCATTAACGCACCACAAAAGGTAGAATCACCTTCAACACACACACACACACACACACAAACAGACACACTTTGAGCAACCCATTCGTCCAAGCACAATGACTGCTGCATGCAAAACGGGAAATCTATATGAGACGCCCAAGGGTCACTGTCTCTATAAGACAAGAAAAGGTCCTTTGTTTGACTCTCCTGCAGCTCCAGAGATAATTAAAGAGTCGGAGAAACCAAGACACAGACTGAGGCTTTTTAAAACAGCATGGAAAAAAAAAATTCTTCTAAAGTTTTGTGAAGGTCCTTAGGAAGTTATTAAAAAAGAAAAATGAACATTTTGCAATTCTACTGAGAAGAATCCTCAGAACTGTAATAGAAATTTTACAATTAATAGATTAAAAAGTGAAAATTGTAGGAAAAGTCATTACAATCAGAGATAAAAGTCAGAATTATGAGTTTAAAGTCAAATCCTGAAATAAAAGGTTAATGATGTTGGATATGAAAAAATCCTCATTAATGAATTTAAAGTCAAAGATGTAAGATAAAAAGACAAAATTATAATTAGGTAATACTAGATGATGATGATAATGATGACAATGATATGGGATAAAATAAATCCTAATAATTGGAAAAAGTCAATACATAATGGAAAAAAAGTCAGCACTGTAAGATTGATATCAGAATTGATTATCACAAACTTATCAGATTTAAAGTTGATCAAATTTAAATTCAAAAATCGACTTTATGAGAGAAGAAAGCAAAGACCTGATGAATCCGTAAAGACTGAGATAAAACCCAAAATCAGAAGAACATCTCAAATTAGTGAGGAAAAGAGTTGATGACATGAAAATTTGAAAAACATTTTAATCCATGAAAAGTTTGACATGAAAAAAGTCAAATTTCTGAGCTGAAAATAAAAAAATTGTTTAGAAATTTTTTAAAATAAAGGTCCTGAAATATCAAAAGTTATCCTGAAATTTTAACCTCTATACTTAAATGTGTTGCTGACTGTCTCATCATTTTAATTCCTATTTTTTATTACTGAGATTAAATAACCTATCTTTTTATTTTGTGATTCTTACTATCTCAAATTTTCAGCTTTTTTATCATAATTTCAGCTTTTATATTTTCGTTTTTTTGTTCTGTCTTAAACCTTTAAAGGAATCAGCACCACAGAACATCTCTGACCTCTTAAATCTTAAATGTTTAAACCTCCCCACGTCCCTCGAGGTCTGCTGATCAGCTCCAACTCGTTGTCCCTAAAACTCGTTTGAAAGCCCGTGGCGACAGAGCTTTCGAATTGCCACTCAAGATTAAAACGTCCCCCACACTTTATCCTTTTAAATCGCGTCTTTAAAACTCATTTTTATTCCTCGGCTTTTAGCTCAGCATGACAGTTGTGTGATCTTTGTCCTTTTATGTCTTTTTATGGTCCTTTTATCACTTTATTTTCTTTTATGCTTTTGTGTTTTTATTTCATTTATTTTATTCCATTTTAAATGTTTTTTAAGCTGCTTTTATTTATTTCCTCATGATGTTTTTGTTTGTTCTTTTAAATTTTACTGTGCAGCACTTTGGCAAACTCTAATGTTTTTTAAAATGTGCCATGTCAATAAAGCGGATTGGATATCAGCTTTTGTAATATCTGAATTATTGCGAAATACTTTTAAAAAGATCTTTTAATGGTATTTAATTTAATTTCGATACTACTTACTCACTGTCTCGTTTCATCTCACTATTTTTAATAACCTCGTGTTTTTTTCTCTCATCTCATTAATTTTAACATGTTATGTTGATTTTTTCATCTCATACTTTTACCTGCTTTCACCCTGAATTGGATGAGTTTTTAATTAAGCTCTTGTTTTAATTTTTATTGCTTATGCATAACTATGAGAGTTTTCAGAGGCTGTCCTAATGTCTCTGAAGATCAATCATTCATAAATTATTAGAGTCTGTAGGTGTGATTTTGAAGTAATCAGGTTAGTTATTCATTATAATTCATCTGGTCTTGTTTCAGAACAAAAGTAGAACAGGATGATCGCTTTAATCCAGCTCATGATGGTCCATAAATGTGTCGTTTTCTGTCACAGGTCATTGAGAGGCATTATGGCCGCTCTCTGGGTATTTGGTCAGAGAGGTCTGCAGTCCTGTCAGAAAACAGCACAGAAGAAGACGAGCAGATGGATGTGGGAAAGCACCCCGCTGTGGTCATGTACTGGTCGCTGTCTGTGGCGATCTTCTCCATTGGCGGCATGCTGTCCTCCTTCCTGGTGGGATTTGTGGGGGATCTAAAAGGGAGGTAAGAAAGAAAAGTTAAATAATGACAGAGTGCAAACTGAAAGCTACGTGTAAGAAAAAAACGTTCCTCGGGAGAAGGATGGAGTTATTTTTATCTGTGACTTTTAAGATTTTATTTGTGTATTTAGTTTTTAAATTTTTGTTACATGATGAGTTTTTATTTTTTAGGAATATCATTTCTATTTAATTCATTATATTTCACTATTAATTGTATTGTTTCATGTTGTATCGTATCTTTACTGTATTATTACTTTATCATATCATGTCGTGATGTAACTCTTTCATATCTTTAACCGATTGTGTTGTATTGTATCATATCATCTTATGGTTCTGTATCACTTAAAGCTGGATAACAAATGTCAAAAGGAAATATGTTAAACTTGGACTGAACACAAAAGTTACAATTACTACAATTGATCTATTTTTTTTATTGTCATTTTGAAATTTGCCATAAAAGACACTGAACTTTGACCCCAAACCTCATTCACCTCCTCAAGTAGATTAAAACTACTCCCAGGATGTAGTCATACAGTTTTTTTTTTGTCCTTCTTATTTTGTATCTCTCTGTCATTTTTGCATCTTTTTCTGTTTTGCAGAATAAAGGGCATGTTGATGATCAATGTTCTGGCTATAGCTGCTGGACTGCTGATGGGTCTTTGCAGGATGTGGAAACCTCACTTCATGGTGATCTTCGGCCGTGCTGTCATGGGTTTTTACTGTGGTACACTAAAATACATGTTATAACCTTCGATAGTAAAACAACTATGCAGGAAATTGCAAAGCTAATTCTCCAAGTTATGTACATTTGTATCATGTGTGTGCTTTAGGGTTGTCGTCTGGGTTAGTGCCTATGTACATTGGGGAGATTGCACCCAAAGCTTACAGAGGAGCTCTGGGAACATTACACCAGCTGGCTGTTGTCACTGGCATCTTAATCAGCCAGGTGAGACGTACTTAAACCAAAACACCACATACACAGCAGCGTCTTTTCTTACGGCATCCTAAAACATCTGACTTACACTGCAGGTGTGTGCTTTTTGTGTGGTTGCAGGTATTAGGGCTGGACTTCGTTCTGGGTAATGATGATATGTGGCCCGTGTTGCTTGGGTTGTCAGGAGCTCCAGCAGTTTTACAGTCTGTTCTGCTGTTTTTTTGCCCGGAGAGCCCCAGATACCTCTATATTCTGCGAAACCAGGAGCAAGAGGCTAAGAAAAGTAAATCATGAAAAAATCATCCTTTCATGTTTCACACCTAACCAGTTGCTTATGGTAGCTTCGTACTTCTTATAGCTCTCTAACTGATATGAAAGCTTCTCTTGGTCTTACTTACCACAACCTTCACTCGTATGAAAAGGCCTTAAACTTTTGCACATTACTAAATAAGTTCTTCACTTATTTTTTTTGCTTCCATTTGTGTTTTGTTGCAGTTCTGCTTCGTCTGAAAGGGGCTTATGATCCCTCTGCTGATCTAGAGGAGATGAGGAAAGAGAAGGAGGAGTCAGACAGGGAGGCCAGAGTCTCCATCCTCTCTTTGGTAAGTCTCTATCCTCTAGTTTTTAAAGACATGCACCAAAACTATGCAAAAAAGTTCCCTTGTGAATTTGTGTGTGAAATTTTACTTGTGGGGAAAAAAACAAACACTTAAAGACCTCTAATCTCCCTTATTTCATGCAAGTCAGCAGAAAATTGGTCAAACCAGCGTGATATTAAGTGAAATTACTTTAATAGTCACACAGTATTTGACACATTTCATTTCATAACAACTGGACTGTGGAGATAGTGTGATTTTTCAGTCAACAGAAGTATGACAGTAGTATTTCCTCACTCTTGTTATGTGTGTTATTTCCTGATCTGATTTCTTTTAGATTCGCTCCTCTGTCTACAGACAGCAGCTGCTCGTTGCTCTCATGATGCATCTCTCCCAGCAGTTGTCTGGAATCAATGCGGTTAGTGGAAACTTAAATTTAACTCGATCAGTTCATTGCTCATTAAATCAACAGAAATAGTACGTTTATCGTAAATTTGATGGCATTAATGGTCAAAGGAAATAGTGTTTTGTGAAAAATGTCCTCATGAGTCAGATCTACATTAACCCTGGAACACTATCGCTAAAATTAGTAACACCATCACTATCGCCGGGTGATTATTACCTGAAACAGTATACCCAAGAAAAAGTACTTGTCATCAAAATATATCAAAATAGGACAAAACATGACAAATTAATGTCCAAAGGGAGGCCAAAAAAAGTGTCATGAGGGGACCATATAAAAATGCAACAAAATTAACTGTAATCTTTGTTGTGCTAAATAAAGATAACGTGCAAATTCCAGGACCACTCTTACTGACTTTATTCGCCTACATGCAGCTATCAAATCCACCCAAATCTACTTTACCCTCTATCACTATTGCCGGGTGAAAATCACCCTGTGAACACGTGTCTGTAGGAAAAAGCAGGTTTTGGATCAGGGACACAAGTATGCCTTCAAAGATGTCAAAGGCAATGCTGAAGCTACCCAGAGACCCATGATACTCAGACAAACGCAACATAATGAAAATCACGTAAACATGTTTGGTGAAAATCACCCGGCGATAGTGTTCTAGGGTTAGAAAAAAATCTAAACGTACAGTTCAATAAAAGAGCAATACTTGAGAAATTCCCAACACACAAACTAAACCGAACAACAATCTACAAATCCACCTGTTTTCTCTTTAAGATATTTTATTACTCTACGAGTATCTTCAGTCAAGCCGGCGTGGCTGAGCCGGTCTACGCCACTATAGGAGTCGGGGCCATAAACACAGTCTTCACACTGGTGTCTGTGAGTGATCATGTCTCCACAAACACACACACGCAGATGCAAACACATGTACAAATAAATAAAAACAAAAGAAGCTGTTTCTTTTTTTTCTTTTAGACACACAGGCCAACTACAATAAACAGCGTGTTGTCTGTTTTAGGTCGCACTGGTGGACAGAGCTGGCAGGCGCACTCTGACTCTGGTCGGCCTGGGCGGGATGTGCTGCTGCGCCGTCGCCATGACTGTGGGCCTCAAACTCCAGGTTTGTTTCAAATCAGTAAACTGAGCTTTAGATTAGTTTGACGACTTGGGCTGAACTTTTCTATACTTGTAGAATTACTAAATATCAGTGGTCTGGCCTGAAACAGCATCTCTACTCTGTATATATCTGCTTTTTAAAGGTTTAGGCAATGCTGTGTTGAGCAGTTTCCTGTAAAATCAGGATTAAGAATAAGAATAAGAAGAACTTTATTAATCCCTGAAGGGAAATTCAATTGTCTGTCATCTCATTTGTCATGTCTCTAAAAGTCATCTACTATTTACAGAAGAGTTGTAAAGTCTGACAGCGGTGGGTACAAAAGATTTTCTGAATCTTTCTGTCCTGCAGCGAAGAGAGAGGAGCCGTCCACCACCATAGAATAGCTGCTCTTGCGTATACGGTTAGATGATGGGACAGTTTCGGTCTGTTTTAGGGGAATAAAAAAATGATTAATCTGTCTTCCTGCAAGAAGACTTTCATTGTGTTCGGCAATGCGCATGTACTGCATAACAGTAGGATGACAGCAGAACTAATGGTTGTCACATACAGATAAGACTCCACAGTTTGTCCACTGTTTGGACATTTCCACGTATAACAAATATAAATTTTAATTTGTCCACAGGGGGCGCCAGAATCAATACAAAGTGAAAGTTCCTTGCAGGAGCTTTAAACCGTTTTAGTTTTTGAAATATCATGTTCAGTAAAATGTTGCTTTTTTCTGCTTTAAATGTTGTGTTTTGACTTCTGGGTTTCCGTAGAGGACAGAGTTTTCAAAGGTTTGGCTCATGGAAAAGCTAAACTCACTCAATAGAGTGAAACAAACAGGACACCAAAAGGACATTAGGTGGTCTGTTTGTTGGATAGCTGACAGGAATCAGTTTTTCCTGACTCATGTAATCTTCCCTCCAGAGTGACTTGCCCTGGATGAGCTACGTCAGCATGGCAGCTATCTTCCTCTTTGTGAGCTTCTTTGAGGTTGGTCCCGGTCCCATCCCGTGGTTCATAGTTGCTGAGCTGTTCAGCCAGGGACCCCGACCAGCTGCTATTGCCCTTGCTGGCTGCTGCAACTGGACCAGTAACTTCATCATAGGCATGACCTTTCCTTACATTCAGGTAAGCAGCGGGGACACAGAGGCTGTGCTGGGATTGCACATGCACTTCTATATCTGTTTGTTTTCACCTCATTCACAGAAAATCAGTCACACCATCAATCTTTTATTTCCGTGTCTCTTTTCCAGGGTTTGTTGGGTGTTTATGTGTTTGTCCTGTTTGCCGCTCTGCTTTTCGGCTTTACTGTGTTCACTTATTTCCGGGTTCCTGAGACCAAAGGCAAAACCTTTAAGGAGATTGCTGCCATCTTCCAAAAGGGGAGAAAAGAGGGTGTTAAAGATGCTGTGGAACTACAGCAACTCAAATCCTCAACAGACGCCTGAAGTGACGTGCAGCCTTGTGATCTATCAGTGTGAAATCTGACAGTATTTTAATGTGATGTGTTTATATACATTCATCCTCTATCATAATTATTCATAATTACAAAGTTTGACATCTTTACATAGGGTATCCTCTTTTCATGTACATTTACATACAGAAATACATTCATTGTGACAGCTACCCTACGATATGCTATTTCCGTTAAACTGCATGGAGTGTTGTTTACATTTAATCAAAATAGAAGCTGAAATGCAGTATTCTTGTCATCAGACAAAATGTCTCTGTGTTAGAAACGTGTATAATTAAAGCTTTAGAGAGTTTTTATCTGACTTTGCAGCTCTGCCTAAAGTGTTTTTATGATGTTGCCGTCGAGCTCAACAAAGTGGACAACTGTCTTTAAAAATACATCTCTACAAACACACATCGCTGTCTTTACAGTGGCAAATGGCAAGCAAATATAGTTTTAATACATATGGTGAATATAGTGGCGCGTTTGAGAGCTAATGAGGTGGATTATACTGTATATTTACTACTATATATACTGTATACTTATTTTAGCAAAAAACAGTGTAATAGCTGTTTGTTAACAATGAAGGATGAATTTTGAATCTATAAGCTCTATGTTTCCCCTATCAGTGCTGCTTTAAGAGTTTGCTTTTGCTGCTCCCTGGTGGTGTTTAAAGCTAATGTACCCTCTCATACTACCTAAACTGTCTGCTGTACTGTGCCATTGTAGATAAACGATCTCTGTGTATATACATGAAATATCACAGCATTTATTGCCCTTAAATATAATCATTGATTGATATCGAAGAAATTTGAGTTTTTATTTGTTGACACTTTGCTAGAATGATTATCTGCTGTGTAGGATGGTGTACATGCAAGATTCAAGATTCAAGATTTGTTTATTTGTCATGTGCATGTTAGACAAGGTCAACAGTGCAATGAAATGCCCTGGATGAAAGGACCGCTGGACTCAAAGGGGAACAGATAAAACACACAATAGTACTTAAGGAATACAATAAAATAAGGATACAAAAAAATTAAGTTTATATATATATATATATATATATATATATGTATTATATTTATATATACATAGAGAGACAAATTAAATTATAGGAGAAATATTTACAAAGTGCGATCAATATTAACAAGTAAAAAATGAGATATTTTCAAAGTGAACAAGCGATGCAGTAGGTGCTGAGTGTGAATGTATTAGATGGAGGATAAGCATGCAGTATGTAGGGGGTGGGTTTCACGTTCATTCAAGAAATGTTTTGGTGTATCCTCTTATATCAGAGATTTAAACATGGATGCAAAAATGTAACCAATTTGGAATGCACTGGGTGGCTCAGTATGCCACCAGACTGACTTTGAGTGACACTTTATGAGATCGTGTATTTTTTTATATGGTGAAACTGTTTTTTTTCCTGTAAATTTTATTATTAGTATTATTGTTATTACTATTTATTTATTTATTTTTATATTTATATTATACCATTATATACCATTTCCTGTATGATAGATACTTTTAACCAACGGTTTCAACAAATCTGGCGGACTGAATTACTTTGCCATTACTGTTAAGATCAATTTTTAAAGTTTTCCTTTCCGGTTTTCCTCTTTTTCCCTATTCCTCACGTGCTGGTTTACGGTCACTGCAGTATGACGGCACGTCGTCATCGAGCCCGTACGTACCTGCTCCTCCTGCATTACAAAAGATTCACGCATGCGCAGTGTCTCTCCTCCTGTGGCGTAAGCAAGAAACAAGGTAAGCAAAGCAGACTGGCTGATAACTCTAACATTTTCACAACGGATGGAGCCAGACGAATTAAACTATTTTGCGAAGAGCGGCTGTCTTAGGTTAAGAAGAACAGCTGTAGCCGTTTGCAGTCTTCGTAGTTAATCAGTAACTTCTTAAGAGGTGGGACGATGATTGGGTGTGGGTCGTGTTAGCATGCTAACACGCTAACGATGACAGAAAACATGCACGAGGTGGAAGCCCTGAGCTAGCTTGTTGGTTTAAGCTAAAGTGAGCGAGGTTACGGTTTCAAGTCTGCCCCATACAACTGAAGGACTCCATTAATAGTTGCCATACGTACACCGCGCTTGACATGAAAGATGTTTTAACCGCGGTAATTACCGACGCACTCGACTGAGGGGCTTCATTTAACACGGTCACCCGTTTGACCGGAACACCGGTAAACGCTCATCTGGCCCAGCTGCCACGTAAGACAGCCAGCTAGCTAGCTTTCTAACCGAAGCTGCTTTCATGCTGTTGGATAACTTAATAAGACAGCCAGACACTTGGTTAGTTAATTTGTTAATTCCTCTAGAGCAGAGTATTTAAAACAGCCCGGAAACGGCGACCAGATACCATCCTGTGAGAGTAATTTTACTTAAGTTGACGAGCTGCTAATGGGAGCTTTTTGTGTGGTGCTAGCATTAGCTTTGAAGGAAACATTTGTCAGGTAATGAGTGGAGGAGCACTTGTGGTCGCCCTCCTTCTCTCAGATTTAAGGTTATTGATTTTGAAGCTTTCACAGCCTCACCACTGCGTTGTTTTAAAATCAGCCTTATCATGAGCAGGTCGGCTCAGCTTCTCTAGAACACGGTGTCCAGGTGTTTTATGTTCATGACAGCTGTTTGGAAGTAGAGAGTTTGAACTTTAGATCTACTACTCCATGCCCATTTCATATTTACAGTATGAAAAATCACTACATAACATTCAACCTGTGATTCAAGTTGTTCTTCTGTTGTTTTAAGCTCCTTTTTCTCATGGTCCTACAGAACAGCCAGTAGCCCATCATCATCATCATCATGGCAGATGAGGATTTCAGCACTGCGGACTCTGGGGCCTCCAGCACATTCCCCATGCAATGCTCTGCCCTGAGGAAGAACGGCTTTGTCATGCTGAAAGGACGTCCCTGTAAGATCGTTGAAATGTCTACCTCCAAGACCGGCAAGCATGGACATGCTAAGGTAAAACTTCCACGTGCACTCTTCTCTGCCTAATGAATGACTTAGAGGAAAAAGCGCTTCCTGTTTAGCTCTTTGAAGTTGCCTAAAATCTCTTGTGCTTTGTCAGGTTCACCTTGTTGGAATTGACATCTTTACTCAGAAGAAGTTAGAAGATATCTGCCCTTCTACCCATAACATGGATGTCCCAAATGTCACAAGGAAAGACTATCAGGTGAGGCGTCGAAACCACAAGGCATGTGTTGCATCTGTTATACAACTGAGTTAGTCCTAATTATTTTTCAAGGTAAAATAAAGAGTTAATGACGTACATAAGACAACGAGAGAAAACATTTCCCATCATTTCCTGGATTTTATTTAACCTAGTTCTACTGATAAAGTTTGTTACTTCGTGGGTGTGCCCAATGAGTCAGAGCTGAGCTGTGTCTGCGGTAGTTGTGGAAGGGGCATACAGGTTTGAAACTGGTTGGGCAGGTACTGGAATCGGCCAACAAACAGTTACGTCTTCCCTGATCCGAGGCTTCTCTCAGGGTGACAAAACTCATGAGAGGAGGAGGAGACAATAGTTCAGCTCAAATGACCCAGAAATTTAACCTACAAACATACACTAAATAAGTCTCTGGGTTTGATTTATTTTAATGTGGGAAACATGAAAATAAATATCTAGACTCTCTTTTAGTCTACTCAGAATCAGCAGAATCAGAATCGCCTTTATTGTCATTGTACAACAAAGTACAGTGAAATTTGAGCGCCATTCCCTTTGGTGCATAGCAAAAGTAATAAATAAATACTCAAATGAAAGCCATTTAAAACACAAAGATAAGGTAAGAATAAGAAGAAAGAAAAGTAAAAAGGCAGTAATATATGTATATGTACATTATAAAATATAAACTAACAGGAATGAATGATATGAAACCCGATAACTGCACAAGAGAAGCCCAGTGTTATTGCACAGATAATGATACATTTATTGCACTATGATCAATGTGATCAGTAATATGTTACTCTTTAGTATTTTACTCCACTTTAGTCCTAGAATTATCTTATATTTTAACATTATTTGTTTATTTTCTTTTATTGTTTGATTTTAAAACAGTTTTATTATAATATTTTTATATTATTATCATTATTTTATTTCATTTTATTTTTTAGATCTTGTCACGGTTTTAACAGTTTAGCTTCAGCTCCTGTGTTTCTCCATTTTAGTTTCGGATAGCGTTTCCTTGGTCATCTGTGGCTTCCTGTTGAGCCCTGACTTGGTGTCCCGATGGTTGTGAGAGTGTGTGTGGGCGGATTGGTGGGTGGTGGTACTCTATTAAATGCGGGCTTGGTGGGTGGCTGGGGTTTTTGCAGTTTGTATTTTATTTTGTATCCCCTGATCCTCTCCTTCTTGTGTACAGCACTTTGTGATACAAGTTTATGTATGAATAGGGCTTTATAAATAAAGTGATTGATTGATTAAAACAGATTTTGAATTCAGTTAAATGGTATTCTCCCTCTGATCTCTGGCACATGTAGGTATGCGATGTTTCAGATGGTTACTTGACCCTGATGGAGGATAATGGAGAAACCAGAGAGGACCTTAAGGTGCCGGACAACGACCTGGGCAAAGACATTGAGAAGAAATTCGAAAATGGAGACCAGTTCATGGTAAGTGTCTTTTAATCAAAGAGTGATCCTGCATTTATTCCTTTCTGGAATAAATGCAGGATTGTATCGTACATTGTCTTTTTAGTCTAAACTGATTTTATTTTAAACATCCACACTGCACTTGCGTTACATTCTTAAACCTACCGGGTCTCATTCAAGAAGCAATTGTAAACTTATGAACAGATTTACTCCTAAACATCCTAGGTTCTAAAAAGCTACGCCAGATTCATGAACATGACAGAAAACCCAGATTTGATTCTAGACATTTGTCAATCGTGAGTATAAATACATGCACAGGAGTCAGCACATGCCGTCTGCGCTGATGTGAAGAGTATCGCAACCATGCACCCCACCAGCCCAAGTATAAAACCATCCATTTCTCAATTTAAAGATAGGCTGAAGCTCAGATCTGCTTATTGTCAAACTAAATGGCCAAATTTGTTGGGTTTTTTTGGTCATTTTTAAATCACACATTTCTATAGTATCTGTCTATTGTGAAGAGAACCGATCACAATAAGAATTAAAATAATGATTTTTGACAATAACAAGCTATATGTTTTTGTATCCTAAGAGTGGTCAGAGGCAGGTGTAGAGTTTGTTGGTAGCTAGTTAGTCACCTTTCAGCTTCCTCTGTGAACAGCTCATGTTTCATGACTGAGACCTGTTAGTATTATTGTACCAGGTGCTGGGAGTCCAGAATTACAGCAGCATAAGTACATATGCAAAAAGAGAAATTAAAGGATAAAGAAACTTCAAGATGTACATGAGTTTTATTTACATGTGTACAGAATATACATATATTATGATATTTTGCACACTGAGTTTCTGTGATACCTCTCCGTCACACACTTTGAGTGGAGCATCCTTTCCCTTAGGGAGCTCCTAAGTGCAGTAAGTGTGTTGGAGGGGGAGAGAGTCTCTGTGATCCTCCTCTCCCCAACCCTCCAAGTTCCAGAGGGTATCCCAGGACAGAGCTGGCCTTCTTTATGAGTTTGTTCCGCCTCTTCCTGTCAGCAGACCACTCCATCTTATAGCTAACTCAGCTGTTAAAGAAGCAGATGAAATAGGAACCAATCGGTGTCTTTTTTTAAATTTTTATTTGAAATAAGGCATGTTGATTAGGCTGCACATTTAATGAAAGATAACTTGGAAGAAGAAGAGGTGTGTCATAGGGACATTTAAACGACCATTTTGAAACCAAATATGCAAATACATGAAAATTAATGAATAGAAAATAGCCCAAATTGAGCACATGTCGATCTATTTGGCCAGATATCATCTGAAATAAATATAAAGAGTACATGAAAGCCATACTTATAATATTAAAATATGTTACAGAATCTTATTTTAGCGCTGGAGAATGACATAAAGTACGTGAAAGATCAAAGCAGTTAAACTCCGCTGCGCTCAAGCCAAGCAGCCACTTGTGTGCCATCTTTATCTAAATCAAAATACTCCCAAACTTTGCTCTTTTTTTCTCACCGACATTGCTCTGGCTGATCGCATGTGTTGATTCACTCTGAGGAAGTTAACCCACGATGCCGTGCATGCTGCAGGACAGCGATGCGAGTCCAGAGCAGCGAGCCAGGCAGAAAGAGTCGCACGCAAATGATCCAGCTTTTTTAATGCACACTTTTATTAAGACATGACGGTAAAACATAATTAAAAAAAAAAAAGCTTTCCCATCTTATCATTATTTTTAATAGAATAAACAAATATTATTTACTAAACGGATAGTAAGGACAGCCCCGTTTACACTAATATCAGAATAACCGCTCACATCCCTAATGTGTGATAGTAAAACAGAGGAAGAGAGTGAACAGCGAGTGGAGCTGCTGCTGCTTGTCAGGAAAGGAGTGGTACTGGTTTGAAATCAACGAGTGAGCTATTCAATTTCAGGTGTGGTCAATACTCTTTCCTCTTCTCTTTCCAGGTGTCCGTGTTGAAAGCGTTAGACGACGAGGATGTAGTGGCCATCAAGGCAATGACTTCCTAATAAGTCCAGGACAGCGTTGGAGACCTCGCACTCCAATGATCCGTTGCGGCTTTGAAGCCTCACCAAAGCCAATGGCCTTCACCCCACATCTCCCCCCCCAGTTTCCCCGCTGGTCAACTGAAATCTGGAAACTGGACTGGGTCTGCTCTCCAACTGTACCTCAGGCTCAGGGCCGGCTGGCATCCTCTACAATCAGTGACATTAATCCAACCTTTAGCCGTCAGAGCTTTACTTTGCAAAGATTTTCTGAAATAATTCCAGGAATTTCTCAAACCTATTCCAGCAATTCATAACATTCTTCTAAGACGATGGATAATGTGTTTTTTTTTCTTCTTCTCTGTGTCCAATAATTCCTAAAATCATTCCCATTGTTTATTTTCTGAATGGACTGAGCTTTTGATTTTGAGTTGGCTGTAAGCTTTTTTACAGCTTGTTTACAGCTGAGATGCTGAGCGACTCTCTCCATCGAAATTCTCCCCTCAAATGTTTAACCTCTGCTGGCTGATTCCGAAACCTCGAGCAAGCTTTGGCACTTCTAATTATAAGAGAAACGTAACTTTTGATGACTGAAATATGCATTTCTGCTTCTGACAACTCAAACATATGCATCCACAAGCACACTTGAAATTGACAATTGACTAGTCCGCTATCGCCTTAGCCCTTAAATTCACATTATTTTCGGACTCCCTGATCTCACAGTGATTTTTATCGCAACTAGCCGGCTCAGTTAGAGATTTTCTTTCGTAGCAGGGAGCTCTGCTGTCTCAGCCGCTCTGAGGACTTTAAACAGGCCCGGGCAGGGGTGGTTGGGTGGGGCCATTTCCTCCTCTATGCTATCAAACTTTTTCTTTCACCTGAGGCCTTTATGAGCTGAATAATGTATAGCAAATGATTTTGAAAGAACAAAAAAAAAAAAAAAACATTATTATAGTCTTAAAAAGTTTTATCTTTGAAGCTTAATTTCATTAGGTAAGCTTTGAAAAATACTTCATCACTATGCTGAACACAATGAAGATTTCTTAGCATGCAATAGTGGGAACAGTCTGACATGATGTTGCCACACAGGTGGTAGTTAACTGTGGGTTATCCAGGTGTTGTGAGCGGAGACAGAGAACCAAATCCCATAAACGAGTGCTGGGCTGTACTCTGGGTTGTGGCTTCGGGGGGAGGGGAGAGGGAGGGTCGTCTTTAAAAGCAACTTAGGGGGGTGGTAGGTCTGCAGTTTCTTTTCGGGGGTTTGTGCAGTTTGCACTCTTAATTGGATGATGGCTCACAGTGATTGTTACTAAATTATACCGAGTGGTTGTAGTTTTCAGTATTTTCATGCATACTAGAATAATAACTGAGACATCGGGTGTTGCAGGAAATCAGGATGCGTTCACATGCACTGCGTCAAGGTGGTTGCTGTAGATTTACATTAACATGCAGGTAGTCAGTTCCTCCCCTACCTCCAACCATTTAATTAAAACTGTAAACTTAGTGTATTAGCAATATATTTGCAGCGCTGCAGCTTGAGTTCTTTCATTTTCACTCTCGTTTTTTCTGCATTTGGACTGAAGGTTTAGAAAGGAGGACCGGCTCTCGAGAAGAAGCCAAATAACGTTACTGTCCAGCTGTGCGTTTTCTGATTTCATCTCTTCTTGGGTTTTTAGCTTAAAGGGTCGTCTTCTTTTTTTTATTCCTCTTGTGTTTTATGATCTCTCCTTCTGCAAAGCTGTCATAGCAATACTCCTACTATTGTATGTTTTGTTCACGAGTGTGTGCTCGAGCTATACATGGTCAGGAAAGGGATGGCGGGATTCCTGCTGATACTCCTCGCAGGAATCCCCTCAACCCTCTCCTCGGGGTGAAGGTGGGGTTTTTGCGTGACATTTGTGATGTTGGATTATTGCGAAAGTTGGCGGTAACCTGATTGCTTAATTTGTGTCCACACACTGCTCGTCGTTTCGTCATAGGAAGGTTTTCTGTCTAGCTTTCGAGTTGTGCTTTGTGCATCAGCAGCCGGCCTGTTATTTTTGTTCTGACTTCAGTCCACTGAAAGTATTTTTTACTTCCATCAAGACACCAAAGTATTCCACTGAATGTCATATTGTGTATTAAGTGCTACATTTCCTTTGTTTCACATCATTCCACTCTGTTGAAATGTGTTTTCCTGCATAATACCATGCCAGGAGCAATGGCATTATAACTGAGGCTAGCAACTCTGTTTCTTTTCCTTCTTGATATTTCAGACTTTATTGTAACTTCTCTAAATTAAAAGGAAATGCCATTCTGAGTGTTTATATTAAAGGTAGAACAGAGAAGCATCGTACCAGCAAACCTAAAAAGCAGCAGTGTAGTCGATCATAACTCTGCTTTGACTCAAAGCCATGCAGGCCAATCAGATGAGTCGGCGTTCTTTGGCTAATCGGAGCACATGGTGTTAATTTGAAGTCCCCGCTTGTCTTCAGGAGTCCATTTCTTCTCGCACAGTTTCAGTCCACAGCATCCTCACCTGTTTTTAAGAAATGCTGCTCAGAGTTGAACTCGTTTGACCAGCAGCCCCCGCAGCATTGAGCTCTGTCCCTGTCGTTTGAATGCAAACATACCACTATTTTTAAGTCAAAGGTTCCTAATCTTGAACTCTCTTCACTCACTCTGTTTAGAGGCCCGAGGATGAGTCTTCCTTAAGCCATATCTGCGACTTGTTTGTGTATCTCTGACCTGGTCAGATGCAGGAGTATTACCCTTTAGTTCTGTGCTCCTCCTTAAATGAAGCACCGATCGATGACATCTTTCTAGCTTCTCTTAAAAACAACATAAAACGAGCTTTGATTTTGCTAAATAATGTTTACACTCGCAATGAGTTGGCCCTGTCCTTAATGGATTCAATGTAGACTCACAAAAACAATCTCAGGGCTCCCGGGAAAGTGTTCGGAGATGAGTTACTTCAACAGACTCAAGAGTGAAGACTGTAAAATGAGATTAAAACTTCTTATTTTTGGCTTTTTTTAAAAAGAATTATTTCCAATCATCTTCTCTTGCGCCTCGATTTTGCTTCACAGTCCCTCTTGCTGTCTGCTATTCCATTTCCTTGCTAGAAACGGTGGTTTTATTTGTATGTTTAGACCATCTGTTGAGTGTATGGTGTTCAAACGGGGATGTGGTGTATCGCTCAGTCTGTATACTTTGTTTCTGGTGTTTGCTGGAGATGGGGTTCTTTCTTTTGTCATCTGATTGACTGTTTCTAAAGGAAAACTTACCTGAAACATAGAGATACCATACACGGCTTCTGTCTTCTCTATTCTAATTAAAGTATGGCTGCTGCCTTAAAAATCACAACTGTCTATGTTTTGTCAGCAAAATAAAGTTCATTGAGATCCAACTGAATTTGTTTTTATTTTTTGTGCCAAAAGGAGAATTCTTGTTGAGGCCGCTTTTGAGTCATGATAACCAAGATTTATCAGAGCAGCTGATTCTGGGATGTGTGACTAATTGTTAGGTTGCATCACACAAAATCAAACCACCCTCCTCAGAAGAAGGAAGGAAAGGAAATGTTCCAGTAAGACATTTTTTATTTTCAAAGTTTAAAAACCATGTTAGCGATGTAGAAGCTGAGGAAAGGAAGGCTACACACAAAGACAACTGAGTGTTTTCAAGGTCTCTCAGGAGAGAATATTTCATAATCTGCTTAATATTTCACTAGATTCAAGGAGAAATAAAACAATAAAAATATTAAGAGCTTTTACAAAAGTTTTATCAGAGTAAAATGGCTTTGATTCAGCATTTGAATGAACATATTCATGCATAAAAACACCTGTGAGAGAAAAAAATGTCAAACATGAAAAAGGACTTTTGAACAGAGGAGAGTATTAAAAAACACCTGGGAGAGAGCTGAGAATGTTTTTAGACCCTCTCATATGTTTGTTTCCTATTTTTAGAACTTTAACTTACTAAGATATTGAAACTTCAAGCTTCCAGTAGGTGGCAGTAAAGCATAATTTTTGAGAAGTGTCTCTTTGATCGTCCATCATCCTCCATCTGACTGTTTTTAGGGCCTGACCATACTATGACATTTTTATCATACTCTGCTATGATATTTTTTTTTATCAAAGTATACTTTGACTTTCTATCATACCAGACTATGGCATTTTTATCATACTATACCTATACCATGATATTTTTATCATACTATACTATGACTTTTTATCACACTATAACATTATCATACTATACTGTTACATTTTTTTTCATACCCTAATTTTTTTATACTAAATCTGACCAGGATTTGAACTCAGGACCTTCTTGTCATGAGGCAACAGTGCTAGCCATTACACCACTGTGCTAAAATTTTTACATACTAAACAATTATATTTTATCAAACTATACTATGATATTTTTAGCAACTATATTATGATACTTTTTTAACTAAATTTTTTTTAATTTTTCCATACTATACTGTGATATTTTTATCATACGATACTACGACATTTTCAACATACTATACTGACATTTTTAAAACTAAATTTTAAATTTCCTTTTATCATACTATACTATGACATTTTATTTTACTATAAGATAATTTTTTACATACTATGAAAATTTTAAAATTTTTATTATACTATGCAATTATATTTTACATACTATACTGATATTTTTTTACATACTTTACCATGCCATTTTTTTCAAAATAAATTTTTATTTTTTATCACTCTTTACTTTGATATTCTTGGCCTACTGAACCATGTCATTTAACTCATACTATACTATGGTATTTTAAACAAACTATACCAAGAAAACTTTTCAAAACCATTTGTTAAAATTTTCTATCCTACTATACTATGATATATTTAATTAGTTAACCCTTGTGTTAAGCTGTTGTTTTAGTCTTCTTTTGATGAGTTTGGCTTGTTGTTATGCACATTGTTTGTTTTGGCGAGTTTGAAGGTTTTTGAGCATGTGTAATGGCATGTATTTGTTGAATTAGTTAACCCTTGTGTTAAGCTGTTGTTTTAGTGTTCTTTTGATGAGTTTGCCGTGCTGTTATGAACATTGTTCGTTTTGGCTAGTTTGAAGGTTTTTTAGCATGTGTTATGGCACGTATGTGTTGAATTGGCTACCCCTTGTGTTAAGCTGTATTTTAAGTGTTCTTTTGATGAGTTTGGCTTGTTCTTATGAACATTGTTTGTTTGGGCGAGTTTGAAGGTTTGTGAGCATGTGTTATGGCACGTATGTGTTGAATTAGTTAACCCTTGTGTTAAGCTGTTGTTTTAGTGTTCTTTTGATGAGTTTGGCTTGTTGTTATGATCATTGGTTGTTTTGGCGAGTTTGAAGGTTTGTGAGCATGTGTAATGGCATGTATGTGTTGAATTGGCTACCTCTTGTGTTAAGCTGTTGTTTTAGTCTTCTTTTGATGAGTTTGGATTGTTGTTATGAACATTGTTCGTTTTGGCGAGTTTGAAGGTTTTTGAGCATGTGTTATGGCACGTATGTGTTGAATTGGCTACCCCTTGTGTTAAGCTGTTGTTTTAGTCTTCTTTTGATGAGTTTGACGTGCTGTTATGAACATTTTTCGCTTTGGCGAGTTTGAAGGTTTTTGAGCATGTGTTATGGCACGTATGTGTTGAATTGGCTACCCCTTGTGTTAAGCTGTATTTAAGTGTTCTTTTAAAGAGTTTGGCTTGTTGTTATGAACATTGTTTGTTTTGGCGAGTTTGAAGGTTTCTGAGCATGTGTTATGGCACGTATGTGTTGAATTGTCTGCCCCGTGTGTTAAGCTGTTGTTTTAGTCTTCTTTTGATGAGCTTGGCTTGTTGTTATGAACACTGTTTGTTTCAGCGAATTTGAAGGTTTTTGAGCATGTGTAATGGCACGTATGTGTTGAATTGGCTACCCCTTGTGTTAAGCTGTATTTTAAGTGTTCTTTTAAAGAGTTTGGCTTGTTGTTATGAACATTGTTTGTTTTGGCGAGTTTGAAGGTTTTTGAGCATGTGTTATGGCACGTATGTGTTGAATTGTCTGCCCCGTGTGTTAAGCTGTTGTTTTAGTCTTCTTTTGATGAGCTTGGCTTGTTGTTATGAACACTGTTTGTTTCAGCGAATTTGAAGGTTTTTGAGCATGTGTAATGGCATGTATGTGTTGAATTAGTTAACCCTTGTGTTAAGCTGTTGTTTTAGTCTTCTTTTGATGAGTTTGGCGTGCTGTTATGAACATTGTTCGTTTTGGCGAGTTTGAAGGTTTTTGAGCATGTGTTATGGCACGTATGTGTTGAATTGGCTACCCCTTGTGTTAAGCTGTATTTTAAGTGTTCATTTAATGAGTTTGGCTTTTTGTTATGAACATTGTTTGTTTATGGCGAGTTTGAAGGTTTTTGAGCATGTGTAATGGCATGTATGTGTTGAATTAGTTAACCCTTGTGTAAAGCTGTTGTTTTAGTGTTCTTTTGATGAGTTTGGCTTGTTGTTATGATCATTGCTTGTTTGGGCAAGTTGGAAGGTTTTTGAGCATGTGTAATGGCATGTATGTGTTGAATTCGTTAACCCTTGTGTTAAGCTGTATTTTAAGTGTTCTTTTGATGAGTTTGGCGTGCAGTTATGAACATTGTTCGTTTTGGCGAATTTGAAGGTTTTTGAGCATGTGTTATGGCATGTATGTGTTGAATTAGTTAACCCTTGTGTTAAGCTGTTGTTTTAGTGTTCTTTTGATGAGTTTGGCTTGTTGTTATGATCATCGTTTGTTTTGGTGAGTTTGAAGGTTTCTGAGCATGTGTTATGGCACGTATGTGTTGAATTGGCTACCCCTTGTGTAAAGCTATATTTTAAGTGTTCTTTTAAAGAGTTTGGCTTGTTGTTATGAACATTAATTGTTATGGCGAGTTTGAAGGTTTCTGAGCATGTGTTATGGCACGTATGTGTTGAATTGGCTACCCCTTCTGTTAAGCTGTATTTTAAGTGTTCTTTTGATGAGTTTGGCTTGTTGTTATGATCATTGTTTATTATGGCGAGTTTGAAGGTTTGTGAGCATGTGTAATGGCACGTATGTGTTGAATTAGTTCACCCTTGTGTTAAGCTGTTGTTTTAGTGTTCTTTTGATGAGTTTGGCTTGTTGTTATGATCATTGGTTGTTTTGGCGAGTTTGAAGGTTTGTGAGCATGTGTAATGGCATGTATGTGTTGAATTGGCTACCTCTTGTGTTAAGCTGTTGTTTTAGTCTTCTTTTGATGAGTTTGGCTTGTTGTTATGAACATTGTTTGTTTTGGAAAGTTTGAAGGTTTTTGAGCATGTGTAATGGCATGTATGTGTTAACCCTTGTGTTAAGCTGTTGTTTTAGTGTTCTTTTGATGAGTTTGGCTTGTTGTTATGATCATTGTTTGTTTTGGCGAGTTTGAAGGTTTTTGAGCATGTGTTATGGCACGTATGTGTTGAATTGGATACCCCTTGTGTTAAGCTGTTGTTTTAGTCTTCTTTTTATCAGTTTGGCATGTTGTTATGAACATTGTTTTGGCGAGTTTGAAGGTTTTTGAGCATGTGTAATGGCACGTATGTGTTGAATTAGTTAACCCTTGTGTTAAGCTGTTGTTTTAGTGTTCTTTTGATGAGTGTGGCGTGTTGTTATGAACATTGTTCGTTTTGGCTAGTTTGAAGGTTTTTGAGCATGTGGTATGGCATGTATGTGGTGAATTGGCTACCCCTTGTGTGAAGCTGTATTTTAAGTGTTCTTTTAAAGAGTTTGGCTTGTTGTTATGAACATTGTTTGTTTTGGCGAGTTTGAAGGTTTCTGAGCATGTGTTATGGCACGTATGTGTTGAATTGGCTACCCCTTGTGTTAAGCTGTATTTTAAGTGTTCTTTTGATGAGTTTGGCTTTTTGTTATGATCATTGTTTATTATGGCGAGTTTGAAGGTTTGTGAGCATGTGTAATGGCATGTCTGTGTTGAATTAGTTCACCCTTGTGTTAAGCTGTTGTTTTAGTGTTCTTTTGATGAGTTTGGCTTGTTCTTATGATCATTGTTTGTTTTGGCGAGTTTGAAGGTTTGTGAGCATGTTTAATGGCACGTATGTGTTGAATTGGCTCCCTCTTGTGTTAAGCTGTTGTTTTAGTCTTCTTTTGATGAGTTTGGCTTGTTGTTATGAACATTGTTTGTTTTGGCGAGTCTGAAGGTTTTTGAGCATGTGTAATGGCATGTATGTGTTAACCCTTGTGTTAAGCTGTTGTTTTAGTCTTCTTTTGTTGAGTTTGGCTTGTTGTTATGAACATTGTTTGTTTTGGCGAGTTTAAAGGTTTTTGAGCATGTGTAATGGCATGTATGTGTTGAATTGTCTGCCCCGTGTGTTAAGCTGTTGTTTTAGTCTTCTTTTGATGAGCTTGGCTTGTTGTTATGAACACTGTTTGTTTCAGCGAATTTGAAGGTTTTTGAGCATGTGTAATGGCATGTATGTGTTGAATTAGTTAACCCTTGTGTTAAGCTGTTGTTTTAGTCTTCTTTTGATGAGTTTGGCGTGCTGTTATGAACATTGTTCGTTTTGGCGAGTTTGAAGGTTTTTGAGCATGTGTTATGGCACGTATGTGTTGAATTGGCTACCCCTTGTGTTAAGCTGTATTTTAAGTGTTCATTTAAAGAGTTTGGCTTTTTGTTATGAACATTGTTTGTTTATGGCGAGTTTGAAGGTTTTTGAGCATGTGTAATGGCATGTATGTGTTGAATTAGTTAACCCTTGTGTAAAGCTGTTGTTTTAGTGTTCTTTTGATGAGTTTGGCTTGTTGTTATGATCATTGCTTGTTTGGGCAAGTTGGAAGGTTTTTGAGCATGTGTAATGGCATGTATGTGTTGAATTCGTTAACCCTTGTGTTAAGCTGTATTTTAAGTGTTCTTTTGATGAGTTTGGCGTGCAGTTATGAACATTGTTCGTTTTGGCGAATTTGAAGGTTTTTGAGCATGTGTTATGGCATGTATGTGTTGAATTAGTTAACCCTTGTGTTAAGCTGTTGTTTTAGTGTTCTTTTGATGAGTTTGGCTTGTTGTTATGATCATCGTTTGTTTTGGTGAGTTTGAAGGTTTCTGAGCATGTGTTATGGCACGTATGTGTTGAATTGGCTACCCCTTGTGTAAAGCTATATTTTAAGTGTTCTTTTAAAGAGTTTGGCTTGTTGTTATGAACATTAATTGTTATGGCGAGTTTGAAGGTTTCTGAGCATGTGTTATGGCACGTATGTGTTGAATTGGCTACCCCTTCTGTTAAGCTGTATTTTAAGTGTTCTTTTGATGAGTTTGGCTTGTTGTTATGATCATTGTTTATTATGGCGAGTTTGAAGGTTTGTGAGCATGTGTAATGGCACGTATGTGTTGAATTAGTTCACCCTTGTGTTAAGCTGTAGTTTTAGTGTTCTTTTGATGAGTTTGGCTTGTTGTTATGATCATTGGTTGTTTTGGCGAGTTTGAAGGTTTGTGAGCATGTGTAATGGCATGTATGTGTTGAATTGGCTACCTCTTGTGTTAAGCTGTTGTTTTAGTCTTCTTTTGATGAGTTTGGCTTGTTGTTATGAACATTGTTTGTTTTGGAAAGTTTGAAGGTTTTTGAGCATGTGTAATGGCATGTATGTGTTAACCCTTGTGTTAAGCTGTTGTTTTAGTGTTCTTTTGATGAGTTTGGCTTGTTGTTATGATCATTGTTTGTTTTGGCGAGTTTGAAGGTTTTTGAGCATGTGTTATGGCACGTATGTGTTGAATTGGATACCCCTTGTGTTAAGCTGTTGTTTTAGTCTTCTTTTTATCAGTTTGGCATGTTGTTATGAACATTGTTTTGGCGAGTTTGAAGGTTTTTGAGCATGTGTAATGGCACGTATGTGTTGAATTAGTTAACCCTTGTGTTAAGCTGTTGTTTTAGTGTTCTTTTGATGAGTGTGGCGTGTTGTTATGAACATTGTTCGTTTTGGCTAGTTTGAAGGTTTTTGAGCATGTGGTATGGCATGTATGTGGTGAATTGGCTACCCCTTGTGTGAAGCTGTATTTTAAGTGTTCTTTTAAAGAGTTTGGCTTGTTGTTATGAACATTGTTTGTTTTGGCGAGTTTGAAGGTTTCTGAGCATGTGTTATGGCACGTATGTGTTGAATTGGCTACCCCTTGTGTTAAGCTGTATTTTAAGTGTTCTTTTGATGAGTTTGGCTTGTTGTTATGATCATTGTTTATTATGGCGAGTTTGAAGGTTTGTGAGCATGTGTAATGGCATGTCTGTGTTGAATTAGTTCACCCTTGTGTTAAGCTGTTGTTTTAGTGTTCTTTTGATGAGTTTGGCTTGTTCTTATGATCATTGTTTGTTTTGGCGAGTTTGAAGGTTTGTGAGCATGTTTAATGGCACGTATGTGTTGAATTGGCTCCCTCTTGTGTTAAGCTGTTGTTTTAGTCTTCTTTTGATGAGTTTGGCTTGTTGTTATGAACATTGTTTGTTTTGGCGAGTCTGAAGGTTTTTGAGCATGTGTAATGGCATGTATGTGTTAACCCTTGTGTTAAGCTGTTGTTTTAGTCTTCTTTTGATGAGTTTGGCTTGTTGTTATGAACATTGTTTGTTTTGGCGAGTTTAAAGGTTTTTGAGCATGTGTAATGGCATGTATGTGTTGAATTGTCTGCCCCGTGTGTTAAGCTGTTGTTTTAGTCTTCTTTTGATGAGCTTGGCTTGTTGTTATGAACACTGTTTGTTTCAGCGAATTTGAAGGTTTTTGAGCATGTGTAATGGCATGTATGTGTTGAATTAGTTAACCCTTGTGTTAAGCTGTTGTTTTAGTCTTCTTTTGATGAGTTTGGCGTGCTGTTATGAACATTGTTCGTTTTGGCGAGTTTGAAGGTTTTTGAGCATGTGTAATGGCACGTATGTGTTGAATTGGCTACCTCTTGTGTTAAGCTGTTGTTTTAGTCTTCTTTTGATGAGTTTGGCTTGTTCTTATGATCATTGTTTGCTTTGGCGAGTTTGAAGGTTTGTGAGCATGTTTAATGGCACGTATGTGTTGAAATGGCTCCCTCTTGTGTTAAGCTGTTGTTTTAGTCTTCTTTTGATGAGTTTGGCTTGTTGTTATGAACATTGTTTGTTTTGGCGAGTCTGAAGGTTTTTGAGCATGTGTAATGGCATGTATGTGTTAACCCTTGTGTTAAGCTGTTGTTTTAGTCTTCTTTTGATGAGTTTGGCTTGTTGTTATGAACATTGTTTGTTTTGGCGAGTTTAAAGGTTTTTGAGCATGTGTAATGGCATGTATGTGTTGAATTAGTTAACCCTTGTGTTAAGCTGTTGTTTTAGTCTTCTTTTTATCAGTTTGGCTTGTTGTTATGAACATTGTTTGTTTGGGCGAGTTTGAAGGTTTTTGAGCATGTGTAATGGCATGTATGTGTTGAATTAGTTAACCCTTGTGTTAAGCTGTATTTTAAGTGTTCTTTTAAACAGTTTGGCTTATTGTTATTATCATTGTTTGTTTTGTCGAGTTTGAAGGTTTTTGAGCATGTGTAATGGCATGTATGTGTTGAATTAGTTAACTCTTGTGTTAAGCTGTTGTTTTAGTCTTCTTTTGATGAGTATGGCTTGTTGTTATGATCATTGTTCGTTTTGGCAAGTTTGAAGGTTTGTGAGCATGTGTTATGGCACGCATGTGTTGAATTGGCTACCTCTTGTGTTTAGCTGTATTTTAAGTGTTCTTTTAAAGAGTTTGGCTTGTTGTTATGAACATTGTTTGTTTTGGCGAGTTTGAAGGTTTGTGAGCATTTGTAATGGCATGTATGTGTTGAATTAGTTAACCCTTATGTTAAGCTGTTGTTTTAGTGTTCTTTTGATGAGTTTGGCGTGTTGTTATGAACATTGTTCGCTTTGGTGAGTTTGAAGGTTTTTGAGCATGTGTTATGGCACGTATGTGTTGAATTGGCTACCCCTTGTGTTAAGCTGTATTTTAAGTGTTCATTTAAAGAGTTTGGCTTTTTGTTATGAACATTGTTTGTTTTTGGAGAGTTTGAAGGTTTTTGAGCATGTGTTATGGCACGTATGTGTTGAATTGGCTACCCCTTGTGTTAAGCTGTTGTTTTAGTCTTCTTTTTATGAGGTTGGCTTGTTGTTATGAACATTGTTTGTTTTGGCGAGTTTGAAGGTTTTTGAGCATGTGTAAATGGCATGTATGTGTTGAATTAGTTAACCCTTGTGTTAAGCTGTTGTTTTAGTTTTCTTTTGATGAGTTTGGCTTGTTGTTATGAACATTGTTTGTTTTGGCAAGTTTGAAGGTTTTTGAGCATGTGTAATGGCACGTATGTGTTGAATTGGCTACCTCTTGTGTTAAGCTGTTGTTTTAGTCTTCTTTTGATGAGTTTGGCTTGTTGTTATGAACACTGTTTGTTTCGGCGAGTTTGAAGGTTTTTGAGCATGTGTAATGGCATGTATGTGTTGAATTAGTTAACCCTTGTGTTAAGCTGTTGTTTTAGTCTTCTTTTTATGAGGTTGGCTTGTTGTTATGAACATTGTTTGTTTTGGCGAGTTTGAAGGTTTTTGAGCATGTGTAAATGGCATGTATGTGTTGAATTAGTTAACCCTTGTGTTAACTGTTGTTTTAGTTTTCTTTTGATGAGTTTGGCTTGTTGTTATGAACATTGTTTGTTTTGGCAAGTTTGAAGGTTTTTGAGCATGTGTAATGGCACGTATGTGTTGAATTGGCTACCTCTTGTGTTAAGCTGTTGTTTTAGTCTTCTTTTGATGAGTTTGGCTTGTTGTTATGAACACTGTTTGTTTCGGCGAGTTTGAAGGTTTTTGAGCATGTGTAATGGCATGTATGTGTTGAATTAGTTAACCCTTGTGTTAAGCTGTTGTTTTAGTCTTCTTTTGATGAGTTTGGCTTGTTGTTATGAACATTGTTTGTTTTGGCGAGTTTGAAGGTTTTTGAGCATGTGTCAAGACATGTATGTGTTGAATTAGTTAACCCTTGTGTTAAGCTGTTGTTTTAGTGTTCTTTTGATGAGTTTGTCTTGTTGTTATGAACATTGTGTGTTTTGGCGAGTTTGAAGGTTTTTGAGCATGTGTATTGGCATGTATGTGTTGAATTAGTTAACCCTTGTGTTAAGCTGTTGTTTTAGTGTTCTTTTGATGAGTTTGGCTTGTTGTTATGAACATTGTTTGTTTTGGCGAGTTTGAAGGTTTTTGAGCATGTGTCAAGACATGTATGTGTTGAATTAGTTAACCCTTGTGTTAAGCTGTTGTTTTAGTGTTCTTTTGATGAGTTTGGCTTGTTGTTATGAACATTGTGTGTTTTGGCGAGTTTGAAGGTTTTTGAGCATGTGTATTGGCATGTATGTGTTGAATTAGTTAACCCTTGTGTTAAGCTGTTGTTTTAGTCTTCTTTTGAAGAGTTTGGCGTGCTGTTATGAACATTGTTCGTTTTGGCGAGTTTGAAGGTTTTTGAGCATGTGTCAAGACATGTATGTGTTGAATTAGTTAACCCTTGTGTTAAGCTGTTGTTTTAGTGTTCTTTTGATGAGTTTGGCTTGTTGTTATGAACATTGTGTGTTTTGGCGAGTTTGAAGGTTTTTGAGCATGTGTATTGGCATGTATGTGTTGAATTAGTTAACCCTTGTGTTAAGCTGTTGTTTTAGTCTTCTTTTTATGAGGTTGGCTTGTTGTTATGAACATTGTTTGTTTTGGCGAGTTTGAAGGTTTTTGAGCATGTGTAAATGGCATGTATGTGTTGAATTAGTTAACCCTTGTGTTAACTGTTGTTTTAGTTTTCTTTTGATGAGTATGGCTTGTTGTTATGAACATTGTTTGTTTTGGCAAGTTTGAAGGTTTTTGAGCATGTGTAATGGCACGTATGTGTTGAATTGGCTACCTCTTGTGTTAAGCTGTTGTTTTAGTCTTCTTTTGATGAGTTTGGCTTGTTGTTATGAACACTGTTTGTTTCGGCGAGTTTGAAGGTTTTTGAGCATGTGTAATGGCATGTATGTGTTGAATTAGTTAACCCTTGTGTTAAGCTGTTGTTTTAGTCTTCTTTTGATGAGTTTGGCTTGTTGTTATGAACATTGTTTGTTTTGGCGAGTTTGAAGGTTTTTGAGCATGTGTCAAGACATGTATGTGTTGAATTAGTTAACCCTTGTGTTAAGCTGTTGTTTTAGTGTTCTTTTGATGAGTTTGTCTTGTTGTTATGAACATTGTGTGTTTTGGCGAGTTTGAAGGTTTTTGAGCATGTGTATTGGCATGTATGTGTTGAATTAGTTAACCCTTGTGTTAAGCTGTTGTTTTAGTGTTCTTTTGATGAGTTTGGCTTGTTGTTATGAACATTGTTTGTTTTGGCGAGTTTGAAGGTTTTTGAGCATGTGTCAAGACATGTATGTGTTGAATTAGTTAACCCTTGTGTTAAGCTGTTGTTTTAGTGTTCTTTTGATGAGTTTGGCTTGTTGTTATGAACATTGTGTGTTTTGGCGAGTTTGAAGGTTTTTGAGCATGTGTATTGGCATGTATGTGTTGAATTAGTTAACCCTTGTGTTAAGCTGTTGTTTTAGTCTTCTTTTGAAGAGTTTGGCGTGCTGTTATGAACATTGTTCGTTTTGGCGAGTTTGAAGGTTTTTGAGCATGTGTCAAGACATGTATGTGTTGAATTAGTTAACCCTTGTGTTAAGCTGTTGTTTTAGTGTTCTTTTGATGAGTTTGGCTTGTTGTTATGAACATTGTGTGTTTTGGCGAGTTTGAAGGTTTTTGAGCATGTGTATTGGCATGTATGTGTTGAATTAGTTAACCCTTGTGTTAAGCTGTTGTTTTAGTCTTCTTTTGATGAGTTTGGCTTGTTGTTATGAACATTGTTTGTTTTGGCGAGTTTGAAGGTTTTTGAGCATGTGTCAAGACATGTATGTGTTGAATTAGTTAACCCTTGTGTTAAGCTGTTGTTTTAGTCTTCTTTTGATGAGTTTGGCTTGTTGTTATGAACATTGTTTGTTTTGGCAAGTTTGAAGGTTTTTGAGCATGTGTTATGGCACGTATGTGTTGAATTGGCTACCTCTTGTGTTAAGCTGTTGTTTTAGTCTTCTTTTGATGAGTTTGGCTTGTTGTTAAGAACACTGTTTGTTTCGGCGAGTTTGAAGGTTTGTGAGCATGTGTAATGGCATGTATGTGTTTAATTAGTTAATCCTTGTGTTCAGCTGTTGTTTTAGTGTTCTTTTGAAGAGGTTGGCTTGTTGTTATGATCATCTTTTATTTGGGCGAGTTTGAAGGTTTTTGAGCATGTGTAATGGCATGTATGTGTTGAATTAGTCAACCCTTGTGTTAAGCTGTTGTCTTAGTGTTCTTTTGATGAGTTTGGCTTGTTGTTATGAACATTGTGTGTTTTGGAGAGTTTGAAGGTTTTTGAGCATGTGTAATAGCATGTATGTGTTGAATTAGTTCACCCTTGTGTTAAGCTGTTGTTTTAGTCTTCTTTTGATGAGTTTGGCGTGCTGTTATGAACATTGTTCGTTTTGGCGAGTTTGAAGGTTTTTGAGCATGTGTTATGGCACGTATGTGTTGAATTGGCTCCCCCTTCTGTTAAGCTGTATTTTAAGTGTTCTTTTAAAGAGTTTGGCTTGTCGTTATGATCATCGTTTGTTTTGGCGAGTTTGAAGGTTTGTGAGCATATATAATGACATGTATCTGTTGAATTAGTTAACCCTTGTGTTAAGCTGTTGTTTTAGTGTTCCTTTGTTGAGTTTGGCTTGTTGTTATGAACATTGTGTGTTTTTGCGAGTTTGGAGGTTTTTGAGCATGTGTAATGGCATGTATGTGTTGAATTAGTTAACCCTTCTGTTAAGCTGTATTTTAAGTGTTCTTTTAAAGAGTTTGGCTTGTTGTTATGATCAATGTTTGTTTTTGCAAGATTGAAGGTTTTTGAGCATTTGTAATGGCATGTATGTGTTGAACTAGTTAACCCTTGTGTTAAGCTGTTGTTTTAGTCTTCTTTTGATGAGTTTGGCTTGTTGTTATAAACAGTGTTTGTTTTGGCGAGTTTGAAGGTATTGAGCATGTGTAATGGCATGAATTTGTTGAATTAGTAATCCCTTGTTTTAAGCTGTTGTTGTAGTGTTGTTTTGATGAGTTTGGCTTGTTGTTATGAACATTGTTTGTTTTGGCGAGTTTGAACGTTTTTGAGCATGTGTAATGGCATGAATGCGTTAAGCTGTTGTTTTAGTGTTCTTTTGATGAGTTTGGCGTGTTGTTATGAAAAGTGTTTGTTTTGGCGAGTTTGAACACTTTTGAGCATGTGTAATGGCATGAACGCGTTAAGCTGTTTTTTTAGTGTTCTATTGATGAGTTTGGCTTGCTGTCATGAACATTGTTCGTTTTGGCGAGGTTGAAGATTTTTGAGCATGTGTAATGGCATGAATTTGTTGAAATAGTAATCCCTTGTGTTAAGCTGTTGTTTTAGTGTTCTTTTGATTAGTTTGGCTTGTTGATATGAACATTGTTTGTTTTGGCGAGTTTGAAGGTTTTTGAGCATGTGTAATGGCATGAGTGCTTTATGCTGTTGTTTTAGTGTTCTTTTGATGAGTTTGGCTTGTTGTTATGAACATTGTTTGTTTTGGCGAGTTTGAAGGTTTTTGAGCATGTGTAATGGCATGAATGTGTTGAATTAGTAATCCCTTGTGTTAAGCTGTTGTTTTAGTGTTCTTTTGATGAGTTTGGCTTTTTGTTATGAACATTGTTCGTTTTGGCGAGTTTGAAGGTTTTTGAGCATGTGTAATGGCATGAATGCGTGAAGCTGTTGCTTTAGTGTTCTTTTGATGAGTTTGGCTTGTTGTTATGAACAGTGTTTGTTTTGGCGATTTGAAGGTTTTTGAGCATGTGTAATGGCATGAATGCGTTAAGCTGTTGTTTTAGTGTTCTTTTGATGTGTTTGGCTTGTTGTTATAAACATTGTTCAATTTGTCGAGTTTGAAGGTTTTTGAGCATGTGTAATGGTATGAATGCGTTAAGCTGTTGTTTTAGTGTTATTTTGGTGAGTTTAGCTTGTTGTTATGAACATTGTTCGTTTTGGCGAGTTTGAACGTTTTTGAGAATGTGTAATGGCATGAATGTGTTGAATTAGTAATGTCTTGTGTTAAGCTGTTGTTTTAGTGTTCTTTTGATGAGTTTGGCTTGTTGTTATGAAAAGTTTTTGTTTTGGCGAGTTTGAACGTTTTTGAGCATGTGTAATGGCATGAATGCGTTAAGCTGTTGTTTTAGTGTTCTTTTGGTGAGTTTGTTTTGTTGTTATGAAAAGTGTTTGTTTTGGCGAGTTTGAACGTTTTTGAGGATGTGTAATGGCATGAATGCGTTAAGCTGTTGTTTTAGTGATCTTTTGATGAGTTTGGCTTGTTGTTATGAACATTGTTCGTTGTTGCGAGTTTGAACGTTTTTGAGCATGTGTAATGGCATGAATGCGTGAAGCTGTGTTTTTAGTGTTCTTTTGATGAGTTTGGCTTGTTGTTATGAAAAGTGTTTGTTTTGGCGAGTTTGAACGTTTTTGAGCATGTGTAATGCATGAATGCGTTAAGCTGTTGTTTTAGTGTTCTTTTGGTGAGTTTGTTTTGTTGTTATGAACAGTGTTTGTTTTTCTGAGTTTGAAGGTTTTTGAGCATGTGTAATGGCATGAATGCGTTAAGCTGTTGTTTTAGTGTTCTTTTGACAAGTTTGGCTTGTTGTTATGAAAAATGTTTGTTTTGGCGAGTTGGAACGTTTTTGAGCATGTGTAATAGCATGAATATGTTGAAATAGTAATCCCTTGTGTTGAGCTGTTGTTTTAGTGTTCTTTTGATGAGTTTGGCTTGTTGTTATGAAAAGTGTTTGTTTTGGCGAGTTTGAACGTTTTTGAGCATGTGTAATGGCATGAATGCGTTAAGCTGTTGTTTAAGTGTTCTTTTGATGAGTTTGGCTTGTTGTTATGAATATTGTTCGTTTTGGCGAGTTTGAACGTTTTTGAGCATGTGTAATGGCATGAATGCGTGAAGCTGTGTTTTTAGTGTTCTTTTGATGAGTTTGGCTTGTTGGAATGAACATTGTTCGTTTTGGCGAGTTTGAACGTTTTTGAGCATGTGTAATGGCATGAATGTGTTGAATTAGTAATG